TTCATCGCATTCTTTTTAATGTATTTGTAGTCTCTTTCTGGAACATAATGTTCTTTGTGTCTAATCATATCAAGATCCCTCAGTCATTCCTTACTTGTTCTTATCTCAGGTACACTTTTAAATTTTAGTGTTCTGATTTTACAACTTCTTAAAACTATCAACATCTATTTTCGAGCATGGACAATTGTTCTGAAACTAGTTTTTGTTAGTAAGTGTAGACACTATTTATTCCTGAATCTTGGATGCAATGCTTACTACTGTTCTTCATACCATCATTTCAGATAGAATTTTTGCGTATGCATTATTACATTTTACCCCTGCTCTTTCTTCAGCATGCATAAATATTTTTGCTTATTTTGGCTGCACATCTCCTGTACCAGCTATATTAAGCTGAAAAACAGTAAATTCTCTGAAGTCATTTTGTAAGCTCCATGGCTGAAGGAAGTGGTGGTTTGAATTTAGGACATCATGAGACAACATCTTTAATCTCTGCTCAGCTGTGGAATCCACAGGCTGACCTCGGGTAAGTCAGATCCTCAGAGGAAGGCAAGGACAAGCCCGCTCTGAACAAATCTTTCTAAGACCATTCCACCCCCACTTCCACCCCCATTAATTTCGTCTTAGGGTCTCCATAAATCAGAAATGTTTTGAGGGCACACAACAGCCAGAACTTTTAACTATCCATTATACTGCATTGGATTGCCATATATAGTGCCAAAGGAATCTCAGTGTGGGTCATATAGAATCATAGAATCAAAGAGTTGGAAGAGACCTCATGGGCCATCCAGTCCAACCCTCTGCCAAGAAGCAGGAATATTGCATTCAAAGCACCCCTGACAGATGGCCATCCAGCCTCTGTTTAAAAGCTTCCAAAGAAGGAGCCTCCACCACACTCCGGGGCAGAGAGTTCCACTCTGAACGGCTCTCACAGTCAGGAAGTTCTTCCTCATGTTCAGATGGAATCTCCTCTCTTGTAGTTTGAAGCCATTGTTCCGTGTCCTAGTCTCCAGGGAAGCAGAAAACAAGCTTGCTCCCGCCTCCCTGTGGCTTCCTCTCACATATTTATACATGGCTATCATATCTCCTCTCAGCCTTCTCTTCTTCAGGCTAAACATGCCCAGCTCCTTAAGCCGCTCCTCATAGGGCTTGTTCTCCAGACCCTTGATCATTTTAGTCGCCCTCCGCTGGACACATTCCAGCTTGTCAATATCTCTCTTGAATTGTGGTGCCCAGAATTGGACACAATATTCCAGGTGTGGTCTAACCAAAGCAGAATAGAGGGGTAGCATTACTTCCCTGGACCTAGACACTATGCTCCTATTGATGCAGGCCAAAATCCCATTGGCTTTTTTTGCCGCCACATCACATTGTTGGCTCATGTTTAACTTGTTGTCCACGAGGACTCCAAGATCTTTTTCACACGTACTGCTCTCAATCCAGGCATCCCCCATTCTGTATCTTTACATTTCGTTTTTCCTGCCAAAGTGGAGCATCTTGAATTTGTCACTGTTGAACTTCATTTTGTTAGTTTTGGCCCATCTCTCTAATCTGTCAAGATCGTTTTGAATCCTGCTCCTGTCCTCTGGAGTATTGGCTATCCCTCCCAATTTGGTGTCGTCTGCAAACTTGATGATCCTGCCTTCTAGCCCTTCATCTAAGTCATTAATAAAGATGACTTGCATACAATATTAAAGTCAGCCATAGTAGCATCCTTGCTTTTCCCATCTTTCCCTTTTCTTTCACACACTTCCAAATTGTCCTTCACATTTCTTTCACTCTTGTGTTCAGGTTTCCTAGGGGTTCTTTGTAAAAAGTACTCAAAATAGTTTAAAATAACATTTAAAGGGTCAGCTGGCTAGGCAATACAGTTTATGGCTTTCCAACATAATGTTTAATCATTCTTTAACTGGAGGGGAATAGGCTTTTTGGAAGGGAAAGCATTTAAGAGAAATGGGGAAAGTTATCTAATTCTCATTTGAAGAGAAACACACTGTATTTGCCCTTTTTGTCCTCAAACCCACACTTTTCACAAATGTGTGCTGCAGGTCATGAAAGTGTGCAAGTGTATATCAATTCTTTTTCAGGATCATCTCACACAAGTGATCCTGCCAAGGAAAAATTGCACTCACATGAATACACATGTGAGTGCAATGTGCACACAGATATATTCATTCTAAAACTACATCCAAATGCTCTGACATAATGCATATGAAAGTATACTACAATCCTTGTACCTGTCATTTGACAAAATATGTCCTCTTTGGGCAGTTCCTAGTTTCTCTGTCATGACACTATTGTGTGCTTCCACCAGAATGTGACCCTATTGTTGTTCTGGAGGACCTAGTGAGTCCCAGGCATTCCTAGTTCTTCCAGTGTAACTCTATAATATGTATGCTTCAACCAGACATTCAAGAGGCTTTCCTATTGCCCATGATTTTCAGTAACTGTGGAAAGTCTGGGAACATATGGCACTGTGGATAATGGAGTTGTACTGTAAGGTTAAATTTGTGCAGGTGAAAAACATTTGCAGTTCAATTCTGAATGCAGAAAAAGCAGACTTCAAGATGGGAATATAAATGCCTAAGTGAAATCAAGAGAGGATCATCCATCTCCAAGGGCCTGGACAAAAAAAAGCTGTGATCTTATGATCTCTTGTTGAGTTTTGTATGATCTTATGGTCCCTTGTTGAGTCTTTAACCATAGTTATGAAATCTCCAGCATTTTGCCTAAAGCAGCTTCCAGTGGACTCAGAGTTAAGTCTGTAATCTATGATGATTTCCATACATTCTTTTCTAGCACCAAAACTTCTAGTCTGTTTATTTTCTTCTGGTTTTGTTGTCTGTATTTTATATCTGCTAAAGCGTATTAGTGCTCCTGTTTCAACTACATTCAAAGGGAAAAAAGGATGACCCAAACAACTACCGTCCGGTCAGCCTCACGTCGATACCGGGCAAGATTCTAGAAAAGATTGTTAAGGAAGCGGTCTGCAAACACTTAGAAACAAATGCAGTCATCGCTAATAGTCAACATGGATTTATCAAAAACAAGTCATGCCAGACTAATCTGATCTCTTTCTTCGATAGAGCTACAAGCTGGGTAGATGCGGGGAATGCCGTGGATGTAGCGTACCTGGATTTCAGTAAGGCCTTCGACAAGGTCCCCCACAACCTTCTGGCAAGGAAACTAGTCCAATGTGGGCTAGGCAAAACTACGGTGAGGTGGATCTGTAATTGGTTAAGTGGACGACCAGGGAGTGCTCACTAATGCTTCCTCTTCATCTTGGAAAGAAGTGACAAGTGGAGTGCCGCAGGGTTCCGTCCTGGGCCCGGTCCTGTTCAACATCTTTATTATTGACTTAGATGAAGGGCTAGAAGGCATGATCATCAAGTTTGCAGACGACACCAAATTGGGAGGGATAGCCAATAGTCCAGAGGACAGGAGCAGAATTCAAAACGATCTTGACAGATTAGAGAGATGGGCCAAAACTAACAAAATGAAGTTCAACAGTGACAAATGCAAGATACTCCACTTTGGCAGAAAAAATGAAATGCAAAGATACAGAATGGGGGACAATGCCTGGCTCGAGAGCAGTACGTGTGAAAAAGATCTTGGAGTCCTCGTGGACAACAAGTTAAACATGAGCCAACAATGTGATGTGGCGGCAAAAAAAGCCAATGGGATTTTGGCCTGCATCAATAGGAGCATAGTGTCTAGATCTAAGGAAGTAATGCTACCCCTCTATTCTGCTTTGGTTAGGCCACATCTGGAATATTGTGTCCAATTCTGGGCACCACATTCAAGAGAGATATTGACAAGCTGGAATGTGTCCAGAGGAGGGACTAAAATGATCAAGGGTCTGGAGAACAAGCCCTATGAGGAGCAGCTTAAGGAGCTGGGCATGTTTAGCCTGAAAAAGAGAAGGCTGAGAGGAGATATGATAACCATGTATAAATATGTGAGAGGAAGCCACAGGGAGGAGGGAGCAAGCTTGTTTTCTATTTCCCTGGAGACTAGGACGTGAAGGAATGGCTTCAAACTACAGGAGAAAGGATTCCATCTGAACATGAGGAAGAACTTCCTGACTGTGAGAGCCGTTCAGCAGTGGAACTCTCTGCCCCGGAGTATGGTGGAGGCTCCTTCTTTGGAAGCTTTTAACAGGCTGGATGGCCATCTGTCAGGGGTGATTTGAATGCAATATTCCTGCTTCTTGGCAGGGGGTTGAACTGGATGGCCCATGAGGTCTCTTCCAACTCTTTGATTCTATGATTCTATGAAATTTGATTATTATTATTTTGTTCATTTATATCTTGCCCATTTCCAAGCAGTAACATGTCTCAAGGAACCTTACAACTCATTAAAACTGTGCACAGTTAAAGTTATACAAAACATCATTTCAAAGATATGAAAGTCATTTAACGTTAAATCCATAAAAGGCCAAAAAATGAGCAAACAGCACAGAATGCTATTAAAAGCCTATTACATTTAAAGTTTAAAAGGCTCTGTCTTGGAGATCATAGAAGCCTAGCAGACTTATATAAGGAGATACTAGCTTTCAAATATCCTAGACACGAGCCATATAAGTAAAGCTATATAGGTCATTATTAGTACTTTGAACTGTGCTAGAAAGAGATTTTGCTCCCAGATTTGGTTTTTAATAGAACATGAGCGCCTGTGATTTTTCTGTATTAGGATTGAGTTTGTTCACCATCCTCTGGTCCATCACAGATGTTAGGTAATGGTTTAGCATGGAAATATCTTTCTTGGAATTAGACGGAAAGGAGAGCTAGGCATCTCCGGCATACTGGTTACACCTAACTCCAAAGCTCTGGATCATGATTCCCAGTATTTTCATATATATGGTATGTTAAACAGCATAGGGCACAAGGCACTTCATTACTCCTTTTAAAACAAGAGGAAGATTAAGGATTTTGTAAAACATAGTCTGAATATGTCTTGCAATATTACAAAATGTTAATGGAGGGATTTTGCAACATTTACAGGCAATATGAAACAGTTGTTCCACTTGAAGACTCTGTTATCACTGAAGTAACAGCAACTCTTCAGGAATGGTCTGTCCTCTGGAAGCAGTTATATGTGGTAAGTATACCAAAAACAAGTATATTACTTTTAAATAAGTGAATTAATTGTTAGACCTTGGGTGCATTTACAATATGGAATTAATGCAGTTTGACATCACTTTCACTGCCATGGCTCAATGATATAGAATCATGGGAGTTGTAGCTTGGGGAGACTAGCACTCTTTGACAGAGACGGCGAGCTATCATGTGAAACTACAAATCTCCTGATTCCATAGCATTGAGCCATGACAGTGAAAGTGGTTTCAATTCTCGTGTTACAGTATACAAACAAGGAAAGGATGCAGTGAATGTAACAGCAACAACAAAAGAGTCTTTATGCTACTGAAGGCCAATAAAGCATCAGAATTACTGGAAAAACTAATCTAATATGATGAAATGCAATTGTAAATTGCAGGTCTGAGTTATTTCATCACAACAGGTCTGCTGTTTTGGATCTTTTTTATTCATTCTGGAATAGTATTTTTTGGTTTTAAATACTGAATAATTTGTATCATGTTGAATTATAATTTATAGCAGCTTGTAGTACAGACAAACATTACCTCACATTGCATATAAAATTATCATTTTATCTTTTTTATATAATAGCTTTTTCTTCGTTCTTACATTTATGTCTTATCTGGTCCCGTGCTGATATCAGAAATGGGAAAATGTCTGTGGAAGTGTTTCTTTGTATTCATACTTTTTTCTCTTGGGGATCAGATTGTAAATGACTGGAGTTATATTTTTTAATAAATTTGAGTATGATGCTTCTTGGTAGCATGCCTGCCCACATTGTATTGTGATGCCATGATGCTTCATAGTGAAAACATATCTTGGGTAAACCTGAGTTGAATACTTGATTCTACAGACTATGTTAGCAGCTTAAAATGTGTATCTATGGCATGTATTAGGAATAGATGGTGTTCTAGTTAAGGGCTTGCAGTTCTGTGCTTTTCTATCATTATTTATTTAATATGTGTATTGTGATCATTCAACGTTTTTTCTTATTTGTCTGCTTTTGAATCATAATTCATGTTGCAAGTGGCATTACTATTTTGTACTATTAATCTTTACATACATTTTAATGTTTTTGGTACTATCACATTGTGTTACTATTTTATATACACGCTTAATACATTTACATGTTGTTTCACTTGTTTTAGATATTCTTATTGGGTATAGTCTCATTTGAGTTCTCTGTGTATTTAATATATTTTTCTCTGGGGAAAGTGTTGTGCGTGACAATGGTTATGTTTTTTAGCCCAAGGGAGTGTGATGGCTCTTGGCAGCAAGCCTGTTCACATTATGTTGTGATGTCATTATGTTTCATAATAAGACTAAATCTATGAAACATAGCCTTGGTCACCTTTGCAAACTAACTGTTCATCCTGAATGATGCAAAAGTGCAGCCAGGATAGTTTAGTGTATTTATTTCTCCCAGTCTTGCCTTCTGCTCATAAAATTGCCTAGACGCCTTTCTTTTGTCCTTACTTATATGTGAAGAATTAGGTATGCCTGAAATTCTGCAGATAATGGTACATGTGCAGATCTTCAGTAGTTATACTATAGAGCCCGTGTTCAAAATAATATTGACTGCTATGTGTTCTTGTTATGCTATAATATAGCTTTGGTTACTCTCATGGCTGTTGGTGGAACCATACCCGCTTAGATTATACAGAAGTGTTGCTTTTCTTTGAAACTAAAGCAATCTTTTTATGTAGTTAGTTTCTAAGAGTCCTGTGTTAGAAGCAATATATCATTCTCCTGTTTTAGTTTTGGTCTTGATGACAGCTGACATGACACAAGGGTGTGATCTGTGTAGTTTGATTCCTGTACTATTTGTCACTAATTTCAAAATAGCTCTTCTGAAATTATTAGATTCTGCATATCCTGGAAGAAAGAGGGTTTGATGGGTAACTTAAAATTTTGCAATATAAGAAAAAAATGTAGTATTTATGCTTTTTAAATAAAGTAATTGATTTTGAAGTAAATACTGGAAAATAACAGTAATAACAGTAGGTATTCAAGACAGGCTGGGGAGCAGGGCTACTAGTAAAGGCTTACCATCAAAACCCAGCTCTAGATGCTTCCAGAAATCTCCATATAGACCCAAAATTGACCCCATTTATGTGAATTCACAAATAACCACTAAAAAGACTGCTGATTTTCTGCACATATCATTGCATCAATATTGATAAAGGTTATGTTGTGATGTGAACTTTTGAATAAGGCACAGATAATGGGATTCAGCTGAGATAAAAATGAGTTAAGCATTATACATAGTACTAATGAGGCTTGATGTGTAGATAGTAATAAGTTAAAGAAGATACCTTGGAAACAGTGACGCAGTATTCTTAAAGGACAGTTGAATCAGAATTGCCCTATAGACTATCATGCCTACCACAGTGACAAAGACATAGCAGTAGAATAGCATACTGCCTAATGATGATGCGCTGCAAAGCACTTGTAGCTTTCTTTGGCATGATCCAGTTGTCTCCTTCTGGACTGATGATATTCATAACTAAATAGAATGAGCTCAGGAATTTGGACACATGCTTTATATAGTATTATATGCTGGGACTGCTGGTGGAAGAAGTGTAGGCAAGTCATTGTCATAATCAATAAAGACGTAGCAAAGATCACTGAGCACAAGTGTTTGGGCTGCAGTAGGAAAGTATCAAAACAAAAAGAACTTAAGTATGCACATGAGTTAAGCAGCCATCAAAGAGAAGCTAAGTGCAACTCAATGATACTTCATTCAATAACATCATTTTTTTTAAAAAAATACCAGTAATTTTTATTCAGAAAAACCTAGCACAAAATCTACAAGCAAGACATTAAAAAAACAAGGATACACACCAGAGCTTTACATTTTCTACCTAATGATTTTATTTCCCCAATTTTCCATGCCCATTAAAAGAACAGAAAAGTTATGTTTCTGTATAATAACACTCTTCTAATTTTTTAAAAAGTGCATATCTCTTTCATTTCATCTAGTTAGGTCAGTGTTGCATCCATCATAGTTTATCTTTTCCTCATCTCTTGCTGTTCCTTCTTCCTCTACTTGCTCAATCATTTCTCCTCTATCCATCTGATTAAGGCCCATCTGATTGAGGTAGTTAGCACACTTTCTGACATTTTAGCAAAGCAGCTGGGAAGGGAGGGGGAAATCCTTGTCCCTGCTTCCCCTATTCCCCATGTTACAGACGGCCCATGGGGTAACAAACATTGTTTTATTATCCTTTGATAAAGTTTCATTTCCTCCATTTTTTACTATGTTGCTCGAAATTTTGGAAATAGTTTATCCTATTTGGAAATACAATATCACAATCTATGACCAAGAACAATTTGTGTTTGAATTACACACCATAAGTACAACATTAAATTCAACCCAACTCCTCCATTGTCCTCTTATTAGAAGAAATAAGCCCTTTTTTTATCAAAAGAGCCATCCAGATTCTTTTAGTTCAATATAAAGTCAGCTTTTACTCTCAGTACTTTACAGTTCATAAGAAAGACATAAACATTTATCTTATTTTGCACCTCAGGGACATAAACACATTTCTGAATAATCACACTAGTCAGTGCCTTATGGTGTTTAGGGGAAAATAAAATATGGGTTCATCATTATTGATCTCAGGGACACCTACATGTCATTATATCTGGACCATTGCAATGTCCTGCAGTTTGCTCTCCAAGATTTTTGTTACTAAATCATTGTTGTGCCATACATTTTTGAAAAATTCCATCTCACATGTCTATAAAGATCATTGCTGTGGTAGTGGCCAAACTCCACCAGCAAGATTATCTTTCCAACTAGCTAATTGCTGAGCACTCTGACCAACTGTTGCTTCAAGCCATTTTTAGTAGTTTAGGACTTTTGTATTGCTTCAGAATCTGTGTCAACTTGCTCTTCCTGACTCCAGCAGTGACCACCTCAATCTGTTTTTGATATGTCTTGGAATCCATAAATTCAGACTACATGCTGTTTCATCTTAACAAAAGACTCAGCACCTTTGTCACACTAACCAGAAGCCTGACTCAAAAGAACTTGATAAATGCCCTTATGATATTATAACTCATTGACTCATGTCATCAGCAGCATGATGCTTCTTTTTGCTTAGCTATATATGTTTTCATTGTAGTGTTGATTTCTAAGACATTTTCGCATGAATTTGGACTCCTAGAAAAAGATGAACCATCTAACCACCGTGTTAATGGGTTCCTACAGAAGTGTCAAACATTGGTTGAGCTGATCACTTCTACACTTACCTGATTCTGGAGATAGTTTACTGGAATCCAGTTAAACTCAAACATATTTCTTGCTGTTTCCTACCATCAAAAGGCTCAGTACATTGTCATGCTGCCAGAAGCCTGTTTGAAAAAAATTTATCAAAAACAGATTGAGGTGGTCACTCCAGAATCGGGACATTTGGTTTAGGAAAGAACCCAAACTGTACATTAGGGACCAACTTAACTACATTATTTAAAGCATGTTGAGCTTTTCTTCCATAGACATTGGAAGTCATGTGGTACTTGAACTAAGAAGTAGAGCATGATCTCAAAGTTGTTCCTATCAACTCAGCATTTTTGGCATTAAAATATGCCTTGATTCCTTCTATTTCGATTATTGTAACATGGGGATGCCTTTGGAAACTGTATGGAAACTTCAGCAGCGAATCTAATTTGGGAGGCTGCTTATAAGGAACTTCTAACTCCTTGTTAAAACAGCTTCACTGGCTGTTTCACTGGCAGATGTCAAAATGTTGCTTATGACTTTTAAAGTCCTAAATGGTTTATATCCAGATTGTCTGAAAGGCTGGACCTCCCTATATGAGCTGGCTTGAGTTTTAACATCTTCGTGGGCAGGGGGAGGGGGGCTTCACTATCACAACTATGGCTGTGGCTGCTTGCAGGCTGCAGAATCCACTCCCACAGGAGGTTTGTTAGCTCCTCTCTGCGCCTGTTGTGTCAGCACACAAAGATCTTTTTAAAAAATATATTTATTCAGGATTTTGGCTCTTATTTCAAGTAGCAGACAGGTCTTTCAATATGGTGTGCTTGTATCTTTGTATCAAGTTTACATGTGATTTCAAATGGTTTCACGTTGTGCTTTTAATACAATTGTTCCTTTATTTTTGTTTTTAAAAAGTCTCTGTTAATAAGACTTTTTGCTGCACTTTATTTATAGCTTGTTGGGTTTCATGCCAGGAGGAAGGTGGAATATTTGTTTAAACAAATACATCTTCAGATGAGACAATGTATACAGGGAGTCTTCTCCATATTGGCAGTGAGGTACCAAAACAAAACCATTTTATTTACACAGAAAGAGTAACTTTGTGTATTTAACCTAGCTTCAAGCATTGTCATGAAACACAGCATTTACCAAGAAAAATTCCTTTTTCTTTATATTCAAATTTCCATCTCTTCAGCTCCCCTCATTTCCATCTACTCCTCTCTCCCCAACTTGCTTTGTTCTGTCTCTCTCCTTCTATCTCGCTATCTATCTATCTTTATACATGTGCAGAGGAGCTTCAACCTTTCTAATTATTCAAAAGAAGTGATTGGCTGCCTTGACTTCAACCTCCCTTAGCAAATTAATCCTTTTGTTCTACCCCAAATGGTTTCAATCCCATATATCTCTGCCATTAATATTTATGGGAAATCCACTCATCCTGTACTGTGTGTTTGCTGGAGCTTTGCCAGTGGTGCATGGGGTTATGTGTCACTGTCATCAGGTTTGAATGTATACTTAAGTTTCCAGTTCTGTCACTCGTAGTAAACTTCAGAACTATCTAGCCATCCCAGATTCTCCAGAAAAAATGGTTACAGTTTTGGGGCAAAGCACTATCGAGCAGATTTCTTATTATACCAGGCCCACTGATTTATTATATGCGTATTGCACAGTTTCCAGTAAAAATGGCAGTACTGAATTGAGCTGAGTGCATGAATCATTATAACAAAGCAAAGAGGTTCTTGACTTCTCCTTTCCCTTTCTGAGACAGAACAATTAGTTAATGGTTATAGACCTGAAAGAAGCCTGTTTCAAGATAGTAACCCAGTTTTAACATTAGTGTGTTTTGTGTTCTTTGTTGGGAAAATAGTTTTCTTAGCTTGTTTGTTCCTAATAGTGTTGTTTATGTGTCCAAATGCCCTAAAGGACCACATGCGATTTAGGGTGTTCCCAGACTTAACTTAAATCTTTGCCGAAGCACAGGTTTAAGTCTGCACACCTACCCCCCAAACCTGGGCTTTTCTGGGGAGGGGGGAGGTCTGCATGCCAGCATGATAACTACTGCACTGGCATGGGGTCACCCCCCCCCCCAAAAAAAAAACACCCCAAAGCCCTTAAAATAACTAAAAGCTTATCAGTCTGCCATTAGACTGCTGGAACATCAAAATTATGCAACAGAAGGCAGGGGGCCCAGGAGTAACTCCCCCCCCACACACACACACACATCCTGGCGCACCATTGGTACATCATTGGAGTGGCCTAATGGCCACCCAGTACATTTCTAGTTTTTTTAAGAGCTTTTGGGATGGGTGGGAAGGGGTGGGTGCCCTCCTTGCTTGTCCAGGCTTTTGGAAGCCCAAAGAAACAAGATAGGTGTGGGGACTGACCCCCAGGAGCATCCAGGAGTGAGCCCATACCCCATTAAATCCAGGATTTTCAGGAAGGCCCAGGTCTAATGGTGTATTTAATTAATTTGGGACAGAGCAGGGTTTTTCTGCTTTGCCCAAAATTAATCGTCTTTTACCTGAGGTGTCGTTTGGACTCCTCCATTAAAAGTCTGACAGGGCCTGCATTTTGGGCTTTGTTTGGAAGGGCCCTTAATTTTGGAAGCTAAGCTGGCTCAGCCCTGGTTAGTACTTGGATGGGAGAAAGTCAGTGAATATTATAATAATGTAGTGTAGGCTGTAGTTCATGAGGAGGAACTGACATTATTTCCTGAGAGTACCTTGCTTAAGAAAACCCTCTGAAATTCATTGGGATGCAATAGATTGACAACTAACTTGAAGGTGCATGCGCGCGCACACACTGCTTTGTTTCTTCAGTGGCTATATCTCGGTGTGCATGAAAGCTGTTTGAACTTCCAAATAGGCCAGACTTCAGGTTCCTAACCTGTATGTCTGGTTGCATTTCTGAGAATTGCCAATCCTTCGGTCTTCTTTATACCATTCTTCTTTATACCAGTCATGGACCATTAAAACACAAGATATCCACCATAATAGAAAAGCTAAATAATTTCTGAATACTTTCTATCAACAGTGCACTGTAATGAGCACTTTGATGTTCATCATTATTTTCTCTGTCTTAAATTTTCATTAGGAACAAGGTAATTCTTTGACCTTCTGACATGCTTCTCCTGAACATGGTTTCAAACTTCTATTTAGTTCAGTACCTAGCCCAAATCTTCTTCATGCCAGATCTTAATTGTCTTTCACTCACCATTAGTTTAACAGAGCTTTGTTTGTTCATTTATTTATTCTCTCAGTGGTGGCAAGCTGTTTGCTGATTGAACTGCTCAGGAGTTTATTGCTGATTTATCTCCATTTTCCACTTTATAAAAACATATTTGAGTAAAATATTCAAAAATATTATTTATCTGTGTTGTGTTTCATTATTTATCTTCAGAACTCGGCCATAGATCAATATGTATCTTTATATGAAATAAATGTATATTGCATGTAAATCTGCATACTAAAACAGTTTTTAAAATTCACTGTAAAGTTCTAGTAGTCATTTTTCTGATGGCATAACTGTTGTCTTCAAAAAACGACTTCCAACGACTTCTAACCTAAGGATCTGTAAAAATTGCTCTGATCATACTAATTAACTATTTTTATATATTTTACGACACATTACAAATAAATTCAAACATTGTGTATAGGCAGAAAGCCTTTGGTAAGAAACAGTACATGCTTCTGTAACCTGTTAGAGCAGTGGTTCTCAACCTGTGGGTCCCCAGGTGTTTTGGCCTATAACTCTTAGAAATCCCAACCAGTTTACCAGCTGTTAGGATTTCTGGGAGTTGAAGGCCAAAACATCTGGGGACCCACAGATTGAGAACCACTGTGTTAGAGAGAGTGATGGTTCTTTATTACAATGGTAATTACTTATCAATGTCCTTTGTAGACTTTTATAAAAGGTGAGTTCAAAAAGCAGAAACAAATAGAACTTCAGTAAAGTTATTCCAGAAGTAATTTCAAATTAGATTATTTTGATCAGTAAGTTGCTTTATGTTGAAATGCATAGACACACACACTTTGTGTATGCTGTTTAATGAATTTGTGATGAAGTAGGTTAAAAAGGGAGACTCACTTTATAAAGGTCAGAACTTGAGTGTCATTAGAAGATGTTAAAAAACTGGTTATAGAGATGATCAAACAATTTAATGAATAAATGACTAAGAGAACTGTATTTGCCAAAAAGCAAATTGTATGCTCCATGTTACCAGATACTCTGCAATCTTCATGACTGCATGTGTGTCCTCTCCCTTTCATTACTGAAAGGGCATGCTTTCCCTCCTTAAACTGACAACTACAAAGCAAGTTGAGGAATCAAATACTCATCACCTTATTTTATCAACATTTGTATGTCTTAGGTATCAATGTGTGAAATGTTATTTTTTTTCTTCTGATTCTGTCACCTTCCGTGTCCAGCAAAATCATTCCAGCATATCACCCATGATATATACCCATCCAGAATATTGACATTTCCCTCTCCCATAAATTGTCTTTGTGTACATACAGTCCTGTAATATAATACGGCTATTTACAATAAAAAGTGACATAATATTTATACAGAAAGAGAGACTGGGTCCAAATTGACAAACTAGTTCAACACTAGCAATAACATCAGCTATCATAGATTCATTCATTTCTTATATTTTAATCTATTGCATCCCATTATCTGTCAATAATGCTTCTCACCATTTTAACATGGTGCAAACACAAATGACAAGATTCGGAAAATGGTAGAAGATCATACCAATTCATACAGACACTCTCCTGCTAAACTGGAAGTCACTGTTCTCAAAGAAAAAAACTTTTTTTAAGGCTCTTGTATGAAATTTTTGAATCAGAAATAATATAAACATAGCAGGACCTAGTTGGATTTCAGTAATGTAGCTTCCTATGTCACTCTGCTTATTTTGTAAAATTTTGACAAACTGGTTTTTTTTGGGGGGGGGATTGCTTTTCATTGAGGTTTGGCCCCATTTTATTCCTCTAAAACCAAAACCTTTATTATGTATTCTTTTCCTGTTCTTCTCCCTACCTCCCACAACACAGAGGTTCAATAGAGGATGATATTGCATCAATTCAGTGAAGTATAATATAGTCCTGGAAAGATTGTGTTATTTTTAATACTTGACTTTTATGGTGGTATAAGATTTCTTGGATGTGGATCCAGAGATTGCATGTGCTAGTACTATCAAGTTTGAAAATGCCTGATACAATATTCAAGAGGATTCCTTACTCTTCAGGACTAGTGTTTGGGAGCTGTAGTGTGGAGAAGACTGGGCAAGACCAGGAAAGTCCTATGATGTGACAGGAATTCCCTTAGTCTGACTCTTGATTCAACCCTTTTGACTGACATATAAAGTTTCTCCTCCCAAAAGGAACGATTCTGATGTAAAATTATTCACACACGAACTTAAAGCTTTGTTAAAAAAATAAATAAAATTCAACTTTAAATCATACAACTAAATATTCCTTTTTCTCTCTTTCTTTTCTCAACCACAAAACTTTCACAGAAACATAAGATAGATCTCTTCTATAAACTTCGCCATGTCATGAATGAACTGATCGATCTTCGCAGACAGCTGCTTTCTGGGCATTTGACTCAGGACCAAGTACGAGAGGTCAAGAGACACCTCACTGTGCGATTGGATTGGGGCAATGAGTAAGTAGAGCTTTAATTTTGCTTTAGTGAATTGAGAGTAGTAGTCATGCAGCAGAACTTGAAAGCAATGATAATGTGGTTGCTAGCAGCTGATTACAGATTTCATTATCTCTGGAGGTTTTTCTTTCCCGCCATCCCTCCATATTTGCAGATTTAACTTTTGCAGATTTGATTATTTATGGATTTAATTAATATGGTCTGTTTAGAAATCTCTAGGTCCTCCAGTGCAACTCTGTGGTCAATTTCTGCTGGAGGCTAATGCATTTCAGAGAAATGTTAATGCATTTCAAACTGACCTCCTAAAGCTTTGTGTATACATTGAATTATTTGTATTGAGTCTGTATTTCCTAATCCTCCCTTTCCCATAATCCCCTTCTACCTGAACATGCTCCCTACAACATCAGGGACCTTGCTGGATGGAATGGACAGTGGCATGGCATTTTCTCTTGAAGACTGAGTAGAAACTGAAAGTACTTCAGTAATAAAAATCTTAAAAATATATCCTTTAGTCAAGCAGCGGAAAACATATGGCCTGCATGTGGGGACTGGGAATCCTAGCAGCTCTATCAAGCATAGGAATGGTGAGGAATACTTGGGTCATGTTCTAATAACATCTGGAAAGCCATATGGTTCCCAGCTGAGCTTTAGGCTCATTAGAGCTAGTGCTCAAAGTATTCACCACTCTTGTTACTTTTATCCTCAAAGTGTGTTGCAAACATGTTGCATCAGGCTGCTAAATGATCATTTTGAGTCTTCCTTATATGAGTCACTGTATTTATCATCCAGTAGCAGGTCTTGTTGAATCTCTCCCCATAAAAACAGAAAAGAGCTGAGTTAACAAAATGAATTTCAACACTGAAAAATATAAGGCACTACACTTTGGTAATAAAAATGAAGTGCACAGGTATAGGATGGGTGGCCACTGGCTTGAAAACAGTACACAAGAAAGAGATCTAAGATTCTTTGAAGACCACGAGCTGAACAGGAACCAAAAGTGTGATGTGGCTGCATCAAGAGGAGTATATTGTTGAGATCGAAGGCGGTCATAGTCCAACTCTATTCTGATTTGGTCAGACCTCACCTGGAATACTGTGTTCACAGTCCTGGGCACCTCAATTCAAGGAGGATATTGACAAGCTGTAATGTGCCCAGAGAAGGGCGATCAAAATGATCAAAAGTTTGGAAACCAAGCCCTATGAGGAATGGGTATGTTTAGCTTGGAGAAAAGAAGGCAGAGAGGGGACATGATGGCCATGTTTAGATATTTGAAAGGATGTCACACTGAGGAGGGAGCAAGCTTGTTTTCTGCTGCTATAGAATCCTAGTCCCAGAGCAATGGATTACAGGAAAAGAGATTCCACCTAAACATTAGGAAGAATTGTCCTGATGTTAAGAGATGTTTGAAAGTGGAATATTCTGCCTTGAAGCATGGTAGTGGCACCTTCTTTGGTGGCTGTTAAACAGAGGCTGGATAGCCATGTGTTAAGAATGTTTTGATTATGTTTTCTACAACGCAGGGGTTTAGACTGGATGGCCATTGTGGTCTCTTCCATCTCTATGATTCTATGACTCTGATGGCTATAATCTGATGGCTACAACAGTCAATGATATCTTCTTTATTGAGAATTGGAATTATGCTAACAATGTTCGTTTTCTGGATCATTAGTTTATTTTCCTCATTTGCTGACAAGGATTTGTTTGAATTTGATGGATCCTGTTTCTATAGCTTGAAATATCTCTATTGTAAGCCCCTCCTATTCCTGGTGATGTTTTTTTTTCCTCCCAATTGTGAGTCTATTGTTTGAATTGTGAGTCTATTGTTAAAACGTTCTTTCTTGACGAAATCTGCTATCTTTTCTCTATAGTCATACAACATATTATTTCTATTATCTATTTATTTTGTCCTGATCATGTATTGTGTTCTCTCTTGGTCATATGACATTCCTGCTTTGGCTTAAAATTGTCTTCTGATCTTTCCCAGTGGCTGGTTCAGTGCCTTCTAGCCTGGAAGTCTCATCTTCCATCAGTTTAAGTTAGTTATATTATTTTTATTAATTTCTGATATGCATGCAAGGTTTGAGGCTAAAATACGTGAATGAATGCTACCTATCACATTAGCCTATCCTCATATTAAGATTTTCAAAGGGAAACCCTTCTCTAAGTATCTTTTGTGGTAGTAATATATTCAGTATTTACATGATAGCACTTTTTCTGTGACAGGTCTCTAACTTAGCAGTTTTCTTCCCATATCATATGACAGTCCTTGTTCACTTCCTTTTCAGTGTCAAATTACGACATTCCATTTTGCCTAAGCATTTATTTATTTTAAACAATCAGTATTTTCACTGAATGAATATCTTCTGTGCCTCTTTTGTTATGCTACTGTTCTTGTATTTGCATTTTTACAGTGTTTTGTGCTTTGACATGGAATTCCTTTGGGATGAAGGGCAAATAAAAGTTCAATAGAATCTTATGCAATTCATAACACCCATGGCTGTGTAAATTGCATTGGCATATGTATATTAATCTATATTAATCTTTGTGGGCAAAAACTCTTTATCAAATGCACATGCGGATTATGTGGGAAACCTGTCATTCAGTGCCCCATTTCACACAGGCACTAAAGAATCCGGCTTCTCACCTCAGGTTACATCTTTGAGAGAACTCCCTCCAATACTTGAAGAAGGCAGCAGTGAGTAGGTTGCTTTTTATCATCCCTGTGATCATTGCTAAGCTGTGGGAAAAATTGAAACCACCCTCAATATTGACAGCTTCAGGTCTGACTCTGCAATTTTCAGTACCAAAACCTGCCATGTATCAACTGATTATTTTGCCTTTACCAAAGATTACCCCACAGCCTACCTCAGTATTTGTAGCCAAAGTCTTCGTGTTGGTGGTGTCGACCACCCATTGCCCCAGTAAGAAGTTGGACAAGGTTGCTGGGGATCTGACATTGACTGCCTCCACATCCCATTCTGGTTCACAATCAGGTCATAAGTAACCTATTTTGGTGGATTCAGTGTGAGCTACCATGATATTGTTTGACCCTATATTAGTTCTGATTGTGCCCAACATCCAGCCATAATGGGACAAAGTTCGGGAATAGCACATGCTTTTTTCTCCACACTATCTGATGCAACAAACTGTTGTTTCTATATCTAGCCAGTCATTGAACTCATTGCCACCATCTCATAGATGGGAGAGATCCCTATTTTATCAAGCAAGATTGTATTTCTTGTCACAAGGCTAGTCTTCATATCAAAGCTTTTCAGACTCTCGGATATTCCCATGGGGTCTCAATGGAGGCACGAAAAACCTTTTGTATGAGGCACAGAGAATTTGTTGAGAGAGAATAGTTCCAGTGACATCAGGTAATATTACCTTTGTTTGTTATATCAACAAAAAGAGTGTAGTAATTCAGTTATATTAAATCTTATCATTCAGATTTGGACATGGTGTAAGACAAAAAGAATTCATCCCATGGCCATCCACCTTGCAATCATAGACAAGGTTTTGGCAGACACAGTCAGGCCCTCATTCCCCAGCATGAGTGGTCTCTGCCTTGACAAGTGTTTTGATATGTATGGTAATCCTAGTTTTGATCTATTTGTAGTGACAATTGACAAGAGGTACAGCTGCTTCTGCTCCAGGGCAGGAATCAGAAGAGGGCTGCCTTTGGGATGCATTGTTGTTTAAGTGGTCATTTGCCTGATGTACCTCTTATTGCCACTACTAGGGAAAGTCATAGCAAAACTAGACAGAAACAGATGGATGTGCTATTAGTATCACTGTATTGCTAAACTGACAAAAGAAGAAGAAGAAAACCCTGGACTTTGACCCTAAGCTAGCCCCACCAGTAAGAAATCACGTTGTTAACTGTAAGTGTTGTTTTTTGAGAGGCCACCTGTGCATTCAAACAACCCGTCCTTCCTACTTGTGACAGCATACCTAGTGGTGACTGCACCTGCCACCATTGTTTCAATTGTATGAATACAAGATATGGATGACAGAACCTGAATATAGAGAAGGGAGGGCAGAGCCAAAAGTTCAGCTTTCTAAATGGTTTGCAATTGTGTTAAATATTGTATTCATAAACAAAGATTCATATTTGTGATTGCAAAAATGACCACATGAAGAACAACAGTTTAGGTAAATAGTGAGAAGGGTGATATACAATTACTACAAATAAATTCATGTCTGCAGCCACTTTGCAAAGATACTAAGTCTGCAGGTATTTCTGAAGATGGCAAGAGTCTGTACAGAGGTACTGTGACTATGAACCTTACAGTCTAGCTCTTTAAAAATTAACGATCAATTTTAATGTCAACAATCAGATTTTGTCTTGTATTACAATTTCCTATGCTTCAGTGTAGCAGTAGGGTTCAAGAACTTTAATAAGTTTGTCACATTCCACCTTAATTCAATCCTTGAAGCGTCTCCTGTTGATGTGACTCTGGTCCTTCCTTGAGAACCTCAAAAGAAAAAAAGATTGAATAGACTTTACTGGAAGCCTGATTTTGGCCCTTGTGTGTTGATTCCTTTGCTCTCCTATGAAAACAGGTAGCTGTTTGAACAAGCAGTTACTACGAAGGATTAACATAGCATTAGTGAATGAGAATCCTTTGAGCTGAAAATCCATGGTGTTAGGGGATTTTAACTAAATTTAGCATATCAGATAAGGTTGAAAGGTAACTGGACAGAGTGCTTTTTGGTTATTATGGTGGGTGCTATCAAATGCTTTCTTATTTAATAAGTAAACACTTGCATCCTGCCATCCATTCCATGCTTATATATGAATTTGAAAACAATATGATTTTTGTGACTATGCTGCCATCATTGCCATTATGCACTCAGTTGTCAGAAATAGATGGCATGTTGTTTGAGGGTCAGAATTTCATCACATTCCCATCAATAGCCAATGATCAAAGCAAGACAAAAAGTCCCTCCCTGTAGGGGGAAAACACTGCACGCCCTTACTAAAACAGCTTTATCTTTTCCTTGTCCTTCCTGTGTATATATAAATGTGGATTGCTGTGCTTATGTACATAATATTTGAAACCCTGCTGAACAAGGCCAGATTCATAGGCCTTATAAAATTTCTAGATTTTTTTTTGCATCCCCAAAGCATGAAAACATATGTTTGATCAAAAAGAAAAAAGTTCAGCCAAAACCTAAGTGGTTCTTCAGCTTTCTGCTGCTTGATTTTTGTAGTATGGATGAGTTGGAGGTTGGTGTAGTGGATTTTGGGGTTGAAAATTGGCCCTGACCCTCTGAAAGCTCGTTCACCCCTGTTATAAAACAAATGTGGGAAATAATAACCCTTGTCATGTTGATCTGTACTCCCCACACTGTGAACTATGGAGGTCACACTTCAGCAACATCTGTCTTGGACATCATAGTTATGTCTCTATCTCTCTGGGTCCCACTGCCAACAAATGCTTGGCAACATTGTCCAGTCAGATCCACTATCCACTGTTATATCAGTAAGATGAGGGCAAGTTTTCCAGAATGAAGTTATGTCTGTCTGAGATTACCCATGGAGAGGAGAGTGATGGCAGAAACGGGGACCAAAGAGTGTGCCCACAAAGATTTGTAAACCTCATGGAGCTTCTGAAGACTATTATAGTTAGCCGGACTGAAGGGAGGGGAGAAGGATGAAGACATCGTCTCCACCACTGCCGTGTGCCTAATAAAGGACACTCAGCCAATACAACATTTTTAAAGTATATTCTTATGAAAATTTAATCGCTGGAATTAAGGAACAAAAGGACTTCAAAACAGTGATTATCAGATGCTTTGGTGAATCATTTGCCTTTATGAGAATTTTTGAGGAGAGTCTGAAGTGTGTGTGTGTTTTAGACTGAGCACAGAAAGTATTTCAAGTTATGTAGAAAAAGGGGAGAGAACAAAACCTTCTGAATGGACAAAGATATAGAGTTTGAGATGAGAAAAAATAGAATTGGAAATCCGGTTTATTTTCTTTATATTTTTTTACAATTAACGTGAGTCATACAAAAAGAAGGAAAAGATGGAAACAATAATACTAGAAACAAATACTGCTCAGGTCACAGTGTAATAGAGGAGTTGATTCAGAGGCAGAAAGGTTCATACTTTAAGTGCCAAAAATCTGTTAGATGGAAGAACAAAAAATGCATCCGCTCAAGGAGGCCACGGATATGACCTGAGAAATGATTTAGAAGGAAATGTATTTGCTCTGATAGATGAAAGCATTGTAGATAGAGATTTGAAGAGCAAAATATATGCTTTGTCTGTGGGACATGAAACTGAGGATTGCCCACAAGCTGGGGAAGAAGGAAAGGTAATCTCTAAGAGTATTGCAACAGCAGATAAAGTGGTGACAGATGTGGCAAATGGGGAAAAGTAGTGAAGTCTACTGGATTTTAGAAACAAGATGAAACTGTTCATAAGAAGCCTAGAAGGTAGAAGGGAGAGAATGAAGACCGAAAGGACAAGAACTTTGTCATAAAGAGACCTCTAACTCTCAGAATATGGATGTGGTTTTGAATGATTCCCAAAGTGCATCCATGGGGCTTGGGTTGAATCCCAAAAGTGAGATTTGGGGAGCGGGGGGAAACTTTGATTAATTTGGTTTATGATATTTACATGGATTAGGTAAGAAGGATGCTTTCTCAATTTAAAGGAACCATCTTTTAAAATGAAATGTGTGAATTGGCAGCTATTTAGAGAAAAATATGGAGAATATGAGTAAATATGGATAAATATGACTATGGGAATGGGATGCACAGAAAGTCACAGCTTAGATTCTGTTCTTACTGCAAACAGAAATGTTGAAAAGATGAATGTTTGTTAAATATGAAAAATAAGAGAATGAATAAAATAAGTATTTTATTGGAAAATAAATAATAGTTACTAAATATGGAAGGTTATTTTGTATATTATATTTACTTATAATTTTTAAAGAATTTATAGAAATGTTTTCTTGATATTCTGTAGGACATGCATTTAGCATTAAAAGAAAGAATTATTAATGACTATAACTTATGGAAAAGGTGGTAGGCAATTTATTTGTATTAGAGTGTGGCAAGAGCTTAAAACAGTACAGATTTCTAATCATTGTGGAGAAAACTGGAAGTCACTTCTATACTTCTTTGGCCCTCTTACCTTCTCTTAATGTATATTATTATTTTTGCTTATATCCTGCTTTTTATCTCTAAAAAAAGACACAAAGCGGCTAACAATAAAACCAAGTACAATACAATTAAAACGTAAAAATATACAAACATTAAAAAGGGATTAAACATGAATAGTATTAAGAAGAAACAGTTAAAACAATTAAAATATATTCACACCTAAAACCATATCACCCCCTGGCTTCATCTAAAAAGTCTCCTTCTTTAAAAGCCTGCCTAAATCAAAATCTTGCTGCTGGAAGGACAAGAGTGAGAAATTCATCCTGACTCCCCTGGGAAGAAGAGAGTTCCAGAGTCAAAGACCAGCCACAGAAAAGGTGCTTGAGAGAGGGGTGGGACCAAGAAAAGGGCCTCTCCTGAGGATCTCAGGGCCCAGGCAGGTTCGTACAAGGAAATGAGGTCAGTCAAATAGCCTGGATCTGAGCTGTCTAGGGCTTTAAGGTCAGAACCAGCACTTTGAATTGTGCCCGGAAACAAAGTAGCAAACAGTGGAACTGCTGCAACAGTGGGTTTGTCTGCTCCCTGTAGCCAGCCCCAGTTAGCAACTTGGCTGTAGCTCTTTGGACCAACTTAAGTTTCTGAAGACTCTTCAGAGGCAGCCCCACATAGAGCACGTTACATTAATCCAGATGAGTTACTGTAACTAAGACATGTACCACCGTGGCCAAATCTGGCTTCTCAAGGAAGGTTGGTGCACAAGTTTTAATTTTGCAAAGGCCCTTCTGGCTACCGCAGATACCTGGGCCTCTAGATTCAACGCTGAGTCCAGGACGATCCCCAAACTGTGGACCTGTGTCTTCAGTGGGAGTTCATATATGTAGCAACACACTCCAAAACTCCAGATGACCTCTCCCAACAGTTTCATGTATATGTTAAATAGTATGGGGGACAAAATGAAATCTTGAGAAAACCCAGAGGTCAGTGGCCAGGGGTTCAAACAAGAACCCTCCACACTGCTCTTCTTTCTTTCCTATTTCCTCTTTTTCGTGTGCTTAGGAATTTTTTCCTTTCACTTTTGTGGTTTTTGTGTTGTGTTTTATATATTTGAAAAAAATAATAAAATATTAAATTGTAGATTTGGTGTGGCCAGCTGTCTCCATCGAGGCTGTAGACATTGATGTTCTACAGTCAATGCCTTCTAACATATCTGGTTTACTCTCTTCATTTCACTTTACTTTTTTTTTTTTACTCTTCTGTGATTTCTCCACTTTGGACATACTATTTCCTGAAGATCTCTGAGCGTATTTAGAGTATAGATCATACTCTCGGTACTACATTGATTCATCATTTATGCCATACAAACAGAAACAAGAAAGAACAGGGAAAAGCATTTCATTGCTGTGCTTCAAATTATCCAAGCAGGAGAGACATATTCTGTGTTAGATGTCCGGTGTAGAAGGAATCTGTAATCCAGTTTTATCTTCTCAAGTCTGAATATAATTCTGTTAAGTTTTAAATGTGAATCTGAACCTATTTAGAGAACTTACTGGGAAAATATTTCTATACTTCAGCATATCTGTGCTATTTAAACATTTTACTTTGTTTAGTTCCAGCAAGCATCGTAACACTACTAAATTATGAACCATTCATTTATAATATATGTATTTTATTAAAATGGCTTTGGGAGCTTAAATCAATAAAGTTTTAGTGCACAAATTATTCCCAGAAGCAAAGCAGTTATGCAGATTACAGTTTGGACAAAACAAGATACATTGTATTGATGACAATCACTTTTTTTCTTTATAGACATTTGGGCTTGGATCTTGTTCCACGGAAGGATTTTGAGGTGATTGATTCAGATCAGATCAGTGTCTCCGATCTATATAAAATGGTAAGTTGTCTTACAGAACAAGAAAGATGATTTCAGCAGATGGATAGCTTTTTTAAAAAAAAATGTAACAAATCTCTCTTTGTATTGTCGAAGGTTTTCATGGCCGGAATCACTGGGTTGTTGTAGGTTTTTTCAGGCTATATGGCCATGTTCTAGAGGCATTTCTCCTGACGTTTCGCCTGCATCTATGGCAAGCATCCTCAGAGGTAGTGAGGATGCTCACTACCTCTGAGGATGCTTGCCATAGATGCTGGCAAAACGTCAGGAGAAATGCCTCTAGAACATGGCCCTATAGCCCGAAAAAACCTACAAGAACCTAGTACAATTCTACTTTCATAAAGATATGGTGGCTTGCATCTATCACAGTATTGTTTCTGGTTAAATGTTTAACCAGAAGTTTAAAAAGTTTTAACTGCAAATTTGTATATCTTATTTCTTGTGATTTGTTCTTTTGTAAGTGGGTGAGTGGTACCCCCAGAAGGTGTAGTTAGTACAATACATTCTAATGATTAAGGCTGTTGGGGAAAATGCTTGTTTCTGCTTTTGGGCCTCACTATCTACCGAATGTGCACCAAAGGTATTGGCTTTAATTTCAGAATAAATTTTCTTAATGTATTTTGTAGAAAGTTTGGCATCTTCCCTCTGACACTGTGTGAGCTTTTATAGAGCCAGGGAATAAGGATTTAACAAATTTGTTTTCTTCTGGTAGAGTAGATCAGCTACTGTCCATCTGATGCCCTTTGGTTAATTCAACTCAGGGGGGAAATGTGAAAAGTACAACATGTACTGAATTTCTACACTATTTTTGTGTTTTGACTACACTAAATACTCCAGTTCAAAATGCTAGCACATAATTTATGAAAAAAAATATTCAAGCGTGTTTTAGGAAGACCATGTTTGTTATGATTTACTACTTCCCAAATATTGTTTCCCCTAATCCAGACCTTTATATCTGAACAATTTTTGCCATGTACCTCTAAAGGAGAATCATGATTATTTTGTTTTCTTTTAAAAGGACAAGAAGAAAGCTTTGGGTTACTAAATGTCATTAATTACTGTGATGTAAATAAAAAATATACTCAAATTGTGGCCTATGACAAAAAGCATGACCACAAATAACACATTAATATTTATTTTAAAATTGAAGAAATATCACCAAGTTGAAATTCAGGGTGACACTGTTTTGAAGTTTTCATTCTAAAGACTATAATGTTAGCAAAGAAAAAAATGGACAGCAAGTCTTATTGTGCTCAGTTAACCTGTTGTGTAAAGATTTACATCGTAATGCAAATTGAAATTATTTTAAAGGTATTTTAATCGTATTTCTATATATGCTGACCTTACATTTTAGATATAGTGTGTAATTGAAATTTATTTGGGTTTTGAGACATCTAAACAATTGTCAGTCTGATAATGTGAAAAATATATCCTTATATTTCATTATTAATACCATTAGTACTTCCATTATCAAAGTTACACCAAAAAAACCACAAGGCAGTCCTAATGGATCACATCATTTTCTGGCATTCTGTTTCTAAAAACATTTCCCTATCTGCAGAAAAGGAGCAGCATCAATCAATACAAAAAGTACACCACAGATCAAAAATAAAATAACACCGTAACAGCCATGCAAAATTAAGTGCAGTACAAACATTGTTAATGCAACTGAAAGTTACTTCTGCATATGTAACTTTTTGATGATGCCAGATGGAGGAATTCAGAAAGCCCATTTGCCCTTACACTTTCCCCAGACAGACAGGTTTTCCCCATTCCCACAGACATTCAGCATCTCCTAGAGCTCCTAAGGCAGACTGGTTGCCAGCAGGCTCTGTTCCTGCAGCTGCCCCCAGAAAGCAAAAGGCATCCTTCTGGGCCTCAATCAGTGCAATAAAACCACAAGGAGAGGGATAATGATAAAGTGCAAGAGCCAAGTATTAAATTATGGCTGAAGGGGTCAAATCATCTAGTGAACTGGATTAATCAAAAGCACATTGGAGCATCCAGGTTTTTAGGTCCTTACAGAAAATGGACAGGGTGAGAGCGAAATGAATCCCCCTGGGGAGAGAGTTCCAGAGGCGGGGGGCCACCACCGAGAAGGCCCTCTCTCTCATCCCCACCACCTGCGCTTGTGATGGAGGTGGACATGAAAGAAGGGCCTCCCCAGCAGAGGTTCATAGGGGAAGATGCGATCACGGAGATAGGCTCGGTCCGAACCATTTAGGGCTTTGTAGGTAATAACCTGCACCTTGAATTGGGACTGGAAATTTATTGTCAGCCAGTGGAGCTGTTTTAATAGGGGATTTTCTGCTTCCTATAATTCGCTCCAGTTAGCAACCTGGCTGCCATCCTTTGCAACAGATCTTTCTCTTCCCGTGTGCTTCAGAGGCAAAACTCTCCATTAATCAAGCATTTCCTTCACCCCACATGAAGGAAGAAACTAGTTCCTTGTCCCAGTTCCATGTTGCCTCAAAGAATTGGCAAGCTATCAATAAGTTGGCCAAAGCTTCTGCCTTCATGGTAGATGCTAATTTCAAGTACCATATGTGCAGTTTGCTTTCCCAGCCATATCTGCTGCAATAAAGTGCCACATTTGAATAAAATTTGGAATGTTGGTACCAAAACTAATGTCAGTTTGGCCACCAATTTGAGATGGAACTGGGACAAAGAAAATGAAATTATTGATTGTGGAGAGACCTGCCTTTGAAGTGCATGGGAAGAGCAAGATATGTTACTTTCCTGCAGATGGGGAAATATTTTAGAAACAAAATGCTAGAAAATGATTTGGTCTATTAGGATTGTATATGTTTTATCTTTTAAAAAAGGGTTTAAAATGTTTCATAAAGCTTTCAATGAGGTATTACAGACAAACAGAACTTTCAGTTCATGTGGGTTTTTTCGGGCTATATGGCCATGTTCTAGAGGCATTTCTCCTGACGTTTCGCCTGCATCTATGGCAAGCATCCTCAGAGGTAAGGATGCTTGCCATAGATGCAGGCGAAACGTCAGGAGAAATGCCTCTAGAACATGGCCATATAGCCCGAAAAAACCCACAAGAACTGAGTGATTCCAGCCATGAAAGCCTTCGACAATACATTAAACAGAACTTTATTACGGTCACAGACCAGTGTAAGGAGAGTGGGGTACAGTCACATAAAAGCATTATACATTGAGTTATTGGTTGAAACTAAAGATAAATTGGGGGGAAAACCTTTCTTTCTGTGCCTAAAAAGGAAGAGAATAAATCCTTGAGATTTATTCTTCCATCCATATACTCATAGAACCAAGTTCAGACAGCAAGAATTCTGACTCTTCAGGTCTAACTGGGATCCTCCAAGATAACAGCCTAAACAGCAGCAGACCTAGGGGTTCAATAAGGGAATGATTCCCTCTACAAGCAAATAGAATGACTAGTGTGAACACACTTTTTACATTTTGTAGACTTGGTCTGATGCCAGGGTGTGCAGGACTATGAGCTGAGGCTTCATGATAAACTTGCTTATGAATCCCTCCAATTACTTTGTTCAATCTCATATGTTCAACTGAGGCATAAGATATCAATGTATGCTTCAGGCTATAAAACATTCTCCTTAGCTGTATGAATCTGTTTGAAAAAGCCAAGCAATGCCCTCGAGCATAAATAACTTTTGTTCTTTTATCTTCACAGCATTTATCTAGTAGGCATAGTGTACAACAGAGCACATCACAGGTGAGATGAGCTACTGAAGCATTAATTATTTTAAAGAATCATGTATAGTGCCTTGAATTAAATAATTTGGGATAGGAGTCTGATTTTGTGAGATTTGTCCCCCATTTTCTAATACCAAGGGTTTTCACAGTTTAAGGATACAGTTTAAGAGAATAAACCTCTTGTGAACACAGTATTTAATAGCTGACTAAGATTATATTCTAATAGAAGAACAATAGCCTTCATTTTAACTACATTTAAGAGTGCATCTCTCTGAAATATGAGTACAGAAAATAAAGCTCTTTTCTTTTCCCAAACCAGGTCGATACAATCCGCCCACGCCATGGAGAAGCATGCCGTCTGCCAGTACCTCACCACTTCTTTCTCAGTCTAAAGAGCTTTACTTATAATACAATAGGGGAGGATGCAGATGTGTTCTTTTTTCTTTATGATGTTCGAGAAGGCAAGCAAATCAGGTAACTCAAAGGCAGATTCCTGCTTTTCAGAACATGACTTCATTTATAAAAATGTTAATACTTACAGATCTCCAGTGAGGTCTTGAAATCCAAGGTTTTTTTGTGAACTTTCTGCCAAAGAATGATAGCAGGAGTTGGTAGAGTGCAGCCTGTGGACTATGTACAACCCACCCACCCTGCAAGGCTGTTTTTAGACCCCAGCCAAACTCCTGCACCCATCCCCATAAATAAATTATACTATAAAAAATTTAAAACATATTGGGGGAAGGGTATAGTTACTGTGGCCCTCCAAAGTTGTCTGTGCAACACTTCCAGACCTTGCCTGTTGCCCTCTCCTAATTTCTGCATTTTCTAACTATGGAGTGATCTCTTTAGAAACATTTTAGAGCTGAAAGGTGTATGTTTGAACATTCAGAAGCTCATTTGAACAACCACACTCACAAGTAAACATTCCCCCTTTTTTCAAAGGTGAATTGGCTTCAATTATGTTTCTGAATTCTGGGTATGGAGAGAACATGTGGAACTGCTGATGGCGTTGGACGGCAATTTCCAGCATTCCATACTGCTGGTTATTCTGGCCAGGGATCATGGGAGTTACCATCCAGCAACATCTAATATCACATTTTCCACATCCCTGCTGCAGCATTTGCTTTTAACAATATAACAGGAATTCTTTTGAAGTGCCTGATTCCCATCAGACCTTCAGTACCTCGGACAGTTCTGTTCAGCCTACTTTAAATTCTTATTTAGCAATAAATGACCCTACTTAGGAATGATAATCTTGTCCTTCTACTGAAAGAGATTGAGCAACAAGGTCTTTAAACAGGGATTCCTAAAATACATTTTAAATTTATAAAGTAGCTGATAAGGTATTGCATTTTAAGAGAATATTAACTAATATAGTAATGGTGGAAAGCTACTGTCCTATTTCAGCATTCAATTCTAGAAACAGAATTGTTTATAACTAATCTTTTTATCTAGTGCACCCTGTGCTCCAGGAAACAACAACAGAATAAAAAAGGAGTTTTGAAATAAATTTGCTTTGAGATGCAACAGGGGAATATGTGATCAGGCATAACAGTTCAGTTCACAGCATTTTAAATATTAAAATATAGTACATCTGCTACAGGCACAGACATTAATATGACTCTCATAACTCCCTTTTTTGTTACATATGCCTTTAGCCATTTGGATAGAGTAAATTGAATTTAAACAATACAAACAATATATCATAGAAATATCTCCCAGAAGAGGAGATTGCAGAATCAATTGGTTCAAAACAGACATCAAAAATTAATTGTACCCGTACCCCTTCAAATGCTCATGAATAGAAAACCATGTTAACCTAGTGCCAAAGCAGTAATAATGTCAGAGTCAAATATGTGCGTGATTTCTAACTCAACATTTTTCATTTATTTTGCCTTTCAGTGAAAGGTTTCTGGTAAGGTTAAACAAAAATGGGGGACCCAAGAATCCAGAGAAGATTGATCGAATGTGTGCACTTTTTACAGTAAGTAATATCTTTCATTTTCTTAAAATGTATTGAACTTTTTTTGGATAGTGAGGTTTGGTTCAGATGTTACTGCAAACTGTGCAGGGATTTCTTTTTTCTGTTATTAGAGTAAGAGCCTTAGTTTTAGATTACAGAGATCAAGGAGCCAAAACTTGTTTTTAGCTGCTTGTCTGCTTATATTTCCATGTATTCAGGACTCACCTGCTTAGTTAATTAGTATACAATCATTTTCATCGCACAACAACTTTTTGTGATGGAGCTGCAGCCTCATAATACAGTGCAAAAGCTGTCATTATGGTTTTATCTTAGTTTATAGATTGTGATTTATAAAAATAAATAAACATCTTCCCACTGTGGTTTCAGATCTTGATCTGGTGGCACTAAACAAATTCTGTATTGTTGGCAAATTTGGGTTCAGAACTTTTCTGCACTGCACATAACACTAAGACATGATTTACTTAGCTGAATTGGCATTTCTAATATAGCAGTAGCCAACAAAGAAAACTTCATAGCTGTTCAAGGGAGTAATGCTACTATCCCAGGATGGCCTGGATAAATGAATGAGATGAGAGATGCTGTGTGATATAGTCCTAGGAATACAATCTCGGTATACTGGAATAGCCAAGAGGTTCCTTCAGTCATATTGGGGTCACTTTGTTCCCAATTGTTCAGTTCTTCAGAGGCTCGATGTACAAAGTGCAGTCAGTGGCAAAAGGGCACATGTCATGTCTGCCCTTTAAGCTAAATTGGATGCTTTTCTTCTGTCTGAACTGCTACACATGATGATGTTTGAAAATGGAGTCAGAGGAGGCTCGTTTTACTCCACAACATCACATGGTCTCGTTTTTTCCTGGGTAGTGAATGAAATACAACCTGTATTCCCCATGTCCACAGTGCCCTGGAAGATGCTATTCATAGTGGCTCTGTGACATTTGTTGTTTTCTACGCATTTTTTCCTGGCTACTTCATCCAAATCATAGTCAAAGCAAAATGTAGTTTAGTGCAATGTGGAAGCATGGCCATCACAGCTGAGCTAAATAAACTATGTAACATCTTAAATCAAGCTGGTTGTAAGATTAAAATGTTATATAAAAATATGTTCTGTATTGAGAATCAGAATTATGTGTTAAATCTTTATGAAATGCTAGTCTTAGGTTTCATAATAAAGTAAAGGAACAGTAATACATTTAAAATTCGCTTTTAAACTTGGGTGGAGAAGTACTCTTTTTCCTGCTACATTTGTCTTCCATTTGGCATTGGTTGTGGACATTATTTCTAATGGAGCATGAAATTAGGATGGTCTTTTGATGTTCTGTATGTTTTTGTGGACAAACAGTGTTTGCAAATGTTCTAGTGAGTGAAATAATCACTTGGCCTATATTTAGTGTAGTCATGCTAAGAGGAGATGAAGATAAATGTGTTTTGGTTTAAATCTTCAATAAATGGATAAATATTGTATTTTGATATTTTGTGTACATTTTTCTTCTGCATTTCTTTTTTCTTCCTGGATGTATGTATGATTATTATTAGTTTACTGATTCCATTATCTGTGATGGAAATGTATTATTATGTTCCCAGTGGTGGCTACAAGCCACCTGTAGTGTCTTTACAATGGTTTTGATTTGCCTGTGAATATTTGGAAGCAGTACAGAGAACATATTTTATTTTGTTTCAAGACACATGCTATAATTCCTTTTGGCATGGTTTTGTAGTTTATTCTTATATAATTTTTTTATAGTTGTTTGATTTCTTATGTTTGACTACTAAGGCAATTGACCAATTACCGCTACTGCTACTAACATGCATAGGCTCTTCCATAGCAAAAAATATAGTCGAAAAGAGTGAAGAAAAGAAAGCAAACAAACACTCTTTTGAGAATTACATTTGCAGCAGTTGTACATATGTGAAATGCTGAATCCATAGATAAATTGTTCAGTTATTTTTTGTAAAAGATTAACATTTGTGGAAATTAAAGTTAGTTCATTTCTGTTTTCTATGGAATACTTGCTTATGATCTAAGAGCAGTTTTGGTGTCCTGTCTTTGATGAAAACAAGGTATATGGACTTGAAAGCAGTTCCTTTTCCATAATGACACAAAATTGTGGTATGGCCTATCTGCAGAGATCAAGGTCCTTGTCCCAGCCTTCAAGCTACAATGTATTGCATTTGTTTGAACAAAGCTGTGGTTAGAATACCACAAATTCCGCTTGTGTTCTGATCCAATCTATTGAACCTGTCAAGTTCTATCCTCCCTCTCCAATTTAATTTCCATTATATTGGGCTTTGTTGTTAGTTAATGTGTTTTAGATTATTTCTTCAGTTACAGTGAATAATTTTCTAAGTGCTCATTACTTTATCAAAAGAGAAAGCCTGCACAGAAGTTTGAGGTCGGGTTCCAGGTTAATGTAATCACTTTCCTAGTCTCAAACCAGCTCCAGGCTTGGAAATCTCATCTGCCAATCCAGTTCCAAGATGCATTATAGTGTCAGGTAGATGTGCCTTTTGTTAGCATAATGGACCATTAAATTCACATATGTAGTTTTCCCAGAGACATGCAACAATCTTATAGGAAGACAAGCTAAGTGGACATCAGAAGTGGGAAGGCTGTTGGCTGTTTTTCCTGTTTTTCTTTCAAAGATCTTGCCCCTTCTGCTCCAGCTACACCAACTCCTATAGTTATTCAGTCATAATGTGCCAACAGGATTTCAGACTAAATAGTATGATAGTTTTGACATCTTTTTAACAATCATTACAATTCTAGAGCTGTTATAGAGATATACATTTCACTTATTTTATTCCTATATGTAAAAATAATTTCAGCTGTTTTATCCCTGCTGTGTTATAATATTAGGGTTTCCATGCAGTTTTTCATCAATCTTTAAAAATGACTATGTGCAATATATCCTCAAGGAAAAATGTTATTTTTGTTTCTATCTGATAATCTTCACATATGTATATGAATTTTTTGTGACACATTCGTAGCCTTTTCTTTCTAAGTTCTAGATTTTCTAATGGAAATGATGTAGAAATTGATATTTATATTTTTCTTAATCTGCTAGGATCTCAGCAGCAAGGATATGAAAAAAGATTTATACATTGTTGCTCATGTAATCCGGCTAGGTACAGTATGCTTCATTGAATACATTTACTCAAAATTAAACCATAATACGTTTTGCATGTTAGACATGTCATCATTATTCTGTGGTTTCCATTTATTAATCATATCAATAATATTTTTGACTCTTCATTATGTCCTGAGCAACCAATGTTATTGTTTTGTTATTTGTTCTACTTTTTAATGTATTTTTTAAAATCAAAAACATTTAAAAAGAAATGTCAGCATAAAAGAGCATGAGTTCCTGTTGTTTACTAATTGTAATAATTAACTAGCATTTGGGATATACACTGCTATTAAGACATTTGGGGTAGACTGAGCCTTAGATATTGCTGCAGTTTGACTTCTGCAATAGGCCAGCATTCAATTAATAACTTAGTTACAGCTATATTAGGCCTCCTCAGTAGTTATGATTTTGGGCTGGATATATTGGAAAACTGGATTAGAAAAATCTGTGATGTTAGTATGTGAAGATTTTCAAATTGCAACTTGGAATTCAATAGTTGGCCAGCATAGTTGGATCCTAAATGGGTTTTTTTTGTTAGCATCTGTGAAGTTATTTCAGCTTGTGGGGACCCCATGAATGAGAGACCTCCAAATCACCTTATCAAAAACAGCTCTATTTAGGTCTTGGAGTGTCAGGGCTGTCACTTCCTTGATTGAGTCTATCCATCTCTAATGCAGTCTTACTTTTCTGCTGTTTTCTACCTTACCAAACATTATTGCCTTTTCTAGTGAGTCATGTTTTCTCGGTTTAGTCATCTTGACTCCTGTGTAGAGTTTGGGCTTGATTTGTTCCGGGACACATTGATTTATCATTTTAACTGTCACTCCTCCAGCACCATATTTCAGATGAGTTTATTTTCTTTCTATCGGCTCTCTTTACTCCAGCATTCACAACCACACATGTAAATGGATATACAATGGCATAGACATTCTTAGTTTTGATATTCCATGATATATCTTTATACTGTGGGATCTTGCCTAGTTCCTTCATGCCAACCTTCCAAGTTGTAGTTGCCTTCTGATTTTTTTTACTGCAGTCTCCATTCTGATTAATGACTGAACCAGAATATGAAAAATCTTGAACTACAGTGTTTTCATCCTATACCCTAACGTTATATAAATCAACTGTGTCATTATTTAAAGTTTCTTCATACTCATTTTTAAACCTGACTTTGGACTTTCTTCCTTGATTTTTTTTCAGTAATTGTTCCATATTTTTCTGCTACTAGTAGGATGGCATCAGCATATCTTAATATTTTTATTTTTCCTATTCATGTCTCCTCCAGTTCTAATCCTGCTTTATGTATGATGCATTCAAAATACAAGTTAAATAAAAAGGGTGATAAAATACAGGATTTACTGACCACTTTGCCAGATGGATACAATTCTGTTTGTCATATTATGTTCTGACAGCATCCTGTTGTCCTGAGTATAGGTTACACATCAGGACAATCAGATGTTGTGGTACAACCATTTCGTTAAGTGTAATTCCTTTTTTAAATTTTTTTGGGGTATGATCTACACAATCCAAGGCTTTGCTATTATCTAAAAAACATAGGCTGTTTTTTCTTCTGAATTATTTGGTGAGCCCCATTATCCAGCATATGTTTGTAACATGATTCCAAGTGCCCCTTTCCTTTTGGAACCTCATTTGAGCATCTGAAAATTTTCAGTCCAAATATTTTTTTTTTGTAGAATTTTGAGCATCATGTTGCTTGTAGGAAAAATTAATCTGATGGTCCTGTGGTTACTGCAATCCCTTGTACCCCTTTTCTTGAGCATTGGAATGTATATAGAGCTTTTCCACATTGTGGGCCGTTCTTTTATTTTCCATATTTGTTGACAGATTTTAGTGAAAACTAGAATAGATCCTGTCTCTGTAGCTTGAAGCAGCCCCATCGGTGTTTTATTCCTTCCCAGTTATTTATTTCTCTTATGTTCTCTGAGTACAGCTTCCACTTCCACTTCATTTTCTAAAATTGTGGATTCATCTTCAAATGGTTCTCCTTGAATTATTCTTTCATTCCTTCTTCTCTTTTTTCTGACTTCCAGTCATTTTTTACATTATGTTAAAATTCTATGAGGATGTGCTTTGGGCTGTGTGTTTGGTTTAGTTTTCTTTGCTGTTACTCTAATTTTTGATACTATTACATCATGGTCTGTCCCACAACCTGGTCTTGTTTTTGTAAAGGTGATGGTCCTTTTCTGCTTCCAGGGATGTAGTTTATTTGATTTCTCTATTGTTCATCATGTGATGTCCATGTATACCAGGCGTGGGCAAACTTTGGCCCTCCAGGTGTTTTGGATTAACTCCCATAATTCCTAACAGTCAGTAGGCTGTTAGGAATTGTGGAGGTTGAAGTCCAAAATACCCAGAGGGACAAAGTTTGCCCATGCCTGATGTATACAATCACTACATTGATTGCTGAAAGAATGCAATTGTGATGAATAAGCATTTGGCTGCACAAATTCAGTCAGTTCCTCTCCTGTTTCATTTCTTGATTTTCAGCTAAATTTTCCTCCAAGCTTGGGTTCTGGTCCCCCCCCCCCCCCCCCCCCCGGTTTTCCATGCCAATTTCCTGTTTAGTGTGCAATCAATTTCCAACTGAACTCTAACATAGAATCTTTTAATTTCATCTCCTTAATTGGAGTATAAACTTGATTTTGGTTACATTGATGGCTTCTTTTGAAGTCTTACTTCATGGATATTATTCAGTCAGATTTTGCATTAATATCCTTTGTCTGCTTTTGCTATATTTCTTCTCACTATTAATGCTACCCCATTGCTCCTTAGATTTTCTCCTGAATGCATAATTATCTAACTCAAAATGTTCCACTTCTATCCACTTTAGCTTATGCATCCCAAGCATTGTAATATTTATCGATTCCATTTCTTGTTTTACTGTGCTGAGCTTCCCCTGATTTCTGCTCTTCACATTCTGGGTTCCTATATTATTTCATTGAGGTCCAGACATTCCTTTTTCTTCTGGGCATATAAACAGGTTAATGTTCTTTTAGCATGAGTAGCTGTTCAACATTGCCCTCTTTTGTATTCCAGTAGTTTGCTGAAGGCATTCCCAACCAGGGAATTTCATATTCTGGCACTATTTCTTGTTTTATTATGAAATGTTTCATCATAAAAGACATACTAAAGGGGTTTACATCTGCACAGGACAAACAAGTACTAGCTATGGTGTCACTGCCATTGTTTCTGAAAAATCCTTTACCAGTTTAAATCTATCCTGCTTATTTTAGCCCAGCAGATGAAAGAATTAAGATAACTAGGTGCAATCTGCATTAGCCTGGTATTTTTGACTAAAATAAATTTATGGAACTATCTTAAAGGACATATTATTTCAAAAGATAAAAGAATAGCATTTTATAATTAGATTTTAAATATTATTTGGGGCTTTTTAATGATCCAAAGTATAATTTCTGAAGAATTGTCACAGACCTTTTTAGCATTTGGTTTGGTGCTGAATTGTCACTTTTAAAAACAAAATTCTCCTTTATTTAAAAAGTTAACTGTATATCTTTATGTTGTACATGAAGTATAAATAGCTTGCTTTTAACTTACAGAAACAAAAGCTCTCTGAAATACAAGTTAGGGTTTTGAGATAGTTGAGCTGATAAAATTCTTCATTTATCATCTTATTTACTTATATGATAGAACAGCAATAAATACTCTTGACTTCTTTAGTGGCAAATTGCAAATATTGGTTAAAAGTGAGAAAATTAGAAATAATTTATTCATGAATTATATGTAAAACAAATGCTTTCCAAGTTGAGAATGGAAGCTGCATTGTAATGCTAGTATCTATTTGTTCTAGGTCGTATGTTGCTTAATGACTCAAGAAAGGGTCCATCTCATCTGCATTATCGGCGTCCATATGGTTGTGCAGTATTGAGTGTCATGGATGTAATTCCATCAATTTCTGAACTCAAGGAAGAAAAAGATTTTGTTCTTAAAGTTTACACGTAAGTAATTTATTGCACAAATAAATTAAAACTATATGAGTTGTTTATGCTAGGTTAGGAATCTTTTAAGATAGGTATATAAAATACAGTTCTTTGTGGTCTCAGTGACTCATGTGTCTGGGTTGTTTTGCACTGTACTGAATTTTTTAGAAGCTTAACTTCAAGACCCGACAAAATTATTTGGCAGGAATCCACCCACTGCTCAGTGCACACGATTGTGTGATATTTCCATATATTCTTTACATTTCTTTTTGTCTACAGCTGCTGCTGCATGCATTTAAGAATCTTTTCAGCTTTCTATTGAATGTAAAAAAAACCCCCAGTAACACCAGTTTTATGCCTTTATTTTTTCCTTTACTTTCCCTTACTTTCATCATACTTACTCTTGTCTTAATTTTCACCAGATACAAATCTCTCGGGCTATTACTAGCAACACAATTGGGACTTACCCCACATTAAAGTTTTCAATAGTCATGAAGATCTATTGACCTTGCATGTGGGTTCACCATTTCCACAGTAAAATAATAATAATAATAATAATAATTATTATTATTATTATTATTATTATTATTATTTGTAGACCACCCTATTTCCTCGAAGGGACTCAGGGTGGATTCCAACATATATGGCAAAAATTCAGTGCCAACGAGAAGAAAACATATAAACAAATTACATCAAAACAGAACACATCAAACAATATAAGTAGCCTAATTTTAAACTGAATGACAAACAAAATTAAACCAAAGACAAAACTTAACATAACTCAAACAGACATATTTTATCACAGGGTAAAACATCTAAAACTAACAGCTAAAACCTTATAGAGCAATGGAATGGTTTAATCAATAGGCTAAAATCAATTCCACTATCTAGACAAGATTTAACATATCTCGGCAGAGGTGTTTCGAGACATGTTAGGCTTCCTCATCTCCATACGCCAGAGTGCATACATGGGTTTTTAGCAACTTTTTGAAGGCAAGGAGAGAGGGAGCAGTTTTTAATTCTTTTGGGAGGGAGTTTCAGAGATGGGGAGTGACCACAGAGAAGGCCCCCTCTCCAGTCCTCACCAGCCATGCCTGAGATGGGGATGGGACTGAGAGCAGGGTCTCCTCTGCAGATCTCAGTGCTCTAGCCAGTTTGTATACAGAGATGCGGTTCTGCAAATAGTCTGGACCCAAACCGTTTAGGGCTTTATAGCTAACGTCCAGCACTTTGTATTTAGCACAGAAGCAGATCAACAGCCAGTGAAACTGCCACAGCATAGGAGTAGTCCTCTCATGATATGATGCTCCAGTTAGTAACCTGGCTGCCAATCTTTGTACTAATTGTAACTTCCTAACTATCTTCAAAGGTAGCTACACATAGAAAGCATTGCAGTAATCCAAATGGGAAGTAACCAAGGCATGGACTAGCATGGCTAGATCTGGCATCTGAAGGTATGGGCACAGCTGGCACACAAATTATAGTTGTGTGAAAGCACTCCTGAACACCACCAACACCTGGGGTTCCAGGATCAGTGATAAGTCCAGGATCACACTCAGACTGTGAACCTGTGTCTTCAGGTGGAGTGTGACCCCATCCAGCATAGGCTGTAACCCCACATCCTGATCTTCCTTCCGATTGACCAGGAGTACCTCTGTTTTGTCTGGCTTTACCTTCAACTTATTAGCCCTCATCCAGTCCATCACTGATTACAGGCACTGGTTTAGGGGCTGGATGGTCTCCAGATCAATTTAAATATTTGCCCTCCCTCCAGACAAACAGATACTGTTTATCAATTTTCCCAGCTAGCTCTCTTCTTCAGATGCAATTGGTCCTAAACTGAATCCTCTCTCTCCATTGGAGTATGTGCCACTTTGTACTAATTAGTTAATTTGGATGGCCAAGTCATAAACATATCAAAACCTTCCAATAGTGATCACAGAAAAGATAGTCAAATGGATGAAGGTGTAACTGATGCCTCCAGTAGTGATGCCTTTGCGGTGTACAATCAACCACTACTTACGCCTATGTCAAGAAAGATTGAGATTCATGAAGTGGATTGTGGCTGTTTATTAAAGCACCCAATGCCATATTCTATTATTATAAATGCTGTCCAAAGAAAATAAAGAAAAATGCCATTAGATTCCAGTAGGTGCAGAAATACATAGGTGTAGTACAGTGGGCAGAATGTTTTACTTCAGTACAACACTGAACTCCAGGTTGCAAATTAAGTAGCATATGTCCATAATTTTAACTGGAAATAACTGATGCCCGTTCTAGTCAAACAGCCAGATGACTATAGATCAGTAGTTCCCAACCTTTTGTCCTCCAATTATTTTGGACTTTAACTTCCAGAAATCCCAGTCATCATACCAGTTGTTAGGAATTGTGGGAGTCCAAAACACCTGAAGGACCAAAGGTTAGGAACCACTGCTATAAATGTACTTATCTGATGGGTCAAAACATTTGGAAAGCATCATTCAGATTTTGAAGTAGAACACATTCCAAAAGACTTGTCATTTGAAGAAGTCTGTTTATTTAATTCAGGTATCAAACTCAAGCTTTATCACAATCAATAGATGCATATGAAGGAGATAACATGGAAGTAGTGCCTCAGGCTTTTAATCTGCTCAACCTGAACAATCTTATCACCAGCCTGTCTTTCTCTTACTGAACCTACATTTCAAGCATATTTTGTTTTGAAGTGCACTTCCATACAGTCTAAGTGCTCTTACTTTTGAAAAAGCAAAGAGAATATTCTAAGAAGTGCCTTTTACTCCCAGACAATATCATCCATCTCAGTTCCTCACTGCAAGCATGCTCATTCAAAGACAAACCATCCCACTTAATGATGCAATATTGGATTCTTAGATTCTCAGTATCATTAGTTGAGGTTGGTACCATAGAATGTGTGTTGCTTACTGTATTGAGAAAATTATCTTCCTCTCCTGCTCTGCACCTGGAGAAGCTTGATGAATTATGTTTTTGTTGTGTGCATTCAAATTGTTTCTGACTTATGGTGACCCTAAGGTAAACTTACCTCAAGGTTTGCTTGACAAGATTTCTTCAGAGTAATTTTGCCTTTGCCTTCCTGTGAGACTGAAAGAGTATGACTTGGCAATGTTCACTCTGTGGGTTTCCATGACTCAGCAGGCATTTAAATCCTGCCCTCCTGTTAAATTATATTCTCTACTGGAAGATCGAGTAATAGAGCAAATTCTGATTTTCCACAACTAGAATGGTCACCATGATGGCTTTCACAGTCTTGCTTATTTAATACCAGGGCACAAAAGCCAACTAGAGCATACCTTCCTCTCTCAGAAGGTCTGGATGTCTAGTGATGATATATTGATGATATATTGCAACCTGCTCAGTGGAGTACCTTAATATGCTCTACAAAAGTGGCAATGACAGATTTGTATTTTTCCAGTTGCATATGTAGATGACTGCATTATGCACCGCTACCAGTCCCATGTGGAGCGAGATCTTCATATCAGTGGCTTGTAGTTACATTCATCTGTAGAAATCTTTGGACCATTCAATTGCTAGTACTTTATTTTGTCAAACAATTTAAGTCACCACAGGGAGTAGCATTGCTAAGTTGTCGGTCTGTTTATATAGCTTTAACAGCTTTTATTTGTTTGTTTTCTTAATCAATATGGGGATGAACATACTCTGGAAACTGAAGTTTTTGAGAGGCATTCCTTGCTTCGTGATACCCTAATATGATTTTTCTCTATACCACATTTAGAAGAAAATCATTTTCTAGTCTCTGAGATCTCAAGATTTCATTCTGTTAAGAATCAACATCACCTAGGATTTCTTGTTTTGAGTTAGCTGGTATGCGTACCAGACATAAACTTCAAACCTACTTATTTAATATGTTCCTTTCTGTTATAAAGTTGACACTTTTTGAATTTATGATTTTATACACTTTTGGCTTTAAAGATTTGTATGCTGGGCAATGGGGTGGCAAGAAGATGGCAATTGACACATTTCTCAGTATATTGTATGACTTCAGAACCTTCTTTAAATAGCCTTGTTTTTAGCACATGACCTAGTGAGGTTTGTACATATAGTAACCAAGTGAAATAAAATCTTATTTTCACTTTACTGGAAATAACATCATTCCCAGTCTAGATATTCTCCTCCCCCACCCCCCGATAATGAGCAATTTCCACCTGCCGTGGAAAATGCTTTAATGTTCCTTTGATGGGACATAAATAGTGCCAAACTCATCAGAGGTTTTCTGATGTATGTCAAAAGCCCTTTGTCTGGCCCAGAAATTGACTCAAAAGCAGTGGCAGCTTCGATTGTCTTCTGCACATGATATAAGAGATATTAAGGGTACGATTTACTACAGGAACTGCAGGAACTGATCTTCATGCATCACTATAGATGGGCTGTTTGAGTTCAAAGCAATATTACTTTTAACACATCCTGAAATATCTGAAGCATGTACTATGGTGTAAGACTAAAGAAGGGAAAGTAGAGGGGGGGGGGAGTGGCATATAAATAATAACATGACCAAGGAAAACTGCAGGAGATACTGCAATCACTCTGATGAATGGTGAAGCTAACAATGAGTGAAATTACCTTTGGCTGTGGTCCTGCAGCTGTTCTGTAATGGTTTTATCTATAGCAGTGGTTCCCAACCTTTGGTCCTCCAGATATTTTGGACTTCAACTCCCAGAAATCCCAGCCAGCTTACCAACTGTTAAGAACTGGGGGAGCGTCACCATTCATCAGAACTATTTCAGTATCTACTGCAGCTTTCCTTGATCATCAGACAATGATAATCATATATGAGTAGGAAAGCAAACAAAGTGGGCCATAGTACTAAATAAAATTATACTGATGTAGTTTGTACTCTCATGATTTATGTGTATCCTCTGCATGATTTATGTGTATCCTCTGCATATTAAAATATATCAAATTGTGTTATATTCATCTTTCATTTTTGACCATGCTGTTTTTAAAATATTAGTCAAAAGTAATAACAAATGCATTATTGACTAATAGGTCTTTTAAAACACAAGGCATCACTTTTATTTTATTTTAAACTTATTTCACTTTTGAGCCTTTAACTGTGCTTCTCAAAGTTTACATAACAGAAACAAAGCCGACACTATTAAATAAAAAGGGTGATTAAACGCCCTGAAAAATATATTAAAAACTATTAAAAGCTAAGCAGAATAAGAAAGTTTTCACTACTTCAGTTCCAGAAACAGACTGTTTTCTGCAAACCTCTTTGAAAATATTCTAGAGGAGGTTTCTGTTTATGACAGTATCAAATAAAACAATTCATCTGAAATTATCTAGTGTTGGATCTTAAAAGTAATCTGTTTATTGTCTCCTCTGATTGTTGATGGCTTTCAAAGGTCTCAGGGAGTTTTCTTATTTTTGCTGCTCAGTGTAGAGATGTAAGGGATTTAAAGTGGGATAAGCAAGGCTCTTCTCTCAATCCCACCTCCATCTCAAGTTTGATTGGTGAAAATGAGAGAAAAGGCCTTCGTTCTCAGTGGCTGTCCCTCGACTCTGGAACCCCTTGCCCAGGAAAGCCAGAATGGCCCCCTCCCTGCTGTCCTTCCAGTGGCAGGCTAAAACCTTTTTATTTTATCAGGCTTTTAAAGATGAAGGTGTTTAAGATCAATTCAGGGGGTGCAGACTTCCGAATTCAGACTGACAGAGTTTTGGAGCACAATACTCCTGGCCTCACGATCGTGTTAAAAAACAAAGTATGGATCGTCAATGTTGCAATCCCAGGCAACAGCAGGATTGAAGAGAAACAACTGGAAAAGCTGACACGATATGAGGATTTAAAGATAGAACTGCAAAGACTCTGGCACAAGCAAGTAAAGGTGGTCCCAGTGGTGATCAGCAAACTGGGTGCAGTGCCTAAACACAATTGGCACTAACAAAATTACCATCTTCCAGCTACAAAAGGCCACGTTACTGGGATTTGCACGCATTATTCGCCAATACATCACACAATCCTAGACACTTAGGAAGTGTCTGACATGTGATCCAATACAACAGCCAGCAGAGTGATTATGATGGCACACCGGGAAGATCTAATGAGAAACTAAATGTGTCTGGCTATTTTCCCAGTGACCATCGGTATGCCCTAAATTACTTTAATGCCCCCAAAAATGATACTCTACAGACAAGACTAAATTAACCAAATTGAGTTTACTAAACAAACAAGATGAATTACAACAATGTATAAAGGTGAAGATTGATTATGATGGTATAACTCTGAGGTAACAACTATAATTTCTATGAGGTAAATACTCTTTAAACTCTGGGGCATGTACTATCTATTCTGTATAACATTCACTATAATCTATATTCTATGGGGCATGTATATCTGAACTATCTATCTATAAGGCATGTATTATTTATGAACTATCTATCTATAACTATCTATAAGCTTTGGAAAATATATGTACTGTCTATGAACTATCTATCTATAGGCAAATATAAACTATCTATCTATGAAACATATAAAATCTATAAACTTTGGCAAATATGTGATAAGGATGGCCTGTACGGACTGCAAGCCAGACCAGACACTCTTCTGGCAACTATCTATAAACTATGATCAAAAGGAATGGAGTCAAAAAGTCTTTCACCAGGCTCTGAGGCAGAATGGGCTGAACCAAAGAGCTCGGCCTATAGGGGGAGCCTAAGCTCCTACTCTAAACTTGGCAAACTGGAACAGTCCAACAGGCAAACAGGGAAATGCTAGACCGAGACTTCACAGTGATTTTGTCTGCCGTGGATTCATCTTGTTGTGTTTAAAATAATATGTTCTACCATTAATCTATGAACCCTTTAATGTAAATATTTGATATGGATCATAAAAAGCTGTCAAAAAATTCAACGGTTAAAAATAGAAGTCTAAAACATGAATTTGTAATCATTTCCAGAAAAGTACCATACTCATAGACATACCAACCTAGCCTCACCTTGACTTGCCACCATTTGCTTCCCTGCCACAAATCTTCTGATATGCTAGATGCAGGATCTTTTCTCATTTATTTAGAGGATTTATACTGCAGTGTAAAGTATATGAAAAGGATTTCTTGCTTGTTTCTTACTGTTGCCAAATGGTGCTAGGAGACCTTGCCAAACGTCCTGGGACATCTGTTCCTAGTGAGCGTATTTGTGGATTAGCATTCATAATCACTATGAGCACTCTGTGTGTATCCCAGAAGCTAATGAAGCTTGATTGTTTATTGGAAAAGAAACTATACACATTTAGTCTGTCTTTGCATGATGAATTGCAACTCCTTGTTTGAGATGGGTGAGTGAATCAGAGGGTTCATACTTGTAGAGCCAATCATTCATCTAGTGCAGGGTTTTCGGTTAATTTGCATCAGAACCCAGTCTCAGTTTTTGCTCTTGTCAGCTATGGAATCATGTATGTTATTGTTGTCCTTTTAAGGTCACAAATTAGAGAATAAAAGGGAACACTATGTATAACCAATACAGAAACGTTTTCGTATAAGGAATAATTTTGTGTCCACCAAAATACATGAGGTTCATACCTCATTTCATACTGCTGGTAGATTGATTATTGATAGGCAATTGTTAAAAGCAGAACCAATTTAGGACATAGAGTAAATATATGAAAGCAAGTTTCTAACATATGGCACAGATGTTCTACATGAAAACAACCCTAACCGTATTTGTATTTCTTCTCTAATTTTACTTTTCCTAAATAGAGTCACATGGAGTTCTCTTTTTCATTGTATTGTTTTTCATGAAAGTTATAAATAGCTGTGTTTTTTTTCCTTTGGCATTCAGTTGCATCTTATAAGAAAACAGGAAACATGTGCTTTACTTCTTTCAGGTGCAATAATGAAAACGAATGGTTCCAGATCCATGAAAACATCATTCGCAAGTCCAGCACCAAATATACAGCCCCAAGCTCAAATTATGGTAATATTCCATTTTCATATTTTGTAGCTGTATTAAAAACTTACATTTCCTGTATATCATAGAACCTTAATGAACAATGCAGCAGGAACAATTGATTCCCAGAATTAGTAGTGTAAAGGGCAGTTAATGGCAAATGGAGCAAGAAGTCAGATTGAGCAGAGCTACACTGAGACATCCAAGATAATGAGTTCATGAGTTCAGATTTGGTGGCTGTGCAAAAGATGAGGTGTCTGAACTATACTACGCAATAGAAGTAGTCCTTTGAAATTCCTGCAATCATTCTTGGAGGATTTCAAACCTTATTAAGAAATCAATCTGTGGTTATAAATAAAATTATGTATTTAATTTAAACAATGAAATTTCATGTTAAACAAAATCAGCGAATGCACTTGAAATCTTAGCATTATTTTGTGCCATTTCTGAAATGCATGGATGTTTTTGTGATTATTTTCCATTATCTGCAAAAGTGGGAAAGTTGTGAATATAAATAAAAATAATTAACTCTATGCTTTTTTTTTCTCTAAGCATTTCTAGGTCATCTAGCACAATTCTATGGTCTCACTAATTTGTGCTGAATAGATTGCCAAGTTATGCTGAAACTATTGTTGGGAAGACTCTGGATACCTGTATTTCTAATGATGTGGGTCATTTTGACTGTTCACTTTTTGAACAGAACTGGAAAGAGCATTCAACCTGAAGATATTAATATCCATGGATATATCTATTGAAATAACAAGCCACTAAAATTGATGTTAATATGTTCAGGTTGATTTTTGTTGCAATTGTAAGGCTATACTATTCTAAAGCCTTTGACTGTGTGGATCATAATAAATTGTGGCAAGTTCTTGGTGGGATGGGCATCCCAAGCCACCTTGTCTCTCTCCTGAGGAATCTGTACAAGGACCAAGTAGCAACAGTCAGAACTGACCACGGAACAACAGACTGGTTCAAGATTGGGAAAGGCGTACGGCAAGGCTGCATACTCTCACCCAACCTTTTTAACTTGTATGCAGAACACATCATGCGATGTGCGGGGCTGGATGAATGTAAAGCTGGGGTGAAAATTGCTGGAAGAAACATTAACAACCTCAGATATGCAGATGACACCACTCTGATGGCCGAAAGCGAGGAGGAGCTGAGGAGCCTTCTAATCAAGGTGAAAGAAGAAAGCGCAAAAGCCGGGTTGCAGCTAAACATCAAAAACACCAAGATTATGGCAACAAGAATGATTGACAACTGGGAAATAGAGGGAGAAAATGTGGAGGCCGTGACAGACTTTGTATTTCTAGGCGCAAAGATTACTGCAGATGCAGACTGTAGCCAGGAAATCAGAAGACGCTTACTTCTTGGGAGGAGAGCAATGTCCAGTCTCGATAAAATAGGGAAGAGTAGAGACATCAGACTGGCAACAAAGATCCGCCTAGTCAAAGCCATGGTATTCCCTGTAGTAACCTACGGATGTGAGAGCTGGACCTTAGGGAAGGCTGAGCGAAGGAAGATCGATGCTTTTGAGCTGTGGTGTTGGAGGAAAGTTCTGAGAGTGCCTTGGACTGCAAGAAGATCCAACCAGTCCATCCTCCAGGAAATAAAGCCCAGCTGCTCACTGGAGGGAAAGATACTAGAGACAAAGTTGAAGTACTTTGGCCACATCATGAGGAGACAACAAAGCCTAGAGAAGACAATTATGCTGGGGAAGTGGAAGGCAAAAGGAAGAGGGGCCGACCAAGGGCAAGATGGATGGACTGGCATCCTTGAAGTGACTGGACTGACCTTGAGGGAGCTGGGGGTGGTAACGGCCGACAGGGAGCTCTGGCGTAGGCTGGTCCATGAGGTCACGAAGAGTCGGAGACGACTGAACGAATGAACAACAACAACATTTTCCTTAGATACTTGGCCATACTTACTACTGCTAAGGGTATTCTAGTTGGACAGATGATCTTAATTACAATCTGACTGCTAACTGCCAGAATCCTCATGCCTTACCAATCTTTGCTAGTTTGTAGTAGTTCTGTCAAGATTAGTGTTACCATGTCAGTACTATAAAGAGTATCAACATTCAGTCTATGTTTATGATAAGGTTTCCCAAGAAGTACTGTAGGCTATTGTTAATATATTGGGATCACCACAGTCAAAACCGATGAGTCAGTTTGGTTATCTGGCGTGATAACATCATGTCCACATGGACAATTCCTTTGAAGGCTTCCATGTTATCTTTCTCTGTTTTGTTCTTTCTCTTTTGTTTGCTTTTCAGATGCCAATTCAGTAAGTGTTGGTTCTCTTTCCAGCATCTACCTTCTAATTCAATAATTGTGGAGGCCTCTCAGACAAAAGGAAAACAATGATCTCATTATGTGTCTGTGGATAGTAGCAAGAATGACCTTATGGGTCACAGGTTTTATAAATTGGCTGTATGAACTGTTCCTTTCATGGATTAGAAGGCATAGAACATGTCAATAGTTTCTATTGTGCAAAGTAGCAGCTTTTTTCCTTACTTACCTGAAGATAAAAGAACATAGCTTTGCTGGTTTAGTTTGAAGCGCATTGTCTAGCTACCGCTCTGAGTCGCCTAATTGGCTGAGAAGAGCGGTATACAAATAAAGTAAATAAATAAATAGCTACATGTCAAATCAGTTCTTCTTTTTAATTAGTTTTATTTATTTATAAATAAATAATACCCCAAATTTGTTATTTTAGTCACATACAATAGTGTTCCACTATTATTAAAGCGGGAAAATAACAAGACAGTTCAAACTGCCACATATAGAGGAAAAAGCTCCAGAGCTTCTGGGGAAGCTCACAAACATCCTGCAATTTTTTAAAAGTGAGAAAAGGCCACATTAAGCAACTTTAAGCCACATTAAGCACCATTCCACACAGCCATGTAACTCAAAATATCAAAGCAGATAATCCACAATATCTGCTCTGAACTGGGTTATCTAAATCCACAATTATTATTATTATTATTATTATTATTATTATTATTATAACTTTATTTGTACCCCGCTAGCATCTCCCGAGGGATTCGATGCGGCTTACACAGGCCGAAGCCCCAAAACACAATACAACAATACAATACCTAAAGCAAATTAAAAACAGTTAACAGAAAAACAATAACAGTAACAATACAACAAGACACTATTAAAACTGGGCTGGCCAGGGTAGGGGTACAGAATTAAAAGTGCTGATGTGGTGGGAGGAATGTAGGATTATAAAGTAAGTGCAGTGTGCAGTGTGCAGTGATCTTGGTTCTACTAAAGTGCTTCTAAGACTTGGTGCTGGAGGTTCCTAATCTGAAAAGGCACATCGGAACAGCCATGTTTTCAAATTCTTTCTGAAGACTGCCAATGTAGGGGCCTGTCTGAGATCTTTCGGGAGGGTGTTCCAAAGTCGGGGGGCCACCATAGAAAAGGCCCTGTCTCGCGTCCCCACCAAGCGCGCTTGTGACGCGGGCGGGATCATGAGCAGGGCCTCTCCAGATGACCGGAGTGAGCGTGTGGGTTCGTAGACAGTGATACGGTCACGCAGGTAGGGTGGTCCCAAACCGTTCAGGGCTTTGTAGGTAAGCACCTGCACCTTAAATTGGGCTCAGAAAATAAACGGCAGCCAGTGGAGCTCCTTAAACAGGAGGGTTGCCATATAATCAAGTTCAAAGTGCACTTTATACAGCTATGTGGAAAGGGCCTAAGGCTGAATGGGACTCATGTATCATGTGGACATCATGGAGTCCATTCACCCATACCCCAACTCATTTGGCCTGTGTACATGGGCCCTTAGACTAAGACTAGTGAAATACCTGGGGGGGGGGGGAACCCTGTAATTTTGAGAGTGAGATACACACACTACTGCATGTTTTTAAATGAGCATTACAGTTTCCTTATGAAGAACAGTGCCATCAACTGAACCTGGAAACAAAGAGGAATCAAGAAAATGACAGAATCATTAGAGGACATTTTAGACGATGATGAATTGTCTCTTCATTGCTTATGTTGCTTATAGAATCATTTTCAGATAGAGGATGACAAATAAGGTTGCTTAGTAGGATTGTGTGGTGATTGGGCATGGTAAATCAGTGCCAACATTGGCAAAGGGAGTCACATGATCTAGAACAGCTATTCAAAGCAATTTATTCTTCCTCGAGGTACAGCAAAGTCTAGAAGAGCTATGAGGCAACGTGAATATGGAGCGTACATCATACACTTCACTCAGATGTTTAAAGAAATTTCTGTAAAATGTTAATGAGAGTGTAAATAAATTAATTGATTGAATTATGGTGCAGACCTGTGGATGGCAAAGCTGGAGTGTTAAGGAACATCCATGGTTATTTCTCAATAGTAATCAAGTGCCTGTTGCATTTCATGCTCTTTCATGTTTTAGAAACCAAAGTTTCAAAAATACTTCTGCATGTAAAAAATATGGAAATATCAGATGTACAATTTTGATATTCCAAAATAGTACCAAATACTGAAAGGTATGTAAGTACTTTATATGAAAAGTAAAATTTCTCAATAAATGGGATGTATGATGCCTGGTGTACTAGAAATATGTTGAGTAAGATGAGCTTCTTTAGCACTCTAATGTAGTGCTATCATCCATCCATATCTGTGGGTTAGGCATTTGTGGATTTGATTATTCTTGGATTGCACTATTTCTATCACTATTGCCCTCTACACGAATATAAACAAGTGTTCGCTTTAGGCATTTCTAGGTCATCCAGCACAATTTTGTAGGTCAGCTTCCAGTAAATGTAGAAATCCTTTGCCATCCACATGTTCTCTCAGGTAAAACCAAAAATAGCTTCCTGATTTTTATTTATATTTGTAGTTTTCCACTTTTGCAGATATCATGTGTCTCATGAAAGTTCAAAATTGACTGTGCAAATGTGTTCTTTATCAATATGAAATATATTCCTTTTTAGAAGCAATGTGCCTAACTTATTTAATATCCATGAAAGATAAAATACTGAGATTGAAAGACAAACTGAATGCACACGTCATGCTGAACCACCGTAGAATCATAGAGTCGGAAGTGACCTCGTGGCCCATCCAGTCCAACTCCCTGTCAAGAAGCAGGAATATGAATTATGACTACACAAACAATTGTTTACATAATAAATATCTATTATAATAAAGTAGCATTTTTATTCTTCTGTAATGTAACATTCCAGAATGCACCGATATTTGTCAGCTCTTGTTTGAGCAGGTGACAAAACTGGTGAACTTTGAGGAACTCTGGATAGACCCTGGTGGGCAACACTGGAGTGGGAAGGGGGCAGGTTTCGCTCTGTACCCCCTGATGGACTGCATCTGTCCACCAAATTTCTTGAACTCACTAAAAAATTTAAAATTCTGGGTGATATTTCACACCCAACGCTGCGAAACACAGCAGTTTTGCTCCCGCATGTGCCCCATATAGCTTAAAAACCAGCCAGATATCCCCAGAATTGTGCAAACATGACTGAAATTGAAACATTAATTATGTTAATTTGGTTTTTGATTTTGGTCTGTTTTATCTGTTCTGTGGCAATTTTGATCTATTTAGGCAAGGGGAGACACACTTTGGGGGCCTAAAGGACACATGAGTAACTTTCTCTCCATCCTGTATTGATGTGAAAAACAAACGAATCTGTTTCCAAGCTTTCTTATGAGTATATTTTATCCTTGGGATCTGCAGACCGGGGTACAAGATACAGATTAATAAATATAAACTGAAAAACTTCCAACCCTCTTTGAAGAGACAGGTGTGGGAAAACCATGACTATTTCATGTGTTGAGGGAAAGGCAGCCATACATTGCTTGATATCAGTGTTTCGAGTTCCCTCCTCAGCTTTGAGGGGCGAGGAAAGACCTATATTACAAAATGAATTTTACATTATGACTGTTCAATTCTATAACAGTTTTATCATATTCCTCATCAGGAGTTGTGTGGGCTAGGTCTTTGAGATGAATTTAATTTTATAATTCTAGCTTTTTTAAAAAAATCATTAAAAAATTGTTTTGCAGGACTCATAATTTCTCTTCAGCTTCTTCATGGTGAGATGGAGCAAATTCGAAGAGAGTATCCCATGATATTTAACAGAGGGATAGCTGTTACAAGAAAAATTGGTTTTCCAGATGTCATCATGCCTGGTAAGAAGATGAAGTTCTTGTTCACTTGCTCAAAACGGGTTTTTGCTGGTGATATTACTAAATAGAAGACATTAAAATGATTAAAGTTTTGAAAATATTCTTTATTGTCTGTTTCAGTGTTTAAAGGCAACTTGCCAGAGAGTGTGTAATTTGCAATGATATTAAGTTCAAAAAAATCTTCCTTGTTTAACATCTTCTGTAGTTTTGTGTAGGACTGATTATATTTGCAGTGATGGTAAGAGGACAGCATAGTACATAGTATCCATAGAGGAATGGCTGGAGCACAGTGGTCTTAAACTGGAGAATTGTTGGTACTACTCTGCTAGAAGGGCAGTGCCTTTTTCTTTCAAGCTGTTATTTGTACTTGCCCCCCCCCCTCTCCATATTTTGTACAACAAGCCAACTGTGTTGGCACTGAATTTTCATTCAGAACTGCTAACACTGGCCAAAACATATTTGGTGCCTCAAATGTTAGACCTGCTCCTGGGTATATTTGACCAGTTGCTACCAAAAATGGCACCAGTTTTCCCTCATCTAGCTTTTGAGATACAGAACATATGTCATCTACCAGTCACTCTCTGGTCGCCTATAGAAAATCATGATAAGCATAGCTAAGAAACTAGAACTGATATGGTCTATCCAATGCAATTTTCTAAATCGGTGCCCAAATAACCCCAGGAACAGTCCTATGAACTGAGACACTGAGAATGTTTTTGTTGGCTGTGTAATAGGAGAGGCTTCTGTGCCACACCAGAAGTTAGCAACAAAGGTTAAGTGGTGTAGCTTAGGCTGTGTGGCACAAAGCTCAAACCTTCATCAACTAGTTGCCCTTTTCTTTGAATGGAAGGTTAGTTCTGACAAGCACAAAAACTTGAGGGGATGTCAATTAAAGGAAAGTTCTTCTTGATATTCTTGAAACATTTTCTTTTGGTCTTCCTCGGATGTTTGGCAGTAGAGTGAAATAGCTTATACTAGTTGTGAAAACATTTCTGTGAGCTTTAAGGAGCTTTATCATTGCTTTTTGTAAACAGTATCTTCTTCCAGTGCTGCATTGCCAACTACTTTTGAAAAGAAAGGGATTTTAAGCCTGCTCAGATATGACACGTGTACTTGCTGCAAGTATTGAGAGAGAGTTTCCCTCCCCAATCCTAGGTGGCACTCTGCCCCCCCCCCCATATTTCTACACACCATTCTTTCCTTCTCTCACACACACATCCACACTAGTTCCAGCCCTGCTTCAGTACTCCTCCATTTCCACTCGCTATACTCTTGTGGTCCCTGTGCCCTTTCTCCTCCTTCTGGTGTTCATTAGTTCACAGATAAAAAAATCTTTTGCAGTCATCCCTCCACATTCACAGGTTTTACTTTTGTGGATTTAATTATTCGCTGATTTAATTAAAAATATGTTCTCGAGGAATCTCTAGGTCCTTCAGTGTGAACCTATCTTCAGCTTCTTTCACTCATGCTATAGGTCTAAGAAATTTCTGTGGAATCTCTCTAGGAATATCTAGATCTTTCAATATTATTATGTGGTCAGCTTTCAGCTGACGTTGGCCATAGAGCTGTGCTGGAAGACCTAAAAAACTTAAGAGAGGTGTTCTCTCAGGCAAAATCAATAGCAATTTCTTTATTTATGGTTTTTCAATTTCATAAGGGTCCTGTGCCCCTAACTACAGTGAATGTGGAGGGCTGACTGTAGTATTAAAGCAGATTGCACTAAGGCAAGTTTCGAAAGAAGCTGTTTTCCAACATGGAACTCATTTGGGAAAATGAAGGTTCTAGGCATGACTACAGATGTTTCTGCAGGGCTATCAAATTGTTCTAAGAGTAAATCTTAAAAGGAGGCAGAATGGTTGTTTGGTGGAGTGGGTGACTGGGAAGGAGAGTGAGTTGAGTTTCCATAGAGTCAGGCAGTCAAAAATCTGTAGAAGGGGATTAGAGCAAACACCAACAGGGCTGCATTTGGAAAGGCTCTTTAAAAAATGTTGCCATATCGAAAACTTTCCTAACATTGATTTTTCAATGCACAGAGGAACAATTAATATGATATTCATTTACTTGCTTTATGTCTTTCTTTTCCAAACTGTTATGATCATTCTGTTGTTTTAAAGAACAGCAAACAAGAAAGCATATACTGCCTTTCTTCTAAACCGTAGTCAAGACCAGAAGAATCTGCAATCATTTCTGTACACACACTGTGTTTCTGTGGACATTTGTGCTCTGTTTCTGTCACATAGCAAATGACTTTGAAAATTGGGGCTCATTAAAATCAACTTCTGATTTGGTATGGGAGTGTACTGGTCAAAAACAGGAGAACCCATTGGATAAGATAAGACTATTTGGATTTGCTCAAAAGACCTCTAGTTCCTGATTCGCATTCTGTGTTTACAAACATACCACAGATCAAGAAACATCTTTTCTATTTTATCCATTGAAAATACTCAATCTTTTATTTTGAATGTCTGATGAAAAATGCATGGATTCATCTTCTAACTGTGATATTTGGTTTTTATTTTTCTTGTCTAAATTTTGCTGGCTTGTTGTTTACTTTCCCTTCATTCTCTTCCCTTTCTTAATGGCGCAGAGATGAAGATAGTTGGGTGTAAGTTTTTGATTTACTGTGTTCTGTCCATTTATTGCTTGCTGTTTCCCATTTCTACTTCATATTTTTCATTGAATGTTTGAGATTGAAAAAATGATGAATCAATTTGGCAGGGAGAAAATGTGTCACAAAACATTCACCTCAGGTGTTAGATTGCCCTTTCCCCCTCCTATAATGCCTTGTATATTCTGGCTAAAACTACTCAGATCAGCTCAGAGACTAGTGATGGCCTCAACCTAGTGTTGCCCCTTGTATGCTATATTTCTCGAAGCAGTTACTTAGGAATCATATTCTATAAAAACAGGTTTGCGATAAATGAGCTACTCGTATTATTTCTTTTTTTCTCACTCCTCATAGATAAGTAATATATGCCAAGTGCAAGTATATGAATTTTTGTTCTTAACTTTTGTTTTTAGAGCATTTGAAACAGAAAAAAATATTGATTGCACAGGTAATGCAGGAAGGAAACAATGGATAACATATTTTACTGTAATATTCAAGCTCTGCATTCAAAGAACTGAGTCAATGAATGTATATGCTTGAGTGAATCATGTCATTTGGAGTAAGGAAGTGAACAGAGACTCAATAACATAACCCATGAGATTATTGCATGACTACTAGAAATTATTCTCTAGTAATATCCTTTCCCCAAAATGAAATGTTTTGTCAAATTCATTAGTAATATGAATAGAGGAATTTCAGTTACAGTGGGGGGAGGGGCACCAGCATGATTTGCGTTTTGACTCCAAGGGGAAACCAGGGTTCAAATCCCTGCTCAGTAATGGGAACCCACTGTGAAACCTTGACTTAGGCTCACCTTCTCAGCCTAATAGGAAGACAAAGAAAAATACTTTAAACAAATCTTGTCAAGAAACCCCATGATAAGTTTACTCCTGGAGTACCATGTGTTGGAAAAGACTTGAAGGCACACAATTGCAATAACAATGGCTGTTCCAAAACATAGTTTTGCATGACAACATCTAGGAAATAACTGTATTCCTAATGGCAGTGCTTCAAGAACACTAAATAGTATGTTTGGCCTCAGTTGAGCAATTAATCCCAGTTGAGTCAATGGGAACTTTTTTGTCAACGTTGCTTACAAATGTTGCATTGATTTGAATGTGTTTAATCATTCAATTAGGCCATTGTATTAGGAGACATGGTTGTGAGATCTAGACAGTGAAGAAGCTGTACAGAAGAGAAGCAATTCATTTGAAATGTGGCTCTGCAGGGGAGTTCTGTGATTACTGTGGATTGGAAAAAAGATCAATAAATGGATACGACAATAAATTAGGTCTACCTACCAAAACAACCAAATTGAAGATACCATACTTTGACCACATAATGGCATGACAAGTCTCATTATGAAAAATGATACTGTTCAATAAAGTGGGAGACAGTAGGAGAAGAGGAAGGTAGCATAATAGGTGGGCTTACTCAAGGAAGTCATAACTCTGGGTTTCTAGATCCTGAACAGGCTATTAAAAACTGAGTGTTTTGGATGTCTCTTATTCATCGAGTTCCCATAAAATGAAGATGAAACTGACTTAACAGTAATTAACAACAATGAATAGACATTGGAAGCAATTCACTGAAGAGCTATACAAAAGAGATGAAAGGATGCTGATATCTTAGACTAGAACCTTTTGAGGAAGAACATACAATTTTGAAAAGGAAAGTGGAAATTGCTCTCAAAGCACTTGAGAGAAATAAACCACCAGGAATAGATGGCATGCCAGTGCTTTTTCAAGCTACATCAAAAGAATCCAAATTCTAACAGAAATTGCCAAGAAATACCGAAAACAAAACAATGGCTCACAACCTGGAAATACTCAATATACATGACTCACTGAAAAGGATGATAATGATGGGGATAATTGAAGGGAGTAAGAGAAAGACAGGTGGATTGACTCAGTCAAAGGAGACATGGCTCTGAGTTTAGAAGTTCTGATCAGGGCTGCTGATAACAGGATTTCCAGGAAGTTTTAAGTTCCAATACATTCTCTCCCTCCTCCCCCCCCCCCCCACAAATTCAACACAGAGATACACATTCTTATGTAATAGGTACACTGGGACCTACTCTCAAGTAATGGAACACAAGCTGCTTATTTTTTTTTAAGGAACATTAGACTGTAAATAGCAAAATACCTGTGAGAATTCTATGCAGCAATTCCTGCAGAGTTGACAATTTTTAAACTATTATAGATAACTGGTTTTCAGAGAAGTGAATCCTTAGTCATATGGTGTGTTCATTCAGGACAGTTTTCTGTTTTGGAAGAACATAGTCCTTTCCTGGAAAAAATTGGAGGGGACAAAGAATAAGTGTATACAGTGGATATATTTTTAAACAACCAAGATTACAAATACTGTAAAAAGCAAATAAAAATGCTAGACCTTTACTTACTATTCTATAAATTTAATATACAGAGTTACTTTAAATATCATAACAGAAAGCAGTTTTCAGGGAAATACGTGAAATTATAAAATCCAGTTGCCATGGTCATGTCAATAAAGCACAGGTAAAGGATTTTCATTTGCTGTCTCTCTAAGATTGAGTACTTCTAGCTGTTTCTACCAATTTTCAGTTCCAGCACTTTCTGTTTCTAATAAGGCGAACGAATGTGTCAAACACTTCTGATATCAGTGTTTTGAAAATCAACACACTGATCCTTCGCTAATGAGGGAATCTGGCTCCAGTTGGCTTTTATGGAAGTCAGCTTGTATGCTAACTACTGGTCTTGTTCACTTTGTCATTTTAATTTCATGGATTGTTATGGGTAAAGAATATGAAGGTTACACTTTGACACAGCCGTGTATCTCAGAGGATTCTGCAGTATTCACAGCGTTTTTGCTCATGAGTTGCTATTGCTGCCTCTATGAGATCTGTTGCCCTTAGATGTTTGGCTTTGTTTGTTTTGTTTTTGTTTTGTTTTGTGCCCATGTACATATTCTGACTGTTATTCTATACTCTTTAGATTATTATGTTCTCTTTTTTCTTTCCTTAGTGAATAAACTTGCCTCATTGCAAGCTCTGTGGATGTCTATTTCAACCAGATTCCTTTTCGAATTGAGTCCTTTCCATACTTGTTTGTTTTGCATTATTGTATTAATCTCTCAACCAGTTCAGAAACCAAAGGCAAATTATAAAATAGATTAAAACAGGTTACAGCTAAAATTAATCAAACAGCAACAAATAATTAAACAAATTATAATATTAAAACAGCACTGAATTAAAAACAGTTTATGTGCTTTAAAACAATTGAATAGGAAGGGAAGAGAACAACATCTATCATTAAAAACACATCCATAACAACCAATAAATGACCAAAAACCTATTTGAATGAAATTATCTTGACCTGCCAGAGAGAAAGGAGAGTAAAGAAGGAGTCAGTGTAACACTGCCACAGCTTGGGAGTAGACAGTGAAAGGCCCTCTTTTGTGTCTTTCCCAAATGTGTCACTAGTGTTAGAAAGGCAAGAGTAAGGACCTCATCACATTAGCAAATACTCCGTTTCTGAGACTGATTGTGGACAGTTTTCAATGGGTCCTATCACATGACATTTTTCTCCATCCTGGTGTTCATCTGTCAGAATCCATCTGCAAAATCTCGCAAAAACGGAGTACTTCCAGATGATATTCTAAATGTAGTACTTGAAATACTATGGAGTTTCCTGTCACAGAAGCACTGTTTTTGTGTGATCGGAAAATCAGTATGCATTCCATCAGCAACTATATAACTTGAAAATGGGGGGGGGGGGTCTGGGAGTATTTTGACTTGGGGCTGTTTATGATGGAAGCAGCCACCATTTCTTTTTGGGAGGTCATGGGAGAAAAGTCTCCAGGATTAAGGAAATCAGAAATCGCTGATTTATCTTACTATATTTTAAAAAATATATAAACCAGATTCTGCACAATTTCTTTATTGAAGCAACAGACTTTTGCTTTTAACTGTTATGCTTCCTCAGAAGGACAGACAGTATTCTCAGAAGCTGCTGTGGCCTCTGCATCACCTTGAGTTCAGCTTCATAAAACTGAAGTAGTAACCTTAGCAGTAGCATCAGTAGATGCAGCAAAGGAGCCATATCCAATTAATCAATCTATCATTTAGGAATCCAATAAGATTAGATTCCTCAGTACTGATGCGATGAGGTTCTAAGTGTTTCCCCAGGATCTCAAAACTAGGATAACCTCATACAAAAGTGGGTACCAGTGGATAAAAATATTTATTCTGCCTTTCTTCCATTTCTTCATCCTTTTTTGCTAGCCCAGGAAATTGTTTTAAAAGACAAGCCAAAGAAATAGGTTGTTTCTTCCTATATACCCACACCATCTTTCTCTTTGGTTGTACAAATAGGGAAATGACTCTGAAATGGTAGAGGGCTAGACTTATTCTAGAGAATGAAATAGCAGATCCTCTAATGCTTCCAAAATGCTGTCAGCTTGTATCAATTACAGTGGGAGGATATACATGGTATTCTGTTATGCTTTTCAGCCCATTGGAACATTTTTGTTATCAACATCCCTCCCTTAAATTAAATAGGGATGAAATGGTTATAGATTTTATAGATTGCAATAGTTAAGGCCTAAACAGACTGTTTTTGAAGTACCAAAAGAATTTGGTTTCGGAAAAATAATTATTAAGTTATTTATGTTGTATGAATGTTAGCAATTTTTTCATGCCACCTGGTGGGTTGTGAAAAGTATGTGAAACACTGATAAATATTTCCTTCCAATCTGTCAAACTGATCAAAGTGTTATCTACCATGGGTAGATTGATGAAGATCATATTGTGATAAGGGAAGGGGAACAAATTGCTTATAGTACAATGCTTTGCATGTTTGCAGTATGCAAGTGATTGTAAGGATAGTAGTTACAAACTCTTCCCCAGTTCTTCTTCCCAAGTAGGCTACATAATATCCATGCTATTGTTTCATGTTGAAATACTTTTTCCAGTAATATTTGAATCAGCAGAAGATTGACAGATTGCCATATTTTGCACTTAGTTGCCAATATTCTTGAAGGTAATATTATCCATGAAAGCCTTGAGATAAAGGTCCCTATCCTGTCACGACTTATATAAGATCTGTCAGTTAGGTTGGTGTTCAAGAAGATTTTTCATTTATTTGAGTGTGTGTGTGTGTGTGACAGATATATTATTAAAGAGCATTTCCTTTTGACATATTGTGCTAGACACTATTTTTACCTTCAAGGTAATGACTGGACCTATTAGGTAGCAGAACTGATAACTTCTTCAGAGCCTCACTGGTGAAGCTGTTCAGGAGCAGGATCCTTTTAGCTATAATGTCAGCACTGACCCTATTAACAGTGCCCAGGTATCAAGGGAAGGGCAGAAACAATGCAGAAGATGCCTGGCAAATTTTGAAGCAGAACAGTGTCATCAAGTTCAGAAGCCTGGTGCTGCTACCTGAGTACAGTTCCTTGAGATAAGCCAGCCAATTGTTTGCAGTCTGTATGCAGCATAAAGTACAGGGTGGGTGAGCTACAAAAATCAGAGTGAATGCAGTGTATTTTCTCAGGTTGCTTCCCTTCCATTTGTAGTATATTTTCCATGAGTAAATGAGTGTTTTGGCCTTTTTTTAATTAACCAGATAGCTTAGCAAAACAAATGGAAATATTACCCAATTTCCTTCCTCTCCCCTTTGTTTCATAAATGATTTCCTTGAACTCAGATTTCATAAAGCATTACTAACAGCCATCTGATTTAATGCGCTAGTGTTGAAATGTTCATTTTTATTAACTATTTATTTTATAATTCAAATGGTTTGGATTCCCATCAAAATTGTGAGCAACACATGATTGACCTTCACAGAAACATCACAATTTCTGTTTTGTTTTCTAAAGGTTGTTTCTTTCTTTATATATAGGCGATATACGCAATGACCTGTACCTGACTTTAGAGAAAGGGGACTTTGAAAGAGGTGGGAAAAGTGTCCAGAAGAACATTGAAGTGACTATGTATGTTCTTTATGCAGATGGAGAGATTCTGAAGGTACGCTGTTACATTTCTCTTAAATGTGCCATAGGGTTACTGCCTTTTCAGGTTTTTAAACATTTGAATTCATTAAGTTCTTATCTCTTGATCACATTATTACCATGGTTGCCTTTATTAAACTTTGCACATTAAATGTAAATTCTGTCATTCCATTAATGCACTCTGATTAAATTTTCTGCTACAGATGATCAACTCTATTTGGCTCTGTGTAAAATCATCCAGAACTAGCACTACTTTTGATATGGAATATTTATTATATATTTATGCTGGTGTCCCATTCTTCTTTCAAGGAGTTCAGGATCCCATACATGGTTTCTCTTCCTCTCATTCTGTTCTTAGGTCAACCAGTGAGTGTAATGGAATAGTGGAAATTTGAACTTGGATTGTAATCAAATTCTTTCAGCTACATAGCATTGCCATTGTACGGAGCTGTATATATCCTTCCCAAAGCATCTCTTCCTACATCAAAGTGCTGTATTGAACAGGACTTTGTGAAAACTGATGTTTCTCTTCTCCCATTTTCAATTGCAAGCATTTTCTGATTATATGTCTCATAGCACAACAGTTTGGACTTAAGGGATCAGCGGAGAGAATGACATTACAACCTTGAAGGCCCTCACTGGCCCTAACAGATATAGCACTAGGGAGGTTTCCCGTGGCTTTTGCTCAATAGCTTACATAAGATGGCTAAACTTTTATGACTGGAAATGCTTTGGGGACGTGAACATTTTTAAAGCTTCTACATTACCTGTTGTTAAATTTTACATTGCTGTCTCTTAGTCTCTGGAAGGGTGACCCAGAAGCTATTTGGCAGATTTTCTTCTCTGCCTACAAAAACTTCCATACTGGGATATGGAAGCTTCTGCCATCTTTTCAACTTCACTATTCTTGTTATGCTAGAAATAAACCACAAATGTGAGGCATTTGAAATACAAATAATCTTAGGTTTCACTATATTTATTCTGCCCTTGTACTCTTCATTTTGTCATCAAAACCATGGAGTGGGGTGGGTGAGCTGCTGAAAAAAACTGGGAAAATGTAAATAAGAAAAAAAATAAACAGTTGGAAAAGAAAGGAATAATAAACCAGTTCCCACAACTCCACCACTAATTTCTGCTTGGCTTAAAAGTAGGACGTTTTTCAGCCTCTCCTGGGAGTATTCTAGACTGCTAACAAAAATGTTGATAATAGATTCTTGTAATCATCAAAGTTTAAAAGACAAACTGAGTTTAAGAGGGATATCAAAAAAATCCATCTTATTCTGTAGATCTTCTAATTCATTGAAGTTGAAGTAGATCTGAAAGATTGTTTTTAGCATTGCTACCACTAAAATTGCTGTTTTTCCAGCCCTGCCATTGTGAGGTACTAGCAACAGGGGAAAGAGGTCTTGGAAGTCAAGGAACAAGGTTTTTCCCCTATATTCAACCAATATGCTGGGCTATGAGAAAGGCTGGGTTCAAGGGGCTACATAGGGAACAAGTTATAAAACCCCCGCAGATGACACCTCTTTATGCATCACTTATTATTATAAACAACAAAATTATTATTATACAACAATGCGACCTGAGCCCTGCTGCATGCACAATGCCTCGAGGACCTTCTTACAATGACACCAGAGGCACTCCAGATGACCAGTTTCTAGTCAAATGAAGTTTAGTATGATGACAAGTTTTTTACTTTGTTTGTGTCTTTAAGTACATTATAACTGTACCCTCAATTTGCTTCTGACACTATTATTATTATTATTATTATTATTATTATTATTATTATTATTATTATTTATACCTCTCTTTATCTCCCCCACAGAGGACTCAAAGTGGCTTGACATAAAAGCATCAGCATAGCCATTTAAAATATACATATATAAGAACATTAAAACAGGATTAAATAGCAATAGTATTTTTTAAAAATCCCTGTTAAAAATAATTCAAATAAATTCAAACTAGGTTCTCTAGTTTGACTCTGCAGTCAACTTCAAGTGGAAACATAACATAGAATCACACAGAGGACCAAGAAATTGCCAAGAGAGGACCTATTTTGCTAGGTACGTGGAAATGAAACCGAGATACTGATCCCACAGACACATGGGGTCATATTGTCGAAAGTAATTCTAATTCAGTGCTATGAGTGAACAAATCTCCGAATTTCAAAAAATGCCAGGCTCTTACCTTGTTCAAAAGTCAAAATAAGGAATGGCTTCTGAAGGTTAATATCATATTACATGAATATCACCACTGACCTTCAGTTGTGGATCTAGCAGCAATCTCTAGGACTCCACTTGACCATAATAAACACAGACGGTATATGTTGGTATAAAAATGCCACAGCTGGTTATAGCTGAAAAGGCTTGATTCAGCATGTCTCAATCCAAAGGCAGTGTTCCTTCTGTCTAGTTGAAACAGATTCTCCCAGCCTGGAATAATATATATGGAAGCCACTGTGTGGTTTCCTTGCCACCTGGGATTGTAGCAGACCTCCCATTCTATAAGCTGATTGTGACCCTGATGGTCTGCATCACCAAGAGCCATTACAAAGACCTCAGTCTACGTGTGACAGGCATTCAGGCCTTGTTTTGTCATAATCTGCTCCAAAAACTGCCAAAGATGTGACAAACAAAATTAGAATGTAAGCAAAATGTGACCCAAAGATAACCATCAGCCCTGGTGCCCAGAACAGAGGGAATCTGGGTAAAAGTATACCTCTGAAGGTGTTTGAATGTCAATGTGTTGGGGAAGTTATGTTATTTATGGGAACATTGGAGTGAAGCCTCCACTCCAGGATTAAAGGCCTCCACTTAATAGCTAACTAGTCTGTACCTGATTGGCTGGCTTTTCTTCCTTTCCCCCAAAAGATGTATACTATTCTGCACAAAGAAAATGAGATGGAACAAGCCACCATGATGGTTAAGGGGAGTTTCCTTTCTGTTCCTCAAATCCATTTAGAAAAACTACTTTAAGATTTCATTTAACAGATAGATTTGAACCACACTGAAATATACAAAATTTCTGATTCTTTAACTTACTGAACGTTTTTGTTTGTTTGTTTTTAATGTGACATTCTTTTGTTTTTCCTTTGTCCTCTTTTTAATTCTTTCCAGGAATGCATCAGCCTGGGCTCAGGGGAGTCCAGCAGGAGTGTATATCATTCCTTCGTCCTCTATCACAGTAACAGCCCTCGCTGGGGAGAAGTCATCAAACTTCCCATTCCCATCGACAGGTTCCGTGGCTCTCACCTCCGCTTTGAATTCAGGCATTGCTCCAGTGAGTGCAATATGCTTCCTTATCTAACAGTTTTATTCTGCAGATTAGTGCTTATGCTGATTTTATATAAGTGAAGGGGGAGCAGAAAACACATGATAGGACAAATCTCTGTCACATCTAATGGTAGTTGCAGGTTTTTAAATATAGTATCTTTTTTGTTGTGCAGCTGCAAAAAGCTATAGAAAAGCCATTGTTTTGGGGAGAATTGTCCCTAAACGCAATGATTAGGTTGATAGTAGAATCTTCTCACCAAGGATTGTGACCACTAGAAGATTTGTCAATAAATTGAAGCAGTTTTTACTAATTAAACTGCTAAGCAAAATGCTGGAACTTGAGGGAACAACTTATACCATATTTTATTTACCTTATTGTGCCAGCTGCTCATGTCTGCTTTTCTGGGTGCATCTGTTTACTGATATATCCAGAAGTTATGGATTGTTTGGTTGCTTTAATGCTTGGAATCAAACATTTCAATAACTTCTGAATATACAGTAGTAAGCAGACACACCCACAAAAACCATCATTAGTGACTGACCCAATAAGGTAAAGTAATATTTTATATAATCTTTATAATGTTTATTTATAATCCTTACTATTTTGGATAGATATAAAGGGGCAGATAAGCCTAAAAACTGGGTATTTCAGTTTAAAAGTATGAAATTTTGCGGGCTTACAGATACCAAGAATATGTATGTATGTATGTATGTATATATATATATACCGCCTTTTTGGCTGAGAAAGGCGGTATAGAAGTAAAGCAAATATATATATATATATATATATATATATATGTGTGTGTGTGTGTGTGTGTGTGTGTGTGTGTGTGTGTGTGTATGTATTTAAAAAAAACAACAGTCCTCATCTCCAGAAACAGATGAATGACAAAATTATTGTTTCTTAATCCATGAACCAGATACAGAGAAATTCTATCATGGCAGTGTTGTTATTATTATTGTTGTTATTATTATTATTATTTATACCTCACCTTTTCTCTTCAGAAAGGATACTCAAAGCAGCTTTGAGCACAGCGGTTTTTTGTGCAATCATGAGTTCGTATAAATCTTCTGAGAATACCAGTGGGGGTTAATTACAGTGGGCCCTTGGTATCCACTGAGGCTTCAGTTCATTACTCACTATGGATACCAAAATCTATAGATGCTCAAATGCCAATATGTAGCAAAAATGTGTAATAAAATTGTGCCCCTTATATAAAATAGCAAAATCATAGTTTGCTTTTTATATTGTGTGTGGGGGTGGGAGGAGATGTTTTCAAGCCATGAATAGTTGAATCTATATGTGTAGAATCTGTAGATACAGAGAACCAACTCTACAAATTCCATATTTTTATAGTACCAACATTTCCAGTTGGTATGAATTGCAACAGGTTTGTAGCCAATATAATACATTATATGAATAGAGAACTGTAGGTGACCTATTTTTGGAGTTCAAGATTTTCCAGCATGGTAGCCTCATGCAACTGATGCCCAGTGTGTATAGAAAATAAAAGAGAACTGGAAGTATGTATGCAGTAATAAGCTTTAGCTTGCCGTAAATCATACCTTGAGAAGAGTGAACTCTTTAGGTAGCGTACAATTGTATTGACTTCATCTCGCCATTTTTCATATAAATCTGTCAGGTATGAAGGCCCATTTCCATTAGATATGATGTGACCTCATTCTTTGCTAGGAAGGACAAAAAGTAGATTGGGACATGAAATGTATTTTTAGATCTCACTATTAAAATTCTTATACAGGCAGAAGCCACAACAAATGTCTATGACAGTACTATTTGAAAAATCTGTAGTGCTTGTGTAAGATAAAATCATTGAATGCAGTAAATTCAGTGAAGCAAGCAGTTCTGATTTCAATCTCAGTGATGCAAGCAGTTCTGTTTTCAATCAAGTCTTCATACCTGGATAATGTAATACCAAAATTAGAAAGTACAGTGGGCCTGCCATGTGTGGGTTCATAATTCATGGATTCAATCCACCAAAGATTCAAATTTAATAGTGCTGTACATTTGAATCCACGGTGGGAAGCACACCAGCTAGACTGCTGGAGGAGAAGACATATGAGTAGCATTTGGAAGAGCTACCACTGATCTCCATTCTGCTCCTGGCTCGGCTCAGCTCAGCTCTGCTGGAGAGAGTACACCCAAAGCACCCACCCATCACTAGCACAGAGTTTGTGCAAACTGGTGAGTGAGCTTTAGCTACTTGAGTCCCTTGCACACTTACTAGTCAGCAGCTGGTCCCTAAACAATATACACGATAAAGCATCTTTGGCAGAGTCAGGAGACAAAGCGAATGCTTGGAACGTCTGTGCTGCTCTGTAGTGGCCCAGGGTATTCCAAGGAGTCCTTCCCCACTGCTGCCCTATGCAAGTTTTATGTGAACGTGTTTGTGGTCTATCTGCAAGCCTCAAGAGTGAATGCATTCACTCATTATTTTTAATGGAGACTTGGCCATGCGTGTTTTTTTATAACCGTGGGGGCTCCTGAAAGCAATACCCTATGGATACCAAGGACCCGTTGTACTTAAAAAGTATCATAGAATCGTAGGGTTGGAATAAACTACACAAGCAAGCTAAAGCTTATTACTGCATACATAGTTCCAGTTCTCTTTTATTTTCTATACACACTGGGCATCAGTTGCATGAGGCTGCCATGCTGGAAAATCTTGAATTCCAAAAATAGGTCACTTACAGTTCCCTATTCATATAATGTATTATATTGGCTACAAAGCTGTTGCAATTCATAGGGATTGTTGTACTGGAAGTGTTGGTGACTATAAAAAGAATATGGAATTTGTAGAGTCGGTTCTCTGTATCTACAGTTTCTACACATATAGATTCAACCATTCATGGCTTGAAAATATCTCCCCCACCCCCACACACAAAATATAAAAAGCAAACTATGATTTTGCTATTTTATATAAGGGGCACAATCCAGTCCAACCCTCTGCCGTGCAGAAAAAGCTAAATCAAAGCACAATCAGATGTAATATGTGTGAGGAATGCATAGTTACTAAGATGTGGGTTGGGAGAAGGAAGGAAAACATTGATGGTAACCAAAGTGATCCAGTTGGGGAAATATGCTTTTGCATGGTAACTAGGGGGGAAAAAAACAATAAGGCATACAGAACATGATAAAAAATGACCCTTAATTGCATTGCTCTTTGCCAGCATGAAGGAGACTGTTTGAGGAATATTGAAATTTGAATAATTAGCACTATGCGTGTGTGCCTTCACATTGCCTGTCAACTTATGGCTACCGATGGGAAGTTTTCTTAGGCAAGGAAATTCAGAAATCGTTTTGTCAGTACCTTTAAATCCATTCTAGAACACCTGCTGTTTGTTTGCAGTCTCCCGTCCAAGTGCTAGCCAGTTTTTCAGGGGAATGTAGCCCCAGCTACAACTGGTTGACATAGCTCCATCCCCCAGTTAGGACCCTTGATGGCAAGCACCTCTGTCTTACCTGGATTCAATTTTAATTTGTTTTTCTTTATCCAGCCCATTACCTCCTTCAGATATTCCTTCAGATGAGACATGCTATCATTAGCTGAGTCTGTTTTTGATGGCGTAGAGAAATATATTTGGGTGTCATCAGCATACTGATAACACCCCACCCATGCCTCCAAATGATCTCATTCAGCGGTTTCATGTAAATGTTAAAAAGCATTGGGGATAGAATGGCACCTTGTGGGATGCCATATAACAGCTCCTTTTTTAAGGAGCAGCTATCCCCAAGCACCACAATTTGGAACTTGCCTGAGAAGTATGGCCGGGACCACTGCAACAAAGTACCCCCAATTTCCAAACTTTCTAATCACTCCAGAAGGTGTCTCCATTGTATCAAATGCCACAAAAAACAACACAGTCCCAATGGTGCAGAGGTAGGGAGGCCTAGAGTTGCCTTTCTGTGAACAGAAAAGCAAGAGCTCGTTTTTCGTTTGTTCCTTCTTATCGTGGTGCTCTTATTCCAACTTCTACAGCATTGTGTGGGTTGTATTGAAAATACAGTCGAAACCAAAGTAGGTGTCATTGAAAGGCTCTAATGACAGAATTGAGATGTTTGCCAGTCACTCAATAAGCTGTGTAAACATTTCATTTTCTTTTGCAGCAAAAGATAAAGGAGAAAAGAAGCTGTTTGGGTTTGCATTTACACCATTAATGAGGGATGATGGCACAACCCTATCTGATGATATCCATGAACTTTATGTTTATAAGGTACTGGGAGTTCATTGATGTTCATTTGTTTTTGTCCCTGTCATGAATGCATCTCATATTTTGCCCTGTATATGAGATCATATCTGCAGTGGCACAAACATAAGGCCTGCTGTGTCAGTAATTGTATTAATTTGATTGATCTTTTGTCATCAGAAATTACAGAGCACCATATATTATAAGACATTTCAAGCAGAGAAACCATCAGAAGTGTTTGGGATTACATTTTTAATATTAGTTTAGGGTGTCCTCTGTCTACCTTTTTTGCTTAGTATTCATATTGTAGTTTACTCCTTTATGCTTGGGATTATTTACAAATGTAAAATGAGATTGTATATATTTACAAATGTAAATGGAGATGTGTAGGAACACTCTCAATTATTTTTCTTTGAACAATTTGATTTTTTTAAATGCTAATAATTTCTTGCAAAACACAAACTCCTGTTGTACCATACTAGGATCACCCAAGCACAACACTAACACTTGTCCCTATTCCTCCTTTCACCTGCTTAGAATTGTTTCTCTGCTTTGTCCTGGATAGAGGGGACACCCACACAGGGATCATTTCTCATTTCCATTTTACTTGGAACCAAAATGTCATTTTCTCTTCATCATCATTCGTGGCACTCCAGGCCTCTTGTGACATCCAAACGGAAGAATTGTTGACATTCCTTTGGTCACATGAGTTTCAACCACATTTGTTGAGGGACTAGTACTCTTCTGCCCACCATAATTTAGTCATTGTAGAGTCCAGCTTCTGTTTCCTGTCAATAGGAAAATATGGTGAAAGGGGCACATGAAATGAAAAGAAGAGGGCCCAGCATGTGCAAAATGAAAAAACCAAAAGGATACTGGGTTATTATAGGTTTTTCGGGCTATATGGCCATGTTCTAGAAGCATTCTCTCCTGATGTTTCGCCTGCATCTATGGCAGGCATCCTCAGAAGTTGAGAGGTCTGTTGAAAACTAGGAAATTTGGGTTTATATATAAGTGATTCCAGCCATGGAAGCCTTCGACAATACATTAAAAGGATACTAATTCATAGCTGGCATATGGAAACCTTTCAAGAGAAGTCCCTTGGAGAAAAATGGCAAGGTGACATTTGGCATGGTGAAGGGTCTGGGCTTAAAATAGAAAGTGCAGCGCAAACAAAGTTATGCAACTAAGGGGCAAACTGATTTTCAGAATCTTTGAGATGTAGGATTTGTAAAGCTTCAGAAACTTTCTGTGTATCCCAGAAATGCATTATTTTATATCTTAGAATAATTCTTAACAGAGACATTTTATTCCTTCCAGGGAAACATTATTCTTACCAACTATACTACTTAAACAAAGGTTAATTCCAGTATAGATACATTTAAGTCATTAATTACTACATAGAAGAATGCTTCCTAAAGTGTAGGCTGAATGAATATTATGTGTATACTGGGTAAAGAATGTCTTTATAAGAAATCTTATTGATTCATCCTGACACAGTAATGTATGGAGTAAAGAAGTTTTCTTATATTTCCAGTGTGATGAAAACAGCACATTCAATAACCATGCACTATATCTGGGTCTTCCATGCTGCAAAGAGGATTATAATGGTTGTCCCAACATCCCTTCAAGTCTGATTTTCCAGCGCAGTACCAAAGAATCTTTTTCAATCTCTACCCAGCTCTCTTCTACCAAACTTACCCAAAATGGTACAGTAATTTACACTTTTATAAATGAAAATTTTAAAAATGAAATGCACAGTTCTTTTTTTATAAAAACAAGTTTGATACAGCTTCAGAAGGAAAAGAGCTTCAAAAGATTTATGACTGCATGCAACATACATCTGGACTGGGAAGATTATGGTTTTGTTGGTTTGTCTCATAAAGCAATTATGAAATACAAAGTTGAAGGCAGTTTCAAACAGGAAATGAAATCCTTTACTCATGGTTAACTTCTCATAGTGAATAAAGTCAAATGTTTAGCAAAACAAATAATAAACAACAAATCTAAGCAAACTATATCAAATTATTTAAAGAAATTTCCTTGAAGCATGAATGTTCAAAAAGAATTATCAATCCTTTATCAGCATTGCTAACATAAAGAAAATGTATTTTCCAAGGTCAACCTCTGTCTGTTTTTGCCAATAGAAATTTCAAATTGTACCAATAGTTCAAAAGAAGTTAATAAAATGGAAGGGGAGGGGATTGTTTAATGGTTCCAAACTAGAATAAACTGTATTACCCAAAATTGTGCACTACAATACAACTGGGATTATTTTAATACCAACGTTCTTTGAAATGTGAGCAATTTACATTCTTCTGATTCCTTGATGCCACTGAAGGTTTTTGATATGGGTAGAGAGGGCAAGACTTGGGTTACTAAGGCTTGGAAGGGCAGCCATGAAGGAATAAGATAAGAGAGAAAAGATTCTCAAGTGTAAAGATATGTCAGTACATAGAAAATCAGAATTCTTCATGTCATCATACTTCTAATTTCTTTGTAAGGATGTGAAAGCTGAATGGAGAAGAAAACTGTCAGGAAGAAAAGTGATTTTCTATATGCATAATTTTCTATATGTTTCTTATAATTTGACGTAATTAATACTTGCACATCTTTCTTCCCACAAGTTTTAAGTGTATGCACTATGAAAACTAAGACAGAGAAGAACTGCTTTGTCACTGTGATTTCACTCACTCTTGAAATCACTCTTGAAGCTAACAATAGCAAGGGTATTTTCTAGTTTGAAACTGACTTCAACCTTGTATTTCACAACTGCTTCATTAGACAGCGGCATAAGCACGCAAAGCTGCCTCCAAGGCGTAATGTTTGCATTGTTGTACCCAAGTACATTGCCTCAAAATGGTTCAACACATAGGCTTTAGGTTTTGCTTCTGTCGAGATTGACTATTGGTTACAAATAAGATTAATTTGTGACCTTGACATATATACTGTAATTCTTCTCTTCAGTAATTAATAGACATGTGCATTCTGGGGAAACCTTGTCCCATTTTATGTCCTGGCTTTCGTTCGAGCCCTGACCCATTTTTTGGGAGGGTTGTTTTGGTTCTTTCATTTTGGGGACTCAAAATTAGACCATTATTGGGGGGGGGCTTCCCATGCACTGCCTCCCCTTCCTGATGTGCATTCTTCTTACCTGGAAAGAGAGTACATGTGTGGCAGGCCAGTGCCTAGAGTAAGAGGCGTTCAACAGCAGCCGAGCTCCAGGCCTGCCTGCACGCCACCACACACGCACTCTCTTTCCGAGGCAAGGAGGCAAGTTGGGATGCACACGAAAGCAGGCTTTAGTGTCAAGCATAGTTTTGTATGGGCTTCCCGTTTCGTGCTTCTGAAGAAATTGAAGATACGAAAGAGATGGTAGAAATGGTAGGAATGAACTTTGCATATATGCCTAGTAATTAGCTTGACTTGCTTACATGTGTCCTCTTGGAACAATTGTTCCTTGGGCATTTCTGGAAATATAACTCCTCTTTTCAAGTTCTGGCAAATTGAAATCTATATATATTACAGTGGTTGTTCTCTGATGGATGATGCATAGTCCATCATTTGGACAAGCAACTGAATTGGGGACTTTTCCTCACTCTGATTGCTACTTATGTTTTTTGTGAAAGGTATAGGATTGTAATGTCAACGTTACTTTCTAGTAACATCTTTATGTACTGAAAAAAAATTGAAACTTTTTTAACTGTGTACAGTTTATTAATAAATGTTGCTAGCCATGATTTACTCACTGACTTGGTATTTTTGTAGTAGAAAAAACCAAACACAAAGAATCATAGAGATGGCCATCCTGCCTCTGTTTAAAAGCCTCCAAAGAAGAAGAAAGATATAATTCATCTAAGTAGAGTGTATTATATTGTGGTGAAAGCATTTTTTGTGCTTATTTCTACATTTGTACAATGCGGCTTCCTCAGAAGTAATTATCATTATGACAAATGGGATTTGTTCCCAAACAGATTTTGGGAACAATCTGTTATCCAGATTTTACTAATTTACAGAGTTGTGTCTCCGTGAATACCTGGCAATGATTAAAGATTATTTCAAAGATTTGCATATTTCTGTTTTATACTGATCTTCTGCTGCAATTATTATAGTTTTGTGTGTTGAATTTATTATGCCCATCTTTATTCTTTCAATAATTTACAGTGGACTTACTTGCTCTGTTGAAATGGAAAGCTTATCCAGATCGTGTAATGGATATTTTAGGAAGACTGAGGCATGTCAGCGGTGAAGAAATCGTTAAGGTACTAATTTGGCTCTAAGTCATTATTCACGAACTGGTATTATGAAAGTAACTGTCTTTGAGGGGAAAGCCAAAACATTACTTCTTCTAATTGCCTTCTGTTGGTACATGGAATTTAGATGTTATTATCTTAAACTCAAATTGAAGTACTATGTCATCAGTACATCATTCATTGTCAACCCCAAATCTATCACAAAGTTTATGATAGCATTAGGATTTTGCCCCCTTCATCCTCAGAGCATTCTCTCTTGTAGAAAATCTGCTCCAGAGAGTTCAACGGATCTTCAGAGCAGGTTTTTCTGTTTTTAGTGTCTGTAGAGGACTAAAGCAAGGAAAGGTTCTACTCTTCCCAGTTGTTCAGCCAACTTCCACAGCCATAATAATAGGATGAGATACTAGTCCAGGTTTTCTTATGCCAGTGGCTGATGCTAGCAGTGAAAGGGAAATTAATAGCGGGATTAACTTGAGAAACTGCAAGCCGCTTCTGGTGTGAGAGAATTGGTCGTCTCCAGGAACATTGCCCAAAAGACACCCGGATGTTTTACCATCCTGTGGGAGGCTTCTCTCATGTCCGTGCATGGGAAGCTGGAGCTGATAGACAGGAGCTCACCCTGCTCCCCAGATTCAAACCGATTCCTGCTTAACCCATTGCCCCACTGGGGGCTATCACTTCAAGAATGTGAAAGACACATAAGGTTACAGTTTTGGGCCATAGCTGTGTTTCACAGTTGATTAAATCATAGCTGGGTTCAATCATGATTTGAATCAATTGGATTTGAATCAAACCAACTCTGTTATTTAATGGTGGAAATACAGGAGGGATTTGTTAGGGATTCTTCCAAATTATTTACATTTTCTAATGAGTACTAGAAATTATTGTATCATTAAATTTGCTTTCCAAATGGTCAAGATTTTTTCACAACAATTGGGTATATATTACTGAATGGTTGTAACAGGGAAATCCTTAACCAAAGGCACTTGATTATCCTTGGCCTATGACAGTGGTTCTCAACCTGTGGGTCCCCAGGTGTTTTGGCTTACAACTCCCAGAAATCCCAGCCAGTTTTCCAGCTGTTAGATTACTGGCAGGTGAAGACCAAAACATCTGGGGACCCACAGGCTGAGAACCACTGGCCTATCACAATGCATATTGGTCTTGTTAAGTAATCACAAGAATCTAAGTTCCTGGTGTATATTTTTCCACAAGTATTACAATAACTATGCCATTATTATATTTATAATTCTTTTTCTTTTGAATTTGAAGGTAAACGAATTATTTGTTGCTTTTTAACAGGAAATATGTGGTTTTAATTAATGTAAACTACTATTCATTAGATCATGTTAGTTTTAGTACATCAACTGCTTTATTTATTTATTTATTTATTTATTTACTACATTTATATACCGCTTTTCTCCCCCTAAGGGAATTCAAAGTGGTTTCCAACATTATAAAGGTAAAATTCATTGCTGTACATACATGTGAAAACCAAAAGATAATAGCAAGACAATAACATATAACTATAAATTAACCTAATCAAATTAAAACAAAAACAAAAAATAACATTTTGACATAAAGCATATAAATTAAACATTGATAATACAATAACATTTGTATTAAAACCCACTGATAAACAACACGATTTTAAAAGTTATTAAAATCACGCCATCCAAAATTTATCCTCCAAATTCCAGAATATGTCTATTTTTTATTTCTCCTTTATTTCTGATGCCTTCTGATGCATATTCAAATGTTCTTTTGACAATAGCCAAAACAAACCTATATTTAAACATTCAACCCAGTCCAAATACCCATTTTGGGTTAAAGGCAAGGAGGTATGTTTTCTTAAAGAGTGCCATTTACACTAGAAGAACTTGATTAAATTGGTTACTAGACAGGCAGTTAAAGGAAAATAGCTTTGTAAGAGAAACTGAGGGCAAGAAACACCACTTACTGAAAATTTATGACTTTGTGTTTATGTAGCAATGCTATACTATAAGTAGAAATTATTAAGATAATGAAAGTGAAATAATGTTGTAAAAGGTAATGGTCTTTTTATGTGCTGGAACAATTTTCATTGTCAGTACAAGGAACATTTTGGATGTACTTCTTTTATACATTCTGGCCAAAATTAAGCATTGTAGTGGTGAAACAGGACTTTCTCTCCTCTCCCTACAGCTCCTAGAACCACCTTAAAACTCAATTCCAGGGGTTTTCCTAGATCTAGACTTTAGGGTCTAGAGCAGCTTCAGTATGCAGGTTTGATGGCTGTCCCCCCACCCCAGACCAGTTACACATCGATTAATGGATGTCAGTTGCTAGATTTAGGCTAATCTGAATGCTGTAGTCCTGTGTACATGTACTAACTAGTGTGTAAGTCTCATTGAACTCTGTGAGACTTGTTTGTGAATAAAAAAGCATTAGACTGCACTCTGAATATTTAAATGATTTGTTTCAATACATTTCTGATAAGAAGATGTCATGTAAATCCTTTTATATTTCTAGTTCTTGCAGGACATTCTGGACACATTATTTGTGATTTTGGATGACAACACAGAAAAATATGGATTGTTAGTCTTTCAATCTCTGGTATGTACAATATTCCTTTGATGGATTAACACTTGTGTTTCCCCTTTATCTGCCATTTTCCATGGTTTTTATGATTGTGGTGATCCAACTGTTTTTACCAGCATGCTGAGCACTGGGAAGAGATAGCTTACTAAAAATGCAGTTAAGAGAACATGGAGCTTGTTTTCTTCTTCTCCCAAATCCACTGCAGGCATTATATGTGCAAACATCTGGTTTTTGCTTTTACCAATTTGCCCAGTTATTCCTGATCTGTTTCCTATTCCATGTAGACATTGTTTCATTTCAAGAACCTTTACACAAAATAATTGCTACATTATCTTATTATTTGTTTATTTGTTTATTTAATTACTTTTTATACCTAAGACTCTCTCTGGCACTTGTTTGAGTTGCTCCCCATTCCACATGGGGACACCATTTTGTTGTATCACTGTATGTAATGAGACTTGAGCATCCAAGGATTTTGACATCCATGAGGGGTCCTGCAGCCAGTGGATACTGAGGATCCACTGTACTCAGTTTAAGTTATACACTAGAGTTTTCCACTAATTAATGTTTGTGAATCAAATAGAAATTACTTTGGAATTCTACCTAGCACTCAAAATGTTTTTTACTCTTCTGTTTATTAAAAGTATATGTTTGTAGTTTTTCCATTTATTGTGTTTCTCTGGACTGTTTAATTGTTTCAAGGCTTCCTGTCCCCCAACCCCCATTTTTCTCAACAATTTCTTAATTGAAGATTTTATGAACAAAAGTTAGATTGCTTCTGCATAGCAAGTTTTAACCCCTACCTTCTGATCCAGAAACACAGGCATCAATCCACTTCAGACTATCTTCACCTAACATAAATAACAATTTTAGTTTCCCATTAAACCTCAATGTTATAGAGTTTATCCCTTTCACATTTAATTTCATATTATTAGGAATTGTAACATTGAAACAACAGCATACACACAGAGTCAGAAATATGTATGGAATCAGAATCAAATGATAAATTACAGTTGTCATGAACTATGTACCTAGAGCAATAAAAAATGCTGTTCTTTATGCTATACCTTTTAATTAATGTATTGCTTTCCATGATATGTGATTTTCTCTCTTACCAAAAGGTGTTCATCATAAATCTCCTTCGTGATAGCAAATATTTTCATTTTCGACCTGTGATGGACACTTACATTCAGAAACACTTTGCAGGAGCCCTGGCATACAAGTAGGTTCTCTTTTTCAGCATTCTAATAGGATGTACTTTCAAACTTCACATGCTAAAAAGTACTAATTGTTTAGTGGAGTCTAGTAGTGCAGATCAAGCAACTACACAAAAGTTATTGTGAAAAATAATATTTAAAGTAATTACTTATTTGTGTGAAGATTCTGTTCCACATTTTATACTACAGAATTCAACACAACTGCATCTCTTGAGTTGTATCATATGTAAGGCATACTTACATACAAAAGTAGGGTTTTGTTCTTCCTATATTTGCAAGATATCAGCTTTAAATAAATATGTAGAAAACTAAAAAAAAACCCAAGCTAAATCAAACCAAGAGTCTACTCCAACTTAGTTTCTGTAGTGGGCAACCAAGTGTCTATAGAAGCCCACAAGTAAGATATAAGCTCATCTTCCCTGTTCTTGTGAGTCCTGCTGATTTCAGTACTGGAAATAATATACAAACTTCATCACTAGTAGATATGAATGCTTTATTTTTCATTAATTTGTCTAATTTCATTTTAAAACTAGATTGGTCGCCATTAATAAAATTTATGGTAGAAAATTTCAGTTTACCATGAACTATGTAAAGAATCATGTACTTCTTTGTGCTCTATATAACAAATTCATGTCAAGGTCGTAAAGAAAGGTCCAAACTGTAATGTTTAAAAATAATATGAAGTCCATCATCTTCTTGAAGTAAAGTAATGGAATAGCTAGCTATATGTACTGAATAAAAGCGCAAAGTAACATCATTATAAGCTATGTTCTGAAATTGTTTGTTCACTAAATGTTAAAAGATTTTTTTCATCACTTTCCTGTTAATTTCCCTTTTATATACAGCATTTACAGGATGATTCTTCTTTATCAGGAATATCCAAACTATTCTGAAAACAGAAACTTTTTTCCCCAGCCTTTTAGGAAAGAGGGCTAGTCATACATCCACTACCTAAAGGAACTTTTCTGGAGGATGAACATGACACCTCTCCATTGGCCACTGCCTGAATCTAGGCCACAGAAAATGAAAATAATTCATGGAGGGATGTCCCCTATTTTTTGACTGATTTGTTGAAAGGGTGGAAATTGTGTTGACAGCCAGTGAAGCACCTGGGATGTCTGCATTTATTCAGGGGCCTTGTTAAGCACTGTCTTTTCCCCCACTTCCCCTCTCTTTTTTCATAAGGGCTCCGGGCAGAAAGACTCAGAAGGTGCTGAACATGTGACTAGCCCTCTTTCCCTCATCCTCATTCACTATGTATATACATATCCAGGGGTTTCAAAACTCAAAACAATCAGATATCAAAACATATTTCTAACACCAAACATTTCTAATAAGGGAGATTCAATCTGTGTTTGCTGGTTTTATTTTTTTTAAGTAACTGAAAATTCTAGAGGGGACTATGTTTGTTTTATGCAGAGAATTGATCCGTTGCTTGAAATGGTACATGGACCGATCAGCTGAACTTGTACGGCAGGACCATATCCAGGAGGCAATGAGGGTATGTCTTTAATGTAATATGTCTCTTCCAATACAATCATGCATACAGTTTTTATTAGACAGGTTCTTATCTTGAATGAATTTCCATAGTTACTTTTCTGGAAAAAAATAACCTTGCATCTTAGGATATCCAATGTATAATCTTACAGCAGAAGTGGGAAAACTGGAGCCTGGCTCCTTTTACAGTCTTAAGATTTCTCCAGACCACACTTGCCCTCCATCCCAGGGTGGATTGCTTCTCCTGGAATTTCAAGGAGTGTTCATTCACCTTATAAAAAGGTTGAAGACTTCCTTGTCCTGTTTAACATTTTGAAAATCCTGTTTATCAAAACCAACTGTGAGGACTTTCAAGGTTTTCAAGGTGAAAACATTAAAAAATTGCCCATGGATTCCCCATCCATGCTTTTGAGCAAAAAAAATATTTTTCTTAATTTTGAGTACATTGCTGTGCTTTTTTGAAATATATCTGTAGGTTGTATCATGAAATAATGAACAATCTCTCTGCTAAATCAAATATTACTTCTTCCTCAAAGGTGGTGCAATGGAGAAATCTACTTTTGAAGGTTTCACTACTAATAATTAAGGGAGGACATGCATTTTTTTTTCTGTTCTGTCTTTCTCTCTAAGTTATGGCATATGAAGGAGACAATAAGAAAAGCAAAGAAAGATGACTGGGAAGTTTAAGAGGACTGAGAAATAGCTCAGCTAACTCTTTGGAGATGACTGAGTTCCACTCTTTCAGTAGACTCAGATAACTGCCAGATGGCAGATTCCTACAGCTGTGAAGGAAACAAACCGAAATAAAATAGCAACATCCTCTAGCAAGAGGCTGTCTAATTGAACTAAGAGCCTTAGGGAATGTCCATTCCTAAAGAAAGTACTGGGCAAGAAAATACATGTTTCCCCAGAACAAACAAGCTTAATGGGAAAAGGCAAGTAAGTATAGAAGTCAGAAATTAAAGTTGGGTTGGATTTAACTAGAAGAAATAAAGGAAAAAAGAAGAGAAAGCATAAATACTCCGTATCTTTAGAAAAGGGCTGGCATGTTAACCACTTTATGGGTATATACTCTGGCCAGTTGAGAGCTTGATTCCCTTGGACAACTTGGGAATTGGCTGCAATAGTATTACACAACAAGTGGGTCTAAGTTGGCCATTTCACCCATTCCTCTGTAAGATTTAGTGAAGCAGCATCTTTCAAATCAAGAAACAGTATCTGTGTACAACCACCAAGTCTGTGTAAGGAAACATGAATAATGAGACTACCAACATCACACTGCAGGGCAGGAGTATGTTCCACTCAGCCAAACAATAGTCAGTAAACATAGTGTCTTGCACATATGTGGCATAGGACAATTGTTATTCAGTAAGCATGACTGTAGGATCACAATATTCAATGCAGTTAATTTCTGTTGAAATAGAGAATGTAAGACAGCAGCTGTCTGGTAGCTACTGAAATGTCTAGTCTTTCTGAGTAGCTGACAAAATCAAATGAATGCAATAAATTAATATGAACTTAAGGCTGCCAGGTTTTTCAGCTTCCAATAGAGAGCAGCCCACTCTGTTACCAGCCAGCTCAGTACTGGTTACTTCCCAGATAATTTCATTGTTGTATGTGATGAATTTCCTACCTGTAAGGTCAAGTAGTAGGCCCAGGAAGTTCACCCACCATTTTGGAAGGGTGCCTGGGGGCATCCATCTTAGAATCTCATTTCTTGGAGGAGGCGTGCTTAGGAGCAGCTTGAAGGGAAATGAGAGAAGTTTGTAATTGTCTGGGAGAGAGTGGGTGGAGCTTAACTTGAAAAAAGAAAAAAATGACTTTAAGGGTGTGTTTTAAACCCTGACAGCTCAGATTGTGTCTGGGTGTCAAAGAAGAAAGAAGATTAGAGTTTGGTGTGAAGAAGAGTCAGGGAAGCCTGAAGTTGGTCAGTTAGCAAGCAGAGTTAGTTAGTGAGAAGATTATAGCTATTGGGAAGGATAGCTAGTGAAGTGGAGAGACAGATCCCAGAAAGGACTGTCTGTGGAGGAGTTTATGATTACTGGGCAGAGAGGAATCCTGTCAGTAATTTCTGGAGGGAGAGGGGAGTGTTATGTGCAACTAAGTTTTGAACTGTTTAAAGAAACCACATGCTTTATTCAACAGTAAAACAGCTAAGCTTAATTCCTGCTTTGTTCATGTTCTCTCAAATAAACAACATTGTTATTTGTTCACAACATTTGCCTCGCATGTGCCTCTGTGTGAGAAGTTTCAAAGCAATTTACAGAAATCAAGGTTAAATGGTGGCAGTGTATATTTTAAAAAGTAATCTCTTCAGTGTTACCTCAGAGTACAAAGCCTGAGTGCGAATCCAACACATTCTAGTCTAAAGGTGTTCTTTCAAAAGGTTTTCCGGCCAGAAGATTGTTCCAGCTTTATTCAGCTTTTGATTTGTAATTAAAAAAGCCACATTCCATTATAATTGGTCTGCAGTGTGTGGGATAACAGCTTTTTCCTTTTACATATTGGTGACAAGCACTGGGATTTATACAATTTTAGTCCCTCTACCTTTATACTCTACTTCTCAGCTGCAAAAGAAAAACCTGACCTTTTCCCCCCTGATTGTCCTGATCTTTTTCTTTAAAAAAATTAAACAAAGAGATGACCTTTGCTTGCAACAAGTCATTTCCCCTCTTAATTAAAATCTTTCTTTCTTTAAAACACATTTTGAGAACTTCCTTCTCATGCTTTTGCAACTTCCAAATATTCAAGAACAAAATACCTTTTCATCTTTGGGACTTTAAACAAGTTTTATATCTCCCTTTCTCTGATCTTAACAGCAAGTGTAGAATAGCTCGATTTCTGTTGATATTTGTTTTACTATTTCAGAAAATATAATGTCTAAGGCTCCTATGTGGTTAAATTAACTTTTGTTTCCTGTAAAAGGGAAGGCTGTCTGGACTCTAACTGTAGACAAAGTAGATCCTACCACAATTTGCCAAATGAAAATAGTTACAGTTCCTCCTTAGTTTCAAATACACTGTATCTGCTTTTTCTTTTACTGTTTGTATGAACTTGCAAAACTTATGTTTTGAGTAACACGTTTGACTAATCAATTGCATATCCTATTTGTTATAATGAAGAATTTGATTATTAATAATATGCCTAATTTTTCCCCTCTCTGGCTCTTTCTAAAGCTCTTTTGCCTCTCTTTTTCTTTGTTACACTGATACCTCTCCTACTCCTTAAGGCCTTGGAATATCTTTTCAAGTTTATTGTTCAGTCTCGAATCCTTTACTCCCGAGCTACTTGTGGGATGGAAGAAGAACAGTTCAGAGCCAACATCCAAGAGCTTTTCCAATCAATCAGATTCGTACTCAGCCTAGACAGCAGGAGCTCGGAGACTCTGATCTTCACTCAGGTTCGAAATATTTAGTGCTTCAGTTAAATTCAGTATAATGAAAGGTAAAAATGCATTCATGCATATGATCATTGCAAGTGCCTGCTAATTCTAATTGTTCTTCCAAATTATAAAAGAATGTGTTTGAGTTCATAGATTGCTGAAATGGTGAATGAGTTATGTGTTGATTCTTAAAATATCTTTCTTACGCTCCTATTAATTTTTCAGTTTAATGTTTCTGACTTGTAAACATATTTTGCAATTGGCATAAAAGTAATGTACCTGATGATTACAAACTGATGACAGAAGTGGTTCAGACAGATGTTCTGCACTATACTACAGTAATTTCAACTGGAAGCTTATTCTGCTGCATAATAACTATAATCCCATATAATCATCCTCTTACATAAGCATCACTGTTAATATTTGTAACAGAGTACTGAGTACAAGATTGTGATAGCCTCCACTTTATATTGTTTGGCAACTTTGAGTGTCAGACATTGTTAAATAGCTGTGACCTAACATCTGGATGTATAGTAAAGCTAAAACCAAATTATGTACATGATGTAGCAGATGTAACAGAGAAATGTAGACCCACTGCATTTCTTTTAGCCAAACAATAGATTTCTCTCTCGCTCTAATAATATCTTATTTGCACAGAAAGCATCACAAACAGTCTTGATTAGTAAAATATGAATACATGTTTGGGATAAAAACAGTTACACGAAGCAACTGTATTTTTAGAACATATAATTTTGTGTTGTGATTGTATTAAAATATGTCCAAACTTATGTCAATAGTTTCCATCTTAAATGTAAAAAAAATTGTTACACTACAACTAAATTAGAAATTGGATAAACTAATGCATCAACAATTCCAATTAGTATTTGTTACACGTACATGTGTGTAGCTATGTCCCACCAAATTGTCATTGTTGTGTTAGTGAAACTGTTATCAGTGAAAAAAGGCACTTGTTTCTTAGATATTTTTAGCAACTGTCCCACTAATGGTTTGGTCCACAAGTTCATTAATATGACCTAGAAAAGACAAATATTGCTATAGATTCATTCAGCAACTATTTCTGACATTTGAGGTGAAGTGTGGTGAAAAATAGTTTAGTCACTAAGTTTTGTAGCCACGTGGCAAGGAAAATATTGTATGACATTCTCTCTTATGACTGATTCTGACTTTTTTTTACCAGTGATACTATGTTACTTGAGGAGGTTATATATTCATGACACATGACCTGTTTTGATACTTCAAAAGTTTGCCTTTTTGTTTCCCACTTGCCACTATGTTGCCCCTTAACCCTCACTGCCCCATAGGCCCCTCAGCCTGGAGGACAGGTGAGCGGAGCTGGGACATGTGCCCCACAAAAGTGTGGTGGTACATCACGGCCGTCGTTTAATTCTGTAAGTAGTACCCCTGTGTCCTGCACACGTTTTCATCATGGATGTACACAGTGACTGTTCTCCCCCACCCGATCCATGTTTGCACCTAGAATTAAAACACACTGCACAAGTCAATGCTTGCAAGTTCAAGGTGATTTTCCAAGCACTAAAAATTTAAATATAAGGAATCTTTGGTTGTCTGCATGAATCAGCTTGATTGTAAGACCCGGTGATTAGAGAGAAGATATCAGATCAGTTATGATGCAGTTCTTGGATGCCATCCTGTAATACAAATAATACACTACAATTTTTGTGACAAGCAATAATAATAGAGAGTAAGAAAATAGTATTTTAGAAGGTTGGATCTTGGTTATATCTAACTGATATAAGCACATGAGCCAATAAAAAAGGGAAATTGATTTTGTCCTATTCCTTTTTCTTTATATTCAATCTTTCCATGGTAATGGCACCAAACAGCAATGTGTTCTCTCTAATTACAGGTCTTTTTGGTGCCCCACTTTCCAAATATATGATCACTGGAAATAATATCAAATTTTAATAATTGCCGAATATTCCACCAGTACAGACTTTATTTAGTTTAAATAAGAAAAGAGGTTGAAATGACACTAAGTGCTTATTGCAATATTCAGCTATTACCCTGGTTCATTGCGGCTGATAAATAATTTTGAAATAATAAATATTTTATATAATATATTATGAAGTAACCATAGTATCAACATCTCAGCAGAATTTTCAACTATTTCTCCAAGAACTATGATTCAAATTTCATAATAAGAAAAGGAAAGGAAACATTTGATGTCCGATATTATATAAGGAAGAAGACACATAAAAGCTACTAAATTTCCTATCAAACCAGAAGTCATTGAGATAACCAAATGCATGCCATTCCAACTATTGTTTACATACAGTGGAATACTGTGGGTAATAGTATTTACAAGCCTTATTTTGAAAATCTGTAAAAATTGCAATCATTTTCATTCTGCACATTATTTCCCTTTGCCCATGACCCCATTTCATCAACATTTTTATTAGTAGAGAAAAAGCTATGCAGCAAACCTGCCATATGGTATACATCTTTAAATGTGTAGTTTTTCTTGGAGCTGATTATCTGCCCTGCCTAATTTTTGCTTTATAAATGAATTATGCAAAGTTCAGTGAAACAAAATAATTTCAAAAGTTTACTTTTCCCATTATCACAGTGATGCCTTCATAGCTATGTTGATTTGTTTAAAATTTTAATCTGAGAATATGTTTTAATGCCTTCAACAAATCAGTCAAAGGGATTGTTGATTAATATTTTTCAATAAAGCATATCTATGCTAATCTATTGTAGGAAAGTAATATAAATCCCGTAATATCTTAAGAGTCAGAAAGGTGTTATAGCAAATGTTTCATGGACTGCGTATTAAACTGAATTCAGAAAACACTGAGAGATTGAATGCCAAGTGAAAAGAAAATCTTTATTTTTATTTTATTTCATTTAGAATAAATTATACAGTTTTTGACTATGTCATATATATATAAATAATATAATCAATAAAACTTTATTTGTACTCTGCCACCATCTCCCCAAAAGGTCTTGGGGCAGCTAACAAAGTACTCAAGGTTCCACACATAAAATAGAATTACATATCATCAAAAATACACAATTTGACTGAATACAAACAATAGACAATGTCAATAGATAAAATTTTAAAAAATTAAAATTACTAAGGCACAGTCATACCCATGAGTCACTGGGTTTCTTCAAATACGAACTATATCGTTTTGTCCTGTTTTTTTATTCTTCCATGAAATAAAGGATGTATTAAGGACAAAATATAATATTAAAGTAGCTTACTAGATAATCTGGGACAACTCATTGTTCTCAACCAAGACTACCTCACAGGATTGTTTTGAGAATATGAAATACTGTGCTTTGAATATGAAAAACTATGCTTTTCAGAGGAAGAATTAGTAACTTATTTAAGTACTGAAACCGGAGGAGGACGTGTATAAGCAGCTTAAGTACCATCTTGCACTTGATTTACTGTTTAATGTACAATAGCTAATCGTTGCAAGGAAATGTGATTCCTTTGGTTGCTATATCTCTGTTCTTTTTCTGGAAAGAAGTATTATTTTAAAGAAAAATGAAGGTAGTATGATGGAATAATAATTGCCTAGGATGTATGCATTTCTTTCTTTTGTCATACCATTGGCAACTATGCCCTCTATTATGCTAATTTCAACTCTGGAAAACGTTTCATCTGTCTCTAGCCCACATGTTGGCAAGTGGATCACTTGCAACAGATAAGCAGCTTAATTGCAATTCTGATCTGAAGAAGATCTAACAAATAGTATTCTTTATGTAGGACTGAGACAATGGGTGACAAAATTATGTGATTCAGAATATGAAAGCACTAAAGTGATTAGGACCTCTCTGTAGCAGTTTTTGCAAAGAAAAACTTTTGCTTAAATTCTCACATTCAAAAGGGGCATGACATTAGGAGAATAAGGCAGAGCTTAGTAGAATTTGTAATGGATGAAATTTAGAAAAATAGTTAAACATAAAGTTTTAAAAAATCAGGTAGTAACATATAATTTTCATTTATATTTCTGTTTTAGTAAAAGTCATGTTAAGGAATCAATTTCCCCCTCAAATGCCAAAGAATTAATCAATTGTTATGCTAAATGGTTATTTTAATGCTTTGTATTATTTATAATTTATTGAGATGATAGAGCAGCATTTCTCAACCTAGGGTTGGGACCCCTGGGGGGTCACGAGGGGGTTTCAGAGGGGTCAAAGATAATCAGAAAACACAATGTTTTCTGTTGGTCATTGAGGTTTTGTGTGGGAAATTTGGCCCAATTCTATTGTTGGTGGGATTCAGAGTGCTCTTTGACTGTAGGTGAACTATATATCCCAGCAACTACAACTTCCAAATGTCAAGGTCTATTTCCCCCAAACTCCACCAGTGTTCACATTTGGGCATGTTGAGTATCCAAGCCAAGTTTGGTCGAGATCCATCAGTGTTTGAGTCCACAGTGCTCTCAGGATGTAGGTGAACTATAACTCCAAAATCAAGGTCAATGCCCACCAAACCCTTCCAGTATTTTCTGTTGGTCATGGGAGTTCTGTGTTCCAAGTTTGGTTCAATTCCATCATTGGTAGAGTTCAGAATGCTCTTTGATTGTAGATGAAATATAAATCCCAGGAACTACAACTCCCAAATGACAAACTCATTTGGACTTTAAAGTAATCTGCTATGTTAGAGTAGGCCAGGCAGTTGCAGTAGCCACAGAAGTGGCAAATGAAAGGCTTTCTCTTCAAATTGATTGAGAACTTAAAGCCTTCCTGTTTTGATTGACTGAGGGAAACCTTGAGATTAATGCTTTAAAATGTTTGCAAAACCCAAGGTTAATTGCTATGACAATGAAGCAATATAGGAGAATAAACTTTTCCTTTCTGGATTCCCTGGGGAGGATTAGTGGGTGAGAAAAAAACATGACTGCGAGAAAGTGAGTATTGACTTGTATACTCCAAGTATCACCTACATCCAGTTTCAGCCCTGCCTACCTGGGATATAAGGACAATGCAGAAGGGACCTAAGTAATTTATTTTGTCTTATTCTGACATTTTGTATCAATTTCAGAGGTAAAAACAATAACGGTTGAAGATGTGAACTACACCAATATATATATATATAGAGAGAGAGAGAGAGAGAGAGAGAGAGAAAGTCTATTATTTGCATGAAATGACACACAAATCACATAACCATTTTGTCTTGTCAGACACCACCTGATTATGATGCTGTTTATTAATTTGGAATTTATTAATCTCTAAATGAATTTTTAGGAAGATATAATTTTTCCTCTCTCCATATAGAGCAGAAATTGTAAGATACACTTACCAATTCCCCTTTCATAAATTGTAATATTTATAACATTGATCCAGAAAGCAATCAGAAATATGTGTGCAATTCAGCAGTCTTTTGAGTCTGTGCTCAACTACTCAACTTGAAAAATTGATGCTGAAATGCTTCTCCTACCATTCTGCAAGAAGCTGAACCATATATTCATACACGGCTATGGTCAGGCTGCCAGAAAAAAAGCTTGATTTAATGTGTGAAATATATTTATGCACCAGAGACAGCAGGATGAGATAAAGTGAAAAGCTGAATCTGGCTTTTAGGCTTTTTCCTCTTGTACAATCATTAATTCATTTTTCTTTTATTCTTGTGCACTAGTGCAGATCTGAAAAGTCTCATATTTCTTCATTTCCTTTTCAGGCTGCTTTGTTGAACTCCTTCCCTGCAATTTTTGATGAACTATTGCAGATGTTCACAGTACAAGAAGTGGCAGAATTTGTTCGGGGGACTCTTGGGAGCATGCCTAGTACTGTGCACATTGGACAATCTATGGATGTTGTCAAATTGCAGTCTATAGCACGTACTGTAGATAGTCGTTTGTTTTCTTTCTCAGGTAAGAGAGCACTATATTTTAACAATTCTCTATCCGATTTACTGTTTCTAAACATACTGTATGTGGATAAAACTAATCCAGGTCTCCTGATGGCAGAAAACTGTAAAACATTTTATACTGGAGACAGGAACAATAACTTGCCAAAATGAATGTACATATGATTAGATAAAGAAATAATCAAGCACAACGTTTTAATTGAAGGAAGTGATTTTAAGAAATATTTAGCATACTTATTCCAGCAGTCATATGGAGCTCACAGGCCGAAAGATGAGAAATAAGGAAGGAGGAATATTCAATTTTTGCTCCAGAAGCTGTGAGCCCCTTCAGATCCAGAAATACGGGCTGAGTGTCCTTCATTACTACACCACCCTTCTCAGGTGAAAAAGGTTGACTGAAGCCCATATTTGGGGCAAGGAGCAGAGAACATGGACCTGTCACTGCCAAAATATTCCTCATCTGTAATGTAGTTAGTCCTTGAAAGGCTGCATGACCACTATCTATTTTAACAATTCTCTATCCAGTTTACAGATCAGTGCTCCCACTTCAATCTTTAGTCTCTGATCTGAATATATCACAGGTCTTTAAACTGAAAAATAACTATACAAATATAGGGAAATACAGAGGAAGTTATTCTTAAAGTTACATAATTACCTGTAAATGGTTCATCTTATCCAAGCCCTGCCAAAGAAACCATGGGACAGGAGCAAAGACAAAAAGCTGTGTTGTTGTTAGACCTTGGATTTTATAAGACTGCTTCTGATGACCAAATTAAAGCTCAGTCAGTGCAAAATCCATGGACTCCATTGCCAGGTTATGTTTTCCCTGTGGATAGGAAAAGGTATCTAAGTTTTCAACCCAAATGCTTCAGCAGATTTCACTAGTTAGCTTACTCATTTCATGTACAATGTGCTCTCTGTAAGTTCTGTGTGGTGTTTGAAAGAAAGGTTGGAGGTAAAGGTGGTCGTCAGAAGCTTGGTTCATTGGTTGCTAAACCATTTGTGCAATGGAAAGATGCAATAAAAGTCTCCAAGAAACAGTGTACCATCAGAACAACTTGTGCTTCACTGAAAACTTCTTGTGAATTCACAGTGGAAAACGTTTTGATAAAGGAAAGAAGAAGACAGAAGAAATAAACAGAAATAAACTTCTGTCAATTCTTGAAACTATTGTACTTTGTGCTATTTGACCTGTGGTGTAATGGGAAGAAACCTCTTTAGATTTCTGCAACATTGCCAGTGTCAACAGTTACAAAGGAAAGGTTGTTTTCAACCCTTAAACTTTTGAAAACATACATTAGATGCACAATGAGGCAAAAAAGACTGAATGGACTTGCATGCTTGAGTGTCCACCAAAGTTTATTAATGGAGCCTGATTTCTGTCAAAGTGTATTGACACAGATTTCATGTGTTTCCAACAGATGTTGTGGTATTCTTTTGTAACCACTAAATTACCAATTAAGAGTAATTTTCATTTTTTTTACACTTGAGACTCTAGCTAACATAGGAATTTGATTGAATTAAGTCTATATAAAATATAGAATCAGTCATAGAATGTAAATAATTTTGTGTTATGGAACTACTCTTTATAATTTGCTTAGAAAAGTGTCAACTTCTCCCAAATTTTAGGTTTTTTGGCTATGGGTCTGGTTACAGACATCTCTCTGGTGCAGGGTACTATAGTAAGATAATGGCTACAAGAGGAGATAAGTTGTGACCAAGTCCTGACTTGCTGGATTTTGCAGCCTTCCTTCACCTACATGAATAGCTCTCATCAGTGAGCATATAACATCCTTGTCCATAGTTGTGTGTTTGCAATGTAATTCTGTATTTATAAGAGTCTGCAGAATGCAACACCACATTATTCCAATATTGGCATCAGATACAACAGAGTATCTGAAAACAAGCTATCCTAAAACAAGCTTTTCAGGGCAAGAGCAGTAACAGCTGCTGTGTGCATAAGATGCTATTTTTGCATCTTTTTCACAGAATCCATAATTAGGATAGCACCTGGGCTTTCAGTGGGTCTAAAATAGCCCCAACCTGCTCTTTTGGGGATGGTGCAACCACATCCAGGGCATGTAGCCTACTCAATTTCTGAACCCAAGAACCATCACTGCAAACAACCTCCATTTCATTGAGGTTTCAGTCTATTGGCTGTATCGAGCCTATTATAGAATTCAGGTGTTAGATAGCTGGTCTTGTATTAAAGAGAAAAGTACACATAGCAATACTGAATTGTATTTCCCCCTTTTTTTTCACAGAGTCCCTTAAGGAGGGACTGCCATATAGGGCTGAAAAATGCGGTATAGAAATGAAGAAAATAAATAAATAAATAGATAGATAATACTTTTGGTTTTTGGCATCTGAAATATCACAGAAAAAAAGAACAACTGTTTGTCCTTTGTTTTTCTGCACTGCAGTTCAATAACAAATGAAATCCACAAGTCACAGAGATAATAAATGAAATAAGAAGTATATTACAATCAGGAATTATAAGATACTTCAAAAGCAAAACTGCTCTGAGCATTGGGCAAAATAGAAGTGTTTATGAAACTTGAAATTTATATTTCTCATGGTTCTTGCTTTTACATGTGTAGCTCACCTTCAAAATAACCTAGACGCCTAAATTCCATAGAGTAGATTCACTGGATCAGTAAAACATACATAAGTTGTTGATTTACCAAATGTCCATTGATTCAGTGGCTCTGCTCTAAGCAGAATTAGCAGTGGGATTTAGTCTTAAGTTTGTTGGGTCTTAGAAGTATTATTAGACAAAATGTCTTTAGACACTATGCTTTATTTTCTGTGTTATTTGCCATTTATATTTGTGGTCTAGTCGAGTGTTGCCAGTGCCACCTATTTTGATCCTGTCTCATATAAGAATGATTAAACCTGGCTAAATACATCTAGTCTTGGTTTATTTAGCTACTGTAGTAAGCAACGTTGATTAAAGAAAATACAAACAAACTAGAAATTGTTGTTAATAACTCCTGCAGTTTCATTCACTGTAATTAAACATTGGGCAAAGGAATTCTTTGTTTGGAGTTGGAATGTGAATGAGTGAAAACAGATTCTACTGAATACATTCCTCCTGCAAGTTGATAGACTGGATATTAACGGGCTTGTTAAGTAAACATTTTTCTATCTCTATCTGTTAGTAGTGCTGCTAGATTTTCCATTTCTAAATGTATATTTTTAGATATCAGTGTGGCTTCAGATAACAGTGGCTTTAGATCTCTTGTAAAATAATGTTGAGCTTCTGGTTTCCATTCCTAGAATCCCGACGCATTTTGTTACCTGTGGTTCTTCATCATATTCATCTTCACCTGAGGCAGCAAAAAGAATTGCTTATATGCTCTGGAATTCTCAGCAGTATTTTCTCCATCATCAAAACTAGCTCTGTGGTAATTATATTTATTTCTTTATTCCATGCCTAAGAATGTATAAAATATGTATCATATATCTATTGAGACCACTGCTGCTTGTGACCATAAGTGATTTTTTTAGTTTAAATGTGTTGTGTAATTATTATATGTGAGGGCTATGCTCATATAATGCACTAGTACAAAGAAATTACAGGTATACAGATTACAACTTTGCAAATATATCTTCCTTCTTTCTTTCCTGCATTTCAAAAGAAAAGTTGAGATTAAAATAATGTTTATAACTGTCATGCTGGGAACTACTGTAAAATCAATTAATATTGCATTATGTTGCAAATTTTGTAATAAAACGGAGTAACTTAATTACATTTATTTTTTAATTAAGGAATGGGCTTAAACTGGAATTTCAGCATTTTATTTTCACTACAACAAAAAATAATTTATTAATTAATTAAGCTACAGGGCTACAGAGCCACCAAAGTTCTTTTTATCCAACTGCTTCTTTACACAACCTGGGTTTTTTTCTTTCCTCCTGCCAAATCTGAATGACAAAGGAGGCATCATTGCAAGCCTGATTTAGTAAACCATAAAATAGATTATTTGTTTGATTTTGAAATACGTTTATTCAGTGTAAAATAATATAATCAGTGTGTTGGACTGGCAGTTGAGAAGTCCAGCTTCAGATCCCACAATGTCATGAAATCCAGAGCTAATATGAGACCTGAGAGCCTGGTGAAGTAGGGTGTTGGGTGTGTGCTTAAGTTCCCACTATGAGAATGGAGTGAGAACACACAATAGGAATGGGTTTGTCCATCTACCAGGCACTGTCAAACATAAGATCCAAGTGGTCCAAGTCACTGAGACACACTGGGAAAAGTAGGAAGCAAACTGAACATTGCAATTACCTTCAAGGACTCCAGCCCTGGAAGATCTTAATAATCAGGATTACAAGACTGACAGAGGTAGACTAAACAGAAGAGAACTCTGATGAGATGGTACAATGATAGATGACCCTTTAGGGCAGGATAAACTTATATATCCATCCAATTTTGCCCAGAGACATCTTGAGAGCTACCCAAAACAGGACACTGCTAAAACCCAAAGCCTGAATGTAGGCAGTGTGTGTAGAAAATAATGTTAAGCTCCCTCACTGAATCAGAAAGAGAAGTTCCCTGTTCAGATCTGTCTAAAGGAGCCCCCCCCCCCCCCCCCCCCGCTTCATTTGTCCTACCAGGCAGTGCCCTGATTGGCTAACCCACCCCTCAATGCATAGACCATGAAGACCTCATGGCTTAGAAAGAAGCTTGTAAAGTGCTGTCTACAAGATGATAAGCTGTTGCTACTTAGTGCATCACTGCATGTAGACCCCTGGGTAAGGGTGGAGACAAGGTTGTCCAATATCTTCAGCATTCATGAAAATCATTAACGTTCTGTGCTTGTGGCATTCAGTTTCCAGGGATTCTCTAAACCAGTGGTTCCCAACCTTTGGTCCTCCAGTTGTTTTGAACATCAACTCCCAGAAATCCCATGTAGCTTACTAGCTGTTAGGAATTGTGGGAGCTGAAGATCAAAGCACATGGAGGACCAAAGGTTGGGAACCACTGTTCTAGACTCTAGTTTTATTTATTTAAAGACAAAAATAGAGTGATTATCATAATGTATTTCCACTATTTTCAGAAATAGCTAATAGTTTTTTTAAAAAACCCTTTGTGTTACACATTTTGAAAATTAGCTGGGTACCTCTGTACACTGTGTTTTAAGAAGCTTTACAACACAAATTTTCAACCACAGATATTTTCAGCCATGATAAAATACTGCAATAAAATCAACAGTCATTGCAAACAACAAGTGAAGAAAGTGCATCAAAGAATCCCCATCAATTCAGACTCCCCAATGGCTTCTTTAAACCCTCAAATCCGCGCAGAGTGTTGAAAAGTATATATACAGATGGGACTACGTGGTTTTCCTTGGAGAGCATTTCCCGGCAAACAAACTGAAATTACTGGAAAGACTCTGCTTCATAATGCGCTTGCTGAAACTTAATTAGCAGAGAGTCTTGGAGCAGAAGCTCAAATATTAATCAGAATATAGGGCAGATCTCAAGCTAACTAAGGACTTTAACAGTAAAAATGAGCATGATGAACAGAAAGAAACCTATAATAGTATAGATTTTGCAGGAATAAAGTTACATACTTCAACCAGTCTGTATCAGGTAACAGTCTGCTGCTGCATTAGCTTCCTATTTCAGTCTTGCAGAATGCTAACTGTCTCTGTTTTAACTGCTTACTATAGGAGACTGATGTAATTGAGGAGGTAGAAATGATGGTGGAGAGCCTCCTGGATGTACTTTTACAGACTCTGCTAACTATCATGAGTAAATCGCAATCGCAGGAGGCGGTAAGAGGGCAGCGTTGTCCACAGTGCACAGCTGAAATCACTGTTAGTAACTAACAATCAGGTTCTATTTCCTACTTATCTAACCTTCTCCCTTTCACCTATCCCATCACCACCAGGTTCACTTTATTACCACCTTTTCAGCATTACGTTTCATCTCTTTCAAAGTTGTGTATCACTCTTTGCATTCCTTCAGTAAAGGGAATATCCGAAACCAGGTTGCTGCTCATTTATCTGGCTTCTCCAAATATAGCTTTTCTGGATTATGCTCTTCATCATATGGAGGGCATTTCAAAATTATTAGTGGATATCTTAGTCAAATGCTTTGTAATTACCCACATAATTATTTCATTTGGATTATATCGGTTCATCCTCTCATTTCTCTATGATTTCTCACTATACTCAACTATCATAAGTATTCATTTTTAGAGACAAAATGATACTGTATACCATACTGAGAAACATATAAATAGCGCTGGTATAATCTATTTTAGGAGGGATGTCAAAATATTTGTGGCCTAGCCATTTTCTTTCTCCCTAATGGAAAGAAATAAACAAAGAAAAAATGACTCTGAAAAGAGACCAAACAAATGCTCACTTTAATTTTTCCCTTCTTGAATTTATAAATAGTTTCTACCATATGTTGTCATTGTTTTTAATTTGATTCCGATTCTAAAACACTTTCAATTATTTTTTAAAAAATCAAATCAATTAAAATGGGTGTCTTGCATGGACATTGTAAACAATTTATTTAAAATTACTGCATTTGTTCTTTTTTTTCTTTTATAACATTTTCAAACTTCACTCCTTTTTCCTCTGCCCTTACTTCATTTTTTTAATATACAAATCATGACTGTTGAGCATTCCTCTGAAATAATTCTTCATTGGGATTGGCAGGGAGAATATGTATCCTGTCTTTTGTCTCTGCTTCGTCAGATGTCAGATACTCATTTCCAACATTTACTAGACAATTTCCAGAGCAAGGATGAGCTAAAGGTAAGTTATTGAAAAACAAAGCTGGCAATGTTAGATGTCAAAATAAATTCAATAAATTAAACATTAGAAAATGGGGAATTGATTCATCCTGACTAACACTAATAACTGAAAGTAATTTGATTAGTTGAATTAGGGTTAATTGATTTGTTATTTCAGATATTCATTTTCAGAATATTCCATGGAAATTTAAAAAATGGCACAGAGATTGTCAACAAGGATATACTTTGTTATTGGTTCCTACAATACTTTTGGTCATGTTAAAGTTACCTTTCTCCAGTCTGAAATTCTTTCCCTCAAATGGACTACAAAGCCCATGATACAGTTGTTGCTTGGAATAGCAAGAGTCCAAAATGGTTGAAAACAAAGGATCCCTTGGGATTTTTGATGGCTACCTGATTATTGTGTACTTGTTAGGACAGGCATCAAAAGAGTGATCCGCAAAACACAATTGCTTCTGCACATCTTAGATTGTTGCCTCCTTCCTCTGAGGTTAATCCTGCTTTGTATATGATGCATAGGATACATTCAGCAGATATGTTAAACAGATAGAGTAGTAAAATACGAAGATGCCTGGTCCTTTTGCCAGTTGGAAACAATTACATTTCTCCATATTCTGGCATAATAATGGCCTCTTCTCATTGCAAGATTATTTGTTTGTTTGTTTGTTTGTTTGCAGTATTTGTATACCACCCTTCTCAACCTCAAAGGGGACTCAGGGTGGTTCACAGGTTATGGAGTAGGATAATCAAATGGTATGCAATACCAGTTACTTTTAAAAGTGATTCAGAATTGTCCATGATTCACAGAGACTTTGCTGCAATCTATAAAGAACAGACTTATTTTCATTCTGCTCTTAGTGTCTGTGTTAGCCACTGTGTTTGCAATACGATCTTAACTGTCTCTTCCTTTTCTGAAGTCGTCTTGGACATCTAGTATTTCTTGTTCCACATATGATAAAATTCTAAAATTTTGAGCATAATACTGCCTGCATGGGAGATAAATGCAAATGGCCTGGTGGTTACTGCAGTCCCCTTTTGAGGGAATTAGAAAGTATATTGAGCTTTCCAATATATTAGTTGTTTTGTTTTCCATATTCATTGTCAGATTATTTAAAATTTGGGTGGAATCTTTCTCTGTGCGTTGCAAGAACTTCATTGGTATACCATTGATCCTGGTGATTTATTTCTCCCAGGTGCAGCTGCTACTTCATTTTCTAAAATTCTGGGTTCATCTTTGAATACTGATTTCTTGAATTCATCTGTTAATTCTTCATTTCTTCAGTGTATTGTTTCCATCATGGTCTACTTGATGATGTGGCACATTCCCTTGCTGGTCCTATGTCATCCCTTTCTTGGTTTCACTTTCTCTTTGATTTCTCAGATCTTATGAAAGAGCTCTCTTGTTCTATCTTCTTTGCTGTCACGTTAGTTCTCATTGCACTTGTGTACAAGTTGCTGAAGTGTCTGGTTCCTGGTCACTTAAAATTAACAGTGCAAATCTATCTTTATCTTTGAAGTATTTTTATATATTAACAGCTCATTGCCTATACAACAATCTGTCCCTGATCTTGTTTTTTCAGACAAAATGGAGCATCTCCATCTTCTATTTCCAATTATGTAATATTTCTTATTTCTGTGTTGACCATCAGGAGATGCTTCTTGCCTCATAGGAGGATGCAATCCCACCCCCACATAAATACTAGGCATATTTTAAAATTTGCATAGCTGTTTCCTGTTTATACTTCTTGTTGGTGTTGCTGTGATACAAAAACAAAATGAGAAAGATATAATAACTTTGTCTTGCTTTTAACAAACATAATTTGTTTGCCCATTACTATGTCCAGATTTATGCATATTATTATTACTACTGTTCTTTTCTCTTCCTTCTTTTCTCTAGGAATTTCTACTGAAGATTTTCTGTGTGTTTAGGAATCTGATGAAGATGACTGTCTTTCCTCGAGACTGGATGGTGATGAGATTGCTTACCAGCAAGTGAGTGGAGACATGCTTTAGAACATTCAGACTTTTTCTGAGGATGATATACATTTTCTCCAAACTCATCTTTAGAGTTCAAGCTACTAGCCTGCAAACCTAACATCATTAAGGCTGGAATGCTTTATGGAGGGACTATTCTTATTTTCCCTGCCAACAGCTATGTTTTATAAATAAACCAGGTCAACCTTTGGATATTTTCACAATTCTAAAGTAAATTTCTACTTCATGATAACCGTATTCTATTGGAGCCAATAGAAAAATGAATGAAGCTTTCTTGGAGGGAAAAAGAGTGTTGTGATCCCTCCCCCCCCCCCCCCCCCCCCCCCGAATCATTTAGAGAAGCGTCGCTGATTTAAACATAATTTCAATTACATTATAATTATATTTAACAATACCATTATGTTGAGTTCATTTATTAATCAGTTTTGGTTATCCTTAGAAGGCTTAAAATTGTGAGGTACAGTGAAACTTAAGTATGAATAGAAAGATAGGATATGCCGAGGGAGAGTATTCCCAAAATATATCTACTTTACCTCAGATTGTATGGAAGAGTTTCTGTGTTGTTTCCAAAGAATACATTTGGTGTAAAGATTCCATAGGCAAATCTGCATTTTTCCAAAGGCTGACCAATCAGTTTCAAACTTTGGCTGCAGATTAAACATGTTAATCAATGAAATGTGACTAACCAAAGACAGAACTACTATAGATGGGCCAAAAGCTTGGGGATTTGCCGGGAAATTTTGTTGTTCTTGTTGCCTTCAATTTTTTTCTGATTTATGGCAACCCTCAGATGAACCTATTACAAGGTTTAGAGCAACATTTGTTCAAAAGGGGGTTTGCCGTTGTCTTTTTCTCAGGTTGAGAGAGTATGACTTGCTCAAGGTCACCCTGAGGATTTCCATTGTTGAGCAAAAATTTTAACCTTGGTCTCCAGCTTTGTAGTCCAGCACTGAAACCACACTGGCTTTTGAAATAATTTATAGCTGTAGTTACTGGTTTCCCCCCTGACATCCATGTAACATTCTTCCCATTCCAGTATTTTTCTTGTGAATTTCTGATAGCAGAAGAAATCTATTAAAACCCCTGCAGGATGCAAAGGTGTTTTTTTTCTATCCTGGGGTTTTCAAAAGAAGGTGGTATAATTGTAATACCCGTGTACATTGTCTCAGTTCTGTTGCACAGAGAGTTTTTTAGCCAAGTCCCATGCAAAAGGCACACAGGCAAGAGGGAAAAAGGAACAGAAAAACTTTACTTTTATCAGCAGAGGCATTAACTTGCAGTGTTGCATACAAAATCAAACAATGCAACAAACTTACATAGTCCTTATAAGTAACACAGAATAAGCCTCTTCATCTTTCTTCAAATGAGAGAGCAAAACATAAACCTTGAGTAAATAGCTATTTCACCATAGCAAAGAGCATCACTGTTAGAGCATAGCAGCATTACAGCATATTGCTTCTCTTCCTTAGAGTAGCATATTGCTTCTCCACACTACATTCTAAAATCCATACAGTTATACCCTACCGGGTGTTGCCCAAACATGCTGGCTGACCTACATTACCAGCTGTACAAAATAATTAACATCATAAAGTTTTTCTTTAACACACACTTGATCCTGCTACAACTTACTGTAACAAATTCTTCCTATTTTGCCAATGTGTGTCATCAAGTCATTTCCAATTTATGGCAGCTCTAAGGTGAATCTGTCATGGAGGTCTCTTTGCAAGACTTGTTCAGAGATTTACTCACAATCCTTTGAATTGGCAACCATTCAAAATACAAAAATAAAGTTAATCATTCTTGACAAGTCTGTGCTGTTGTGTATGTCCACAAGCTGATCTGTTCTAATATATTTCCTGGTATCCAACTCAGAACAACTCGTGAGCATTTCCTTGGTCCCCCTCTTTCCCACAACTTACATCTTCTGGCACATCCAGGATTTCTTAAACTCCATAGCTTCACTGCATATACTTTCTCAAGAAAATTTTTCAAGCACATTTTGTCAGGACTGCTTTATTTTAGGACGTAGACTTTTGGCACCTTATGATTCAGTAAAACTACAACTCAGATGTTAAGAAAACATTTATTTATCTAGTAGTAATTAAATCCAGAGTCATACAAAACATGATGCATGTAGAATGTTTCTACAACGTTGTGTTCTTTTGTTTCTGCAGTATAATAGTTACAACAGTTCAGTATCTGTCTCCTGCACTTCATAAGAATTTCACAGAAACAGACTTTGATTTTAAGGTAGGATATCATTCAGCAATTTCTGTTAAACACATATTTTGTATGAACATCTAGAAATGAACACAGTTGATAAGACTGTGCCATCCTATAATATGACTGGAAATGTAGTTATTTATCTGCTGTGCACATCCATTAATCATCATTGTAACTGCCAACCTATTTATCTCTATAACTAGGTTGGGACCACCATTACTATGTTATTACGTTTTGTGTTTAATTTCCTCACACTCTTTAGAACTATTGACTGATCTGGATTATAAAATGTTATTGATTTTTTTTAATCATGCATATATTATCTATCTTTTGCCATTATTTTTCTACTTCTAGGTCTGGAACTCCTATTTCAGTTTGTCAGTTTTGTTTATAAACCAGCCCAGCCTGCAATTGGAAAGTATTACTCCAGCCAAGCGTAAAAAAATTCTGGACAAGTAAGCTTATCTAACTTCTAGTATCAGGTGTTGAACTGATTTGTGAAGAGTTTAATGTAATAAAGTAATATCTAATTGAATTCAAACATTATCTTGCTCACTACTGTTAATTCCGCTAAGGTCTGTGTCTGTCCCTCTGTTTCAGGTATGGTGATATGCGTGTGATGATGGCATATGAACTCTTCAGCATGTGGCAGAATCTAGGTAAGGCCATCTTCCAATCTAGTTTTTGGTTAATATTTGATAATAAGATAAGAAAGTGTCATAGGGATTTGTTTTTGCACAGGCTCTTAATAAACAGATATTACAGAATTACATTTGTACTGACACATAACATTCAAGCAAAATCCAACCTTCTAACAGATTTTTCCTTCAGATAAATCTGTTAGAAGTCTCCTGTAGGCAGAAGCTGACAGTGAAAAGTGTATGGGATTGTAGCCATCCTGGTCTCCTTTCCTTTCTTTTCTCTTTCCCTTTCTCCTTCACTTTCACTTTTTCTTCTTTCACACCCATCTGTTCACGTACATAAGTATTCCATTCTCTTTTTGGGCCCTTCTACACTGCCATACAGAATCATAGAGTTGGAAGAGACCTTGTGGGTCATCCAGTCCAACCCCCTGCCAAGAAGCAGGAAAATCACATTCAAAACACCCCTGACAGATGGCCATCCAGCCTCTCTTTAAAAGCCTCCAAAAAGGGAGCCTCCACCATCATCTAGGGCAGAGAGTTCCACTGCTGAACAGCTCTCACAGTTAAGAAGTACTTCCTAATGTTCAGGTGGAATCTCCTTTCCTGTAGTTTGAAACCATTGCTCCATGTCCTAGTCTCCAGGGCAGCAGAAAGCAAAGATGGCAGTGTAGACTCATATAATCCTATTCAAAGCACATAATCTGGGATCAGACACTGGATTATATGGCAGTGTAGATCCAGCCACAATCTTTAATTTAGCTTTTCCCCCATAGTTCCCAAGGTGTCTTCAGCTAGAATACTAATACTTCCCTCCTCTGCCAAAACCCCGCTTCTTGTGGCATCAATGGAATGCTTTTTAAATCCTTCTTTCTAGGGGAGAAAGATAAGACTAATCACCGTTAGTGGGAATAGAAGCATAACCTGTTCTCAGCTTCCCTCCCTCTGAAAACATCCTCTCTCTAATAAATGGCTACACACAAAATTAACAACTATTCAGAACTATAGAACTCCTAAAACCATTCGAATAATCAAAACAACTTCAAAAGCCAAATACTGAAATGCCTCATATCTTTCCAATTAGTAAGAATTGAAACGTTTCACAATTTCAAAAGAATATCTATCATAATCAAAAGATGACAGTAAAAATAATAAACATGTATGCACTAAAGGAAAGGGGGAATGGAAAGAGGGGGATTGAGGGGGGACCAGTATGCAGGAATAAACACATGCTTTTCTACAACTCAGGTGAACACAAAATACACTTTATTCCTGGAATGATTGGCCCCTTTTTGGGTGTCACACTGGTTCCACAACCAGAGGTCCGCAACATCATGATCCCCATTTTTCATGATATGATGGACTGGGAGCAAAGAAAAAATGGAAACTTCAAACAGGTAAAAAGTCTCTACTTTTTCTATTGTCTGGGTTGTCTCTTCCTCCATTACTGTTATACACAGAGAAAATTCTCCTCTCTTCAAAGAATACTTTTAAAATACAAGGCATGTGTTAGCTAAGATACAAGTGAATTAGTTAAAATACAAGGCATGAAGTTAGACTTCATAATATATGGATGATTATGATTATGATATTTCATTTGACAGTTTGGTGCTTCTTGAGAACATCGGTAGCACTCACTGATGGTCACTATTTCAAGTGCAAGTGCCTCAAAATTGCACCCCCTTCAAAAAATAAAAAGGGAATTGATCCCAAATGCTCTTTGAGAGATGTGGGGAGCATTTACACCACATTTTCACGCACCCCTGGACCTAAACAACAGGAACAGAAGTTTGTATTTGTTTTTCAAAAGGCCTCAAAATGTGGATACTCCCAGATGATATTTGGAGGCAAAAAATGGATCAGGGGCCAAGAGGACACAAAACTAGCCTTAGTGGACTGCAAGCAGCCCACAGGCCACATTTTGTCCATGTCTGGCCTAGAATCGTAGAATCATGGAGTTGAAAGAGACCTTGAGGGCCATCCAGTCCAACTGCCTGCCAAGAAGCAGAGAAATTGTATTCAAAGCACCCTCGACAGATGGCCATCCAGCCTCTGCTTAAAATCCTCCAACGGAGGCTCCACAACACTTTGTGACAGAGAGCTCCACTGTTGAACAGCTCTCACATTAGAAAGTTCTTCCTAATGTTCAGATGGAATCTCCTTTCCTGTAGTTTGAAGCCATTGTTCTGCGTCCTAGTCTCCAGGGCAGCAGAAAACAAGCTTGCTCCCTCCTCCCCAGAGATTTTGTATAACTATTTTTTCACAAATATTGAAGAAAATAGTGATGGAAAAAACCATAAAGTATCTTTATAGCCTTCTTGATGTTTAGAGTTCAAGAGGTTGCTGCTGTGCTTTACTAACCATTCCATTCTGGTCCAGGTGGAAGCAGAGTTAATTGATAAGCTGGACAGCTTGGTATCAGAAGGAAAAGGAGATGAAAATTACCGCGAACTCTTCAATCTGCTGTAAGTGTTATTCCTTATGTAGCAAACAATTTACAAATGCATGTAAAATTCTTGGAATAATGATCAGAGCAGAAAATAAAAATAACAGATATAGTGTCAATAAGAAACAACGTTGTGTCTGCTTTTCAGGTAACAAGCTCATTTTGATATATGACATTGTGAAAAGTATCAGTATTGCTTACAACAGCTACTAAAATTAAATCAATGCAGTCATATAACATTATTGAGATGTTCAGTTCTAATTACAGATTTTGGAGGATTTTCCTTGTTTATTAACTGTGTTTTGCTTTCTCGATCAATCTTTGTAAAATATTTCCTTCTGGGCTCAAATTTTTGCTCCATATTTGTTGCATCTTCTTCCAAGTTTTTCCCTCTTGGAAGAAAAAGGAGTGAGAAAATGAGCTTATCATTATATTATATTATCATGATCTTATATTGTCATTATATTATCATTTCCTGAATTAAATCGTTTTCCAGATGCCTGTTAGATATTTGAACTCCGCCACTGCCATTTCAGAGAACTATCTGTAACCTGAAGACTCAATGTGGTTTTTCACTGTGAATGAAGTAAATGTAGTAAATTTTAAAATGAAGATATACTCTTTGTAGATGTAGAGAAAAGTTGGTGTTGTCAAAAAATTCCCTGTAATAGAGCCAAACTGAAAGATCTTCCTTATGTAATTACTTACATAACTATAGCAGCTTCTTCTGGTAGTTTGGGAGGAAGAGTTTGTTAAAGAGTGAGTGTGAATTGTCAACTTGTCCAACTGAGATAAATCTCTTAATTCCAAGGCAAAAAGTAAAATGAAATAGTAAAATATCTATTGGCTTGAGAAGGATAGCCCAGAGGGGCAAAATAACATTAAAGGAACTGCTGGTGAAAGAAACATTCTCAACACATTGCATTACCAAGCAAATACCCCTAAAATGCAAGTGAATGAAAGAAGCAGAAATACGGGAAAATGGGAGGATGCCTGTCTTGCTTGGAAGGAAGCAGAAACCAAGAAAGAGAGCAACCGTTGTGACTTCCCTAGAAGTTGGGAATTATATGGGTCTAAACAGGAATGGGTAATTTGGAACACAGCACTTTCAAAACATGCAATCTGTCCCCACTTTTCAGCCAATTGCTTAGATCTGCCACACTTTTTATGTTCTCAGAAACCTGTCAGAGCTTTCAAAACTACACAAAGAGAATCAGTATGTTCATGTCACTTTACAGTTCATTATGCCAATACAACTAATTGAGCTTGTCCATGCTTCAGCAACTGTATAAAAGGGTAATGACAACCTTACTGTTCAGAGACATTCCCCTGCCTCTTTTAGAAAGCACTTGATGCATTTTAGCACAGGATTCAGCCTGTGAAACAATGCATTGTAACAAGGATTACATTTTAGTGGCTGCGGCAAAATAATTTTGAAAAGATGTAAAATAATGTTGAGTCTACTGTGAAATTAACAAATGCTGCAGGTGTTACGTATCTTGCATTATCTTCTCTAATAATGAAGTTATTTAAATAGATTCCTTCAATTGAATCTGTCTTCATGTGCAGAACATACTACTTTGGATTGTTCGTTAATTAATAAACACAATATTAAAAAGCAAGAGTGAATCTTGCATGCCGCTGTTACATGAAAAAGAAAAGTTGTGTGTTTGTTTACAATTTTATGGAAAATATTGAAACATGTAGCTAGAAACAACTTGTGCTGCTGCTTTTCTATGAACAACTTTAAATTGAATTCCCCTTTGATCAACTGCATGTCAAGAAAAGAAAGTTGTACTTTGTGATGTATTATCTTAGTCCAGTAATCTCCTTGTCTTTGCTTCATGCAACATGGATCAGAACCCAACTCTTTGGGCCTTACCCAAGGTAAGATGGAATTTAAACTTTACGTGGAAATGTGCTAGGTGTTAAATTTGTTATCAAGGACTATTGAGCTGTTACAGTCTTTTCAAAGAAGTCTTATACACTGTTTAATTTCACACAGCCTGCTGGAAAAGATTGAGCAAGAGACCTGGCGGGAGACCGGTGTTTCTTTTGTGACATCAGTTACACGTCTGATGGAGCGCCTCTTGGATTACAGGTAACACGAGTTTATTCTGTATTCTCAACCATCTGCTCTGTAACAGCCGTGAAATCACTGATTACAAAAAAGATAGCTTAATTTCAACAGGAAACCTTTATCTTTATTCTGAAATAAGCTTAATTTCAAGTCTAGTCAAGTCTAACTCTGGGGGTGGTCCTCATCCCCGTTTCTAACCAAAGAGCCGGAGTTATCCATAGATGCCTCCAAGATCATGTGGCCAGTATGACTGCATGAAGCACCATTACCTTCCCGCTGGAGCGGTACCTATTGCTCTACTCATATTTGCATATTTTCGAACTGCTAGGTTGGCAGAAGCCGGGGCTAATGATGGAAGCTCATCCCACTCCCCGGATTCAAACCACCAACCTTTCAGTTAGCAAGTTCAGCAGCTCATGTTAGTGAACAAGTATACCTGTATATTGAACATCTTTCATCAAAGTTAGCAAGATTTTAAGAATATCAGCTTGTTGTTGCTGATGTTAAATAAGTGGGGTTCAGTAATTCTTATAGTTCGTAAATCACCCAGAATTTAACCATAGATACAGATTTACGTACACCCTCATATATTTTTTGAAAAAATAGTATGTTGTCATTTTTTAATATTTCCCACAATAGCTACTTCTGTGTTGTATTGCATGAACAATACTGTTACACTTTAAAAGAAAAAAAGACAATTTAGAGAATTCCAGCAAGCCTTCCATTTTCTCTTCCCTACTGTTTCAAAATATTTTGTGAACAAGACATCTTCAAGAACCACATAATGAAGTATTCTTGCTAAAGCTATAAATGCATGGGGTCTGATTAGTGCCTGGATGGGTGACCACTTGGCAGCTTTGTATACACAATGGCACAAATCCAGAATATAAATTATAATAAGTAAATTATAATTATGGTATTTTAAAGAACTGAGCATGCTCTGACTACTTCTTCCCTTATGTTATATGTTTTTCCCCAGGCATACATTTTGAAATCCAAATGTTTTAACAGTTGTCCCTTTTTTTTTTCAGGGACTGTATGAAAGGAGATGAAACAGAGAACAAGAAAATTGGTTGCACTGTTAACCTGATGGTGAGAATATTGTGTGTGCGCATGTGTGTTTTGTTTTGCTTTTGGTTGACCAAAATCCTTTATACAACCTTTAAAAAAACAGAACAGAAAATTATTAAGCAGAGAATTGCTAAGATATCATTAGCCATCTTTTACTTCCATCTGCATGAAACAATTTGCGTAGATCAGTTAATGTTTATTTTGCATATGGCTCCTTCATGTGGGGTTGAAATCTAAAAACCAAATTTAATTTTAAATAGTTTTGCAATTCAATGCAACTGATCACAGGTTTCATTCTCATTTGTCAAATATTGATGTTATTTTGATTCCTCCCAGAGGTATCTACTCATAAATTCCAAAATCTAAAATTGGAGTGTATACATGAGGCCTGCAGGCAACAATCATACCATTTTCATGACCTCAATCCAACTCTTAAAATGTGTTGGTTAAAACATGGAGCTTTAAACTCTTAAGATGTATGATTCTCCTTTAAAACAAGATGCAAGTCCTGTTTGTCTTGTTTTCCTTTTAAAAAGAGTATTATTGATCATTATAGTAATAGCAGTGGTGATGGTGATGGTGATAATTTTGGGAAAGGGGAGTAGCCATTCTGGTTTGCCAAAACAGTGTAGTGCGGTTCATGTTGGCACAGGAGAAGGAAAACCAGCCTCTGAACTTTCAAAGTAGCCTACCTCTGACCTAGAAGCATGAAACAGATTCTGTCCAAAACATTTAGATACACTTTGGGAAGTCACTGGTTCCAACTGTCTGGTTGCTTTTAAAGGTATTTTATTGATGAGATTTTGGGAAAAGATGTACTTGATAGACCAAAGTTAGGGTGAGCTTTGTGAAAGCTTCATGACAGGAAAATGGTGCTCCACTAGGAATACCGTATGTACAGTTTGGGACTTGTGCATGAAGAAGAGAGTTCATAACCTAAGGTTCACTATGATTGATTCTCGCAAAGCTAAGACTAGAGCAGGCATGGGCAAACTTTGGCTCTCCAAGTGTTTTGGATTTCAACTCCCACAATTTCTAACAGCCAGTAAGATGGCTGGGATTCCTGGGAGTTGAAGTCCAAAACACCTGGAGGGCCAAAGTTCGCCCATTCCTGGACTAGAGCCTAGGAAAATTGTATGGGGTTTTTGAACTACAGTTCCCAGAATCACCCAGTTGCAGTTTCTGGGATATATAACTCCAAAGAGTAACTGTTCAAGCTCTTTCTAAACATAACTCAGCATGTCTAAACTGGGTCATTGATCCCTGAAATATCTAAGACAGACTCTTTACCAAAAATACTTTCCATTTCATGCTATATTTTGCTTTTCAGAATTTCTATAAATCTGAAATTAACAAGGAGGAAATGTATATCCGCTACATCCACAAGTTGTGTGATATGCACTTGCAGGCTGAAAACTACACAGGTAAATAAGAAAGAAAGCTTTATTCAAATATTATTTACTAACGTCTTCAAGTTTGCATTTTAAAACATGTAAAGTATAGTTTTCATTATACCTAGAAAAGTATTTCAAGCTATTTTTCAGGAACTCAGTAATTTCAGCAAATGTATACATTTATAAATCAAAACATCAAGAAAATGGTCTCTATGCCCTATATATTCATGTATAAGTCAACTTGCTCAAGGGCAGATTTGGGAGTCAAATTTATGGATTTTGATGCAATCTGTGGATAAATCAGGGGTTATTCTGTAGAGAGGGGAAAACACTCATGGCCGCTGCCAATGCCATTTTCCTGCCAATATTAAAAAAGACCAGAAGATCTGCTGCAGTGGAAAGAGTAGGCAGGATTAGTGCTTCTCTTAGGTTCTCATGGGTTGGGCCATGCTCCACTCAAAGAAGGGAAGAGTTGAGGTGTATACAGTACTCACACTGAACCATGGATAGGTCAACTCAGGGATTTGGGGTCAATTTTGACTAACATTTCTAGACTTAGGTAGGTAAAGGTTTTCCCCTGACATTAAGTCCATTTGTGTCCGACTCTGGGGTGTGGTGCTCATCTCCATTTCTAAGCCAAAGAGCCGGCATTGTCCGTAGACACCTCCAAGGTCAGCATGACTGCGTGGATTGCCGTTACCTTCCCGCCGGAGCGATACCTATCGATCTACTCACATTTGCATGTTTTCAAACTGCTAGGTTGGCAGAAGCTGGGGCTGACAGCAGATGCTCACGCTGCTCCCCGGATTCGAACTTGCAACCTTTTGGTCAACAAGCTCAGCAGCTCAGCACTTTAACCCACTGCGCCACTGGGGACTTATATAGGACTTATATAGAAGTATATACAATGCCTATATTTGCATATCATTGTTATCTACATGGCAGCACTGAAATAGCTGATTCTGTTATAATCCAGAAATTTAAATTAAAATATGTTGCTAGAATTGGGTAGAGAATATGTGTCTTGATTTCAAATGGAGTTATGATATCTTTAGAAAATGTGACAGTTCTGATATTTTAATGCATTATCCTTTTTGTTCATTAAATCCATGTGTTTGCAAAAACATTTTCCATAGGAATAAGCAATTGATTCAACACAGTGCAGCAGTTGGAGGGTTCCAGCTAATTTAATTTAGCTGAATGTATTTAACATAATTTTCATATATTTCTAACATATGTCAGATGGTAAACTTCAGATAGGAAGCATCTTATTTATTGTACAATATTTATATTTCAGCTGATAAATTGTTGCTTTCCCATGTTGACAAGGGACTCATTCATGTTAAATTAACATCCATTTAATTTCTCAATTTGTTGATCTCATTTAGGATCCTTTAGTGTGGCCAGGGAGCACGAATCAAACTTGACAAGGGCTACAATACGTTGCAGCCAACAGTGTGATGGAGGTCAAAAAACTGCATTTTGAAGGACACAATGCATGGAGGGGGGAGGGCTATACCTTTTTAAAAATCAAAATAGATTCAGATTTCCAGGGATGCTTTCAATCTTGATGCACACTGGAGATATTTAGAGTTCCTGGCCCTGGCTACTCCATCCATCCTTTCCACCATAAGATGTACAGTATATTCTGGCGTATAAGACTACTTTTTAACCCAAGAAAATCTTCTCAAAAGTCAGGGGTCGTCTTATACGCGGGTGTAGTCTTACGCATGGGAGTTGTCTTAACTCTATATTTTAACTGGAAAAGTTGGGGGTCGTCTTATACGCCCAGTCGTCTTATATGCCGGAATATACGGTACATGTTTTTAGACTTGCTATTTATTCCAAATGTAACCATACAATACAGCTGTAGACAAATTTCTCTCCTAGGCCTCATTAATAGCATGGACAGGAGCTTACTTTAGGATTATGTCTGTTCTCTAAGGTCTATAAAACTGCCAGCAGCCTGGCATCCTTCTCTTACTTTCAAACTTCTCCCCATTCTCCAAAGGTAATAGCCAGGAGAGTGGTATCGAACAGCTCTACAAGAAAACCCTCACTCACTGAGGTGACTGCTTGGTGATTAGGGTTTTCCACCCACCTCTTTCCCTTTCTTTTTCCTGATTTTTTTCAAGTGCCCTCTCCCCACAGCCACAGCCACACCTCCTTCTGGTTGTCCATCTTTCCAGTTCTCAGTTTGCCAATGAAGTATATGGCCTCGGCCTGTGAAGAAATCTCAGGTGCCTTCCTACCTCATAATTCAAAACCACTAATCAATACCAGAGAGGGAGATGCACCCTACTGGGGACTAATCATCCAGTAAAAATATCCCCATTCCCCACCCCAACTTCTATGCCTTATATGAAAGTATGTGAAGCTTATTGAAGCTTATATGAAAGTATGTGAAGCTTATTCTGAAGCTTATATGAAAGCTTCAGAATGTGCTGTTTTGTCTTGGATTAAAGAGTTAGCAGGAGTCATAAAAATAGGCCGTGATGCCATAGGCTCATTTTGAGTATTGGGAACAGCACTGAAATCGAATTATAAAGCTTTGCTTCTGCTATTATAATTTTACAAAACATTTCTAATGCCCCCAAAAAGCTATTTAATTTTCTTATGAGTCTAATGTGGTATGGTTTGCCAGGACATAAGAGATTTCTTGATGTTACAATTTCTGACATAGTGACAGAAAGTTCATGTTCATGAATGGAAATAGCCATTACGAAAAATCCCAAGCCGGAGAAAGAATATTGAGCCGTATTTTGCACTACTTTATTATGAGCTGATTACTTTACATCTGAATTAATATTTTAAAATCACACCCTGTAGTCTGTGTATAGAATCTTTTATAATTAGTGTCTGGCTTCTGCTATTCTGTTATGAAAGAATATGAAGATTAAAATCCAGCTGCTGGGATTTAATTACTGTAGCTGTAAAGGGTAACCAAGGGAGAAGATAACAGCCAATTTCCATCATGCTATTTTGGTGCCATACTCTAAATCTGGGTGGGCAAAATGCAGGATGTAGACTATGGGGCCATTTCTGTGGCCCCAGCAGGACAAAATTAAGACATACTTTCACACTTTTCCAATACGACTTCTGGGGATCATGATTAGACACACACACCATGATCTCCTTAGAGGTCAAAAAGAAATTTTGTAATTAAGAAAACTTAAAATGCTTTGCAGGGCCTAAAAAGTACCAAAAATGACCTCGTATCTCCAAACAAGTGTTTGGGGAGCATTTGGGTGTATTTTTGTGAAAGCAAATACTGGGAAGGGTGTGCTCCCCAGGTCTCCTCTGGGTCTAATATCTACACTTGCACACTCCTAAAGTAGCACGTCTTATCCCCCTACTTACTTGGTATGAAAACATTGGAACTTTGTGAGGTAAGACAGATACTATTTTACAAAGGTAAGGTATCTTCTTGTTTTCCTGATTATTTTTCTAATTGTGCACATGGCACATACCCCTCTTTTTAAAAGATTTTTGGAAAGCACTTGATGTTTTTAATTCTTTGGTTTGTTCTATACTTTAGTTAAATGCAGTATAAAAATGTCCTTATATATGTAAGTACAACAATGATAGAATGCACATTTCTCACCCCACATGCAAGTTGGAAAATTGTAAACCTCCCATAAGGCTCTTTCTCCTGACTTTCACTCAGAGGGACCTCACTTACCGCAGCCATATACAGGCTCTCCCCTTTAGGTGAAATCACAGGGCTGTTTTTCACCCAACCTCTGGACAGTCTTAACAGATAGAGAAGAGAGTCCTCTTCCTTTGTAATTCATTGAAGTGGTGCCTCAAAGGGGGAGCTTCCTGTGGTATAGTCTCTTTGAAAGTAACACTGACTGAGGTCAGTCCTTATTACTCAAGGTAGGGCCATTTCATATGGACTTCTCCTGTATTTCTTCTAATCAAGATTTTGGTCCATAATCAGCTCCTCAGCTCTTCTCCTAGTTACAAAGAAACAGTCAGAAGACTGCCAGAGAATTAGAAAACAGAAAAAGAGCCGTCTGATAGTTAACAAAAGAGCAGGAATCAAATGTTCTATGTCAGCTGTATTCTCCTCTTTTCATTTCTTTTATACTGCTGTTCTATGAATGGGATTCATTGCCACTCAAAACCAAAATTACTATTAACTTTGATTTAATTGTTGATGAGAGGGCAGATAGGGTGTATATCACTTAAATCTTGCAGTTGTATTGCATTAATGGACTTGGTCCTTCTAGCCCTAACATAATATGTGGCTTTTGCACTTTACTATCAGTCCCAGCCTTGCAGATGTATTGCACAAGCCCTTGCCCCGCCCTTTCAGTTCTGAACATGTCCACTGTGCTCGGCTACTGGTTGTTGGTTACTGATTTTTAAATTATGTTTTGTATATGTATTTTATTGTGCTATATTTTAACTCAGTTTGACTGGGCTTGGTTCCCATGTAAGCCACCCCGAGTCACTTTGGGAGATGATGGCAGGGTATAAGTATAAAGTTGTTGTTGTTCATCTGGATGCAGAATATGGGAGACTGCTCCATCTAAGTACTCACTCAAGACAACGAGTACTTGTTTGTGCTTTGTTTTTTAAAATTAAATCAATGTCTTGTTTGAGACCAGGCATCCTCAAACTGTGGTCCTCAAGCTGTTTGGGCCTCCAACTCCCGGAATTCTTGACCATTGAACAAGCTGGCTAGGGCTGTGCTGACACCTGTAAAATAGTGAATGTAAAATAGTGCATGGCCATAACTTTAAAAAGCTAGCTCAATCTGTAGAACTATAGGTGTGGAGAGGAAGTACAGATAACTAGGGAATACTAGAGGGCTAAATTAATTCTCCAGGAGACCATGGATCCCCAACTATTTCTGCAAAAATGTGTCAATTTATACACTCAAATGCCTTCAAAAATGCTCTAGGGCCATGCTTTTGGACCTTCCTGGCCCCTAGAGTGCATTTGGGACCATTTTGAGGAGAAAATATTTGCAAAATTTTGTTTTGACCACCTGTTGGATCTAAAGTGGCTCCAAATGTGGTGGAAATGTCCTCTACACTGAATAGAGATCATTTGGGAACATTCCGCGGACCCCAAATTGCTGAAATTGTCATCTATCAGAAAATATAATAGACTCAGCTAGTGAAGGTTTTGACTGAAGCACCAGTAAGAAGAAATACACTGAACTCCTTTTTTAAAAAACCACAATCACTTGGCAAGATAGAAGCATTGATCTTGAAGATGGCAGTCAAAAGTCTAGCCTGTATCTCTGAAGCATGAACTGGTTGAACAAAATAATATGCCTTCCTTCTTAATTAAGCTGCTGTCAGTAGGCTGTCTGGAAAATCCTACTGATTTGAGCAATACTGAAAGAATACATCATTCATTGGTCCCTAGAGATCAAGACAAGGGAAAGAGATTGTTGTAAAAACAATAAGTAATTTAGATACCTACTGTACAATGAAATGAAAAAATAATTTTAATTAATGGTGTGTTCTATTTTGTTTTGCCTATTTTATCTACTATGATCGAATAATGGATTTTACATCCCCCTATTAATTACCAGTATTAATTACCCATAGTCAGGTCATATCTCTGCAGGTGTAGTGGATTTATTGAAGTGATTATCATATTTCTCAAATGCTAATAAATGATCATGTATTTGCTCTTGGGAACTTTTCTAGCTGGTGCTTGGGCCAGCTAGTTGCCCTTGTAAATGGGAAACTGAATGGAATATTTGCTACTACCATGTCCAGGGGCCCTATTTCATTTAGTCAAGCAAGGAATCGAACTCTCACCTTCAGAATCCTAGTCCAGCACCCAAACCACTACCCCTGAGCTTTTAGTAAAATATTTGTCAGTTTTCTTTTATTTTCCTTTATTTTCCATTTTTTCAGCCTATGCATATTAAAATATTGTAAACATATATAGGTTTTCAACATTTTTCTATATTGTTCATATCTTTGTTTCAACAGAGGCTGCTTTTACATTGCTCTTATATTGTGAGCTGCTGCAGTGGGAAGACAGACCTCTTCGGGAGTTCCTGCACTACCCATCACAAACAGAGTGGCAGCGCAAAGAAAACCTTTGTCGGAAGATTATCCACTATTTTAATAAAGGGAAGGTATGCAGAAAATATTATTACTGCTTTCCTGTTAATATTGGTTATTGCTGGTGCTATAGGTTATAGAAAATGATCCACTGCCATGGAAACAGCACCAAACACCTTGTCCTTTCCCCTCTAGCAATAGTAATTACCGATATATGTCAAGATTACTTTAAGGGCTGTTTTCACCTATACAGGCTTGCTAAATTGTTACACCTTTGGCAGTCACATTTCCAGTAAAATTGATTGAGTTGGTCAGCAGAAGAAGACCTTACTGGTGATGGCTTACTGAATATGGAGCTATTCTCCAACTCATCTATACATGCCCACTACAATATATATGTGCCTTTATATAGGTTAAAAACAGGTATCATTCTCCTAGAAGTACTTCTGAGGGTGCATCTGCACAGATGGACAGATGCCGTTTAACATCACTTTAACTACCATGGCTCAATGGTGTGGAGTCCTGAGAGTTGTTGTTTGGTAAGGCACCAGCTAAAGAGCTTGCAAAATACAACATGATCCCATAGCATTGAGCCATGGCAGTTAAAGTGGTCTCAAATTGCATAAATTCTGCAGTATTTTGATCATACATGGGCAAACTTCAGCCCTCAAGGTGTTTTGGACTTCAACTCCCACAATTCCTAACAGCCTGCCAGCTGTTAGGAACTATGGGAGTTGAAGTCCAAAACACCTGGAGGGCTGAAGTTTGCCCATGCCTGATATAGATACTCCTTGGCTTAAAGTATTTGACAAATCAATATGCAAGGCAAAGCTGCCCTTATTTATTTTCCTCAAAGATAGCACCGGCACTGCTGCCACTTGCAGTTTAACTTTTACATCTTGATTACATGTGACTCTAGGCTGATACACTTCGAGAAGGATAGACTCCTTTTTTATAGTTTCCTTTAAACTATTCAACAACCAGTTTAACATGGGTCTGTTAAGCAGTCCAGCATTAAGATGATGGCAACCTAATTCCAGGCAAGAAAATAGAATTTAATATAATTTCTTTCGTTATTGAAGAGATATTATAAAATTGTTTTTTCAGATAAAAGAAGAACATAAACATCAGCAAATCAGGATCTTAGGAATAACCAACCAAACAACTTCAATTTGGGGCAGAGATCAGGCTCCTCTGAGCAATGCTTTCAGACCTATTTAATGTTCCCCTGATTTTTCCCTTTTATTAGCAATGTATAGTTATTAAATAATTTTAAGTGGCTACATGAGCATTACTGCTAAAAGAGGCACTTCCCAGATTTTACTTTTTAGATAACTTCCTTCAGAAATGGCTTGTCCTGTTGGCCTGAGCAGGGAGTCTGGAGAACTACCTGGCTAACAAATAAATGGAGAGCTAATAGATAAGCCTCTACTTTACCATTTATTTTTCTTCTCCCTGTGCTGGGATCACGTGGCTCTAAACTATTAAGCTTTGCCTCTGTGCGCTTAGTTTTACATATATTCAAATCCCACTTTTTTTCTCTTTTTCAGAGCTGGGAATTTGGGATCCCATTGTGCAGAGAACTGGCTCTTCAGTATGAAAGCTTATACGATTATCAAAGTCTCAGTTGGATTCGGGTAGGTAAAATAAGCTTTTACAATTTGTGTCTGTTTTATGGTGAGTAATACTAATACTGTCATACATTATGTCTTTTGAAACTGAAATATATATTTCCTTAAGAAGCAGGGGGATAAAGTAATTACATACTTATTTCTGAATATTACCCCAAGGAAGCAGGGAATTATGCAATTCCATGCTTATTTGCTATTGTTTTCAGGGCTGGATTTCAAACCCCAGTCTTTAATGCATCATTTCTCTTAAGGTAATGGAAGCCAAACAGCAAAAAGTTAAACTCTACAGTCTGTGTTCCCTGGTGACATGAGATGGAATAAATGAGCACATTCTCAAACAGGAAATTTTAAATAATCTTGTGATTCTGTGGATAGTGAGGATGTTATCATCAGTTCATCTTCTCCTTAACACACTAGGACTCAAAGCAGCCTAAAAGACATTAAAACAAATATTGACTAAAATGCATTCCAAGACATCAATGAGCAAAAATGGAGTTTTAAAGTGTATGTGATTTAAAGGAAACATTCTTATATGTGAAATCCTGCTTGGGTTGTCTGTGGATCCAACTTCCAGATATATGAGATTTAATACTGAGGTGTTTTACAGATTAATAGATCTTAGACTATTTTTAAAAACCTTCCATGGATGACACAATTTAAAGACAAAACATTACTCCTAGGCATAGTGGGCTCTAGGATACATTTATTATGACATTTCAAATTCAATATTTTTTTTATTTCCATCCACAGAAAATGGAAGCTACCTATTATGATAACATAATGGAACAGCAAAGGTTGGAACCTGAATTTTTCAGAGTTGGTTTTTATGGAAGGAAATTTCCCTTTTTTCTTCGGGTAAGTAAGACCATTCATCATATGCATTGATGCATGAATTGTGCTGATAGAACTGCTTGTGTCAGTGGAAGAAAGAAAAGGACTGTATAACCAGTCTGTGCAGCCCATCCTCCAAGTGACCCCATAAAAATCTGTTTCAGAATTTTCAAAGTTTGAGAGACATGGTAGATTAGGGTGGGCAACCATCAAAGGCTGGGAGGTTAGATTGGTCATCTGCAAGGCCATACAAAAAAGCTGCAAAGGGTGCAATCAGATTCAAGGTTGGTTTTTGTTTGTTTGTTTGTTTTTGCTATTGGCTTGAATTCAACAAGAAAAAGGTGGTATACTCATTCAAATGTACCCACAAAAGAAAAATATGCTAATTCGGTCACCTGTTGTTACAGCTTTTCAGTACACAACATCAGGAATCAGGCTTGACCAGCTTCTTGAATTTAGTGTTGTGGTGACTGAGAAGGCAGAGCTCCATCAATTGGAGTGGGTGTTGACAAGGCATTGTCATCTTTGCCTTCACCCATTCTTCTCCAATAGGAGAGGACTCATACCCATACACTGGAGTTTGTCTTTTCCCAACACAGAGAATCAATGTCTTGCTTCAGTAAAGCTGAAACAAACCTGATTAGCTGTTGACAGATGACAGCTTTCAAGCCTGATTTAATTTTTTTTCAGCAGGACATTGATTCTCAGAACAATACACAGAAAAATCAATGTTTGACTGTAGGGTGAGAGACCTGTGAGCAGCAGGGGAATGTGTTGCCAGTGATGCCTTTGCTGGGGTTGTGATTCTTTGATGTGTCTCTGATGGGAGGCTCCATATCTTGGGCAGTCGAGCCAATCTTGGTCACTACCATAAGAGCATGTTGCCTTCTCATTATATGTAACCTCAGCCACCTTTGATACTGGCAAAGTGCTTAGTTCAATTCACATTGCCAAGTTTTTGCAGGATGCCCCATGAAATCAATTTCCTCCACTTCTGATACGAATTCGAGTTATATTATGTCATATTTCCACACTGCCTAAAGCTCAGCAGGTGGAACCATGGAGAATGTTGTACTTTGCCAAGTTACTGGTCCTGGTGCTTTCCCTCTAATTATTGTTAGTGATCAAGTTAACTTAATCATTATTATATTGTATTCTTGCATTATGCACTGAAAAGATGGGGGAGGGTTACACATTTTAAAAACCCTAAAAGTCTGGCATGAATAGACTTGCTGTTTGCCTCGCTGTGAAATTTCAAGCCCTAAAGAGATCACCTATTCCCATACTGACATTGAATTTTAGTGAGAGACCTAATGATTTTATATTATGGCTTTTTGTTGTGTGATGTTTTGATTTAAGATAATAGCATAAGAAATACTTAGTCATATATTTCTTTAGCTAAAATGTTAAGAAATCTTGGCAGCAATTCAGTGGTTTTCAACCTCTTCCTTTTCTTTGCAGAATAAAGAGTATGTTTGTCGAGGTCATGACTATGAGAGACTGGAGACTTTTCAACAAAGAATGCTTAGTGAATTTCCACAGGCCATAGCAATGCAACATCCAAATCACCCAGATGACAGCATCTTGCAGTGTGATGCCCAGTGTATCCTTTATTACTGTTCTGGGATGGAGTTAACATTATAAGATAAAAGGGTTTCAATTAGAATGCATCCATCACAAATTGATTTTTCCCCATTTGCCCCCTTTTAGATGCATACAGTTGTGTATACTTTTCTCATTCAGTAAATGATGGAATTAATGGTTCCCAAACCGAATGCTTCAAGAGGCCTAAAGCAGCTGGTCTGGCATCCTGCCAGGATTTCCTGTTATCCTTTTATGGTAGCTAGCTATTACATAAAACTAAGTTTGTGAACCAGCTGTACAGAGCCTAGTTGAATTGCTTGGTTATCACTGTTCTCAACCTGCTGTTTTAGTGTGCCTTTCCATCATATGCAGAGTAGTTTTGATTTCTAGCAATTACTGTCTCTTGACTGGTACAAAGAGAGCAAAGCTTAAAAGCTATCGTTGAAAGAGTTTCTGTTCTACAGCACTGGACCTAAAACAAATCCATGTGACACCTCACTAGTCACTTGTCTCCAGGTTGGCAAGGAATAATTGTTAAGCATCCTGGATTCAATATTTTAAAAGTTAAAAAGTAACTACAAATCTACCTGAACATCATCTGGCTACTGTTTTTCAGCTTGTCAACAATAATATATTACAAGATCTTACAAAATCAGGATAATTGCACCCAGCACTCTCCTGACCTGCTAGCTTTGTAACATTTTCCCCCAAAAGAGATAAGATTTTTTGCTATGACTTCTTTTTTAAACATTCAGACTCTTAGAAATCAACATGTTCATTTTTAAGCAATCAGTATTTAGTTACCTGTTCTTAAACTCTTTCTCATATCACTGTCAAACATCTGCTTTTGAGTTGCCTAGGCCTTCATTTTTTTCTCTATGAAACTTAATACATCTTTTGCACATTTTGTGGTCTCTGCAACTCATGTATATAATAATAATAATAAACTTTATTTGTATCCCATCACCATCTCCCCAGTGGGGACTCGGTGCGGCTTACATGAGGCCAAGCCCCAACATGAATCATAGAATCATAGAATCAAAGAGTTGGAAGAGACCTCATGGGCCATCCAGTCCAACCCCCTGCCAAGAAGCAGGAATATTGCATTCAAATCACCCCTGACAGATGGCCATCCAGCCTCTGTTTAAAAGCTTCCAAAGAAGGAGCCTCCACCACACTCCGGGGCAGAGAGTTCCACTGCTGAACGGCTCTCACAGTCAGGAAATTCTTCCTTATGTTCAGATGGAATCTCCTCTCTTGTAGTTTGAAGCCATTGTTCCGCGTCCTAGTCTCCAAGGAAGCAGAAAACAAGCTTGCTCCCCCTCCCTGTGGCTTCTCTCACATATTTATACATGGCTATCATATCTCCTCTCAGCCTTCTCTTCTTCAGCTAAACATGCCCAGTTCCCTAAGCCGCTCCTCATAGGGCTTGTTCTCCAGACCCTTGATCATTTTAGTCGCCCTCCTCTGGACACATTCCAGCTTGTCAATATCTCTCTTGAATTGGGGTGCCCAGAATTGGACACAATATTCCAGATGTGGTCTAACCAAAGCAGAATAGAGGGGTAGCATTACTTCCTTAGATCTAGACACTATGCTCCTATTGATGCAGCTAACTGCACCTACACAGTGCAGTATTCAAACCTGAATGGTCTAGTTTTGGCAGAAGACCCTCCCCTTCCACACCCCTACAATTTTCTTGAAATAAGATTTTATGTTTTTAAACATTTATCTGTTCATACAATCAAAGTGCAGAGTGTAGGCTGCAATATACACAGAATTTGTCAGCAGAGTCTTCCCCTAATCACTTAGAAGGGAGGGAATTCCCTGAATATATACATATACATCTAATGTATGGAGAGTTTACCTTCCATTAAAGAGAATGAGAATGCCAAAACATGCAGGTTCTCTCTCTACTTTGATCATGTGTGAGATGAATTCAACCAAGAACAGGTGCTCTGCAGTGATCACATTTGTGGGAATATTAACTTCATGAGCTGAGATGAAAAGAGTCTGTTAATGAAAATTTTAAAAAATCATTATATGTTACATCAAACTGGAAGTAGGCATACTTGCCATTTATTGGCACTTGAAAAATAAATTAAAGAAGGATGGGGACTTCAGAGAAAGGCAGAAAGAGTAATATGTGATGATTCAAGTTAAGGAACTGGCTTTCCAGATTACAGTATGTTGTACTCATATGTGAAGAACTGAAAATATATCAAAATGTAACTACTGAGTTACAAAACAGGAATGTCTTTTTAAAATGTAGTACTTCTTAATTTTTTAACTTTCTGCAGAGCTCCAATGGTCCTTCATAAAGCAGGGTTTTTCAGAGTACCAGAATGGTAGAGTGAACCTGGAAAAGAAAAGAAAAGAAACTTGAATGTTTGTTTATTTATTTATTTGCTTCACTTGTATACCGCTTTTCTCACCCCAGCAGGGGACTCAAAGCAGTTTCCAACATAATTATGACAAAAAAATTATAATTAATTTTTATTGTGCATTTTCAATGTTTACAGTATTTAGAGTTTAAAAAAAGGTGAGATAAACATAAATATTATGAAAGTTAAAAAAATAGTGAAGAGCAATCATACGGATTAGGCAAGTAAAGAAGACAAAATTTAATGTCTCACTTATGGAAAATTATCATAACGATAATAGCATACAATTATCAATTATCATCATTTAACATTAAAACATGAAATTAAAAACTTATCAATATAAACGTTAAAATCACACAATCCAACAACTGTAGTCCGGCCTGTTCCAAATATCATATCTAATGCACATAATCCCTGATCATTCCTCGTACTGCTTACTGCCTAAAGGCTTGGTCTCATAGCCAAGTTTTTACTTTTCTTCTGAAGGCCAGGAGGGAAGGCGCTGATCTATTTTCATTGGAGAGGGAGTTCCATACCCGAGGAGCCCCCACTGAGAAGGCCGTGTCTCTCATCCCCACCAATCACACTTGCGAGGGAGGTGGAACTGAGAGCAGGGCCTCCCCAGATGATCTTAATCTCCAAGATTGTTCATAAGGGAAGATACATTCAGACAGGTAAGCTGGGCCAGAATCGTTTAGGGCTTTCTTCTTCTGAGAGAAGTTGTGTTTTGTTTGGAGAAAGGATAAAGGGATAGTTCACACATTAAAGTATTAGATCTACATTACTACATGTTATATATGTGCTAAATCTGTTATTTGATTAGCTACAAGTTTATCAGTTATTCAAGTAACATTGGAGGCTGATTTGAACTTTGGGGACAAATGTGTAGTTTGTTTTCCTTTGACTGGACTGTGTTGCAGACTTGCAGATCTATGCAGTGACTCCCATTCCAGATAACATTGATGTACTGCAGATGGACCGTGTTCCTGATCGCATAAAGAGTTTTTATCGAGTTAACAACATCAGGAAGTTCCGTTATGACAGGCCTTTCCATAAAGGTCCAAAAGACAAGGAAAATGAATTCAAGGTTGGGATGCTTTCTGGCAGACACATTGTTTCAATGCCAAATACATATAGCCCCTTGAGTCTCCTTTGGGGAGATAAAGTGGGGTATAAATAAATATCATCATCGTCATCATCCCTGATTGGGACATGTGAAAAGGCTCTTAAGCTTAGAATATGAAAAGGCACATTACAAACAACTTTGAAATTAATAAGTAACAATCCTTTGCATGACTAATCAAATATAAGCTTTCCTAGGCTTACATCCAAATTGACCTGCACTGGGTGATCTACTAAGTCATTCAACACAGGCGACGGTAAATCACTGTACATTCTACAGAAAAGTAATATTCCTCCCATGTGCAGTTCTCTAATCTATATTCTGTTTTTGCTTGCACAGAAGAATTTTATTTGATTGGTCCCAATGACATAAACTACTGAGGTAATTACTAGTTTTCAATTGTATTTAATATAAAAATGCAGTGCAACCAATTCATTAATGGTGTTGAAGAGAACATAAAACAGATTCAATAACAGGCTTGTTCATTAGATTCTTTACAGTAAAAAAGGACAGTAAAAAGATCGATAATATCCTTCCATAAATTGAGATGTTGTTGTTGTTCATTCGTTCAGTCGTCTCCGACTCTTTGTGACCTCATGGACCAGTCCACGCCAGAGCTCCCTGTCGGCCGTCACCACCCCCAGCTCCTTCAAGGTCAGTCCAGTCACTTCAAGGATGCCATCCATCCATCTTGCCCTTGGTCGGCCCCTCTTCCTTTTGCCTTCCACTTTCCCCAGCATAATTGTCTTCTCTAGGCTTTCCTGTCTCCTCATGATGTGGCCAAAGTACTTCAACTTTGTCTCTAGTATCTTTCCCTCCAGTGAGCAGTCGGGCGTTATTTCCTGGAGGATGGACTGGTTGGATCTTCTCGCAGTCCAAGGCACTCTCAGAACTTTCCTCCAACACCACAGCTCAAAAGCATCGATCTTCCTTCGCTCAGCCTTCCCTAAGGTCCAGCTCTCACATCCGTAGGTGACTACAGGGAATACCATGGCTTTGACTGGGCGGATCTTTGTTGCCAGTCTGATGTCTCTACTCTTTACTATTTTATCGAGACTGGACATTGCTCTCCTCCCAAGAAGTAAGCGTCTTCTGATTTCCTGGCTACAGTCTGCATCTGCAGTAATCTTTGCGCCTAGAAATACAAAGTCTGTCACGGCCTCCACGGTTTCTCCCTCTATTTCCCAGTTGTCAATCATTCTTGTTGCCATAATCTTGGTTTTTTTGACGTTTAGCTGCAACCCGGCTTTTGCGCTTTCTTCTTTCACCTTGATTAGAAGGCTCCTCAGCTCCTCCTCGCTTTCTGCCATCAAAGTGGTGTCATCTGCATATCTGAGGTTGTTAATGTTTCTTCCAGCAATTTTCACCCCAGCTTTGCATTCATCAAGCCCCGCACATCGCATGATGTGTTCTGCATACAAGTTAAAAAGGTTGGGTGAGAGTATGCAGCCTTGCCGTATGCCTTTCCCAATCTTGAACCAGTCTGTTGTTCCGTGGTCAGTTCTTACTGTTGCTACTTGGTCCTTGTACAGATTCCTCAGGAGAGAGACAAGGTGGCTTGGGATGCCCATCTCACCAAGAACTTGCCACAATTTATTATGATCCACACAGTCAAAGGCTTTAGAGTAGTCAATGAAGCAAAAATAGATGTTTTTCTGAAACTCCCTGCCTTTCTCCATTATCCAGCGGATATTGGCAATCTGGTCTCTCGTTCCTCTGCCTTTTCTAAACCCAGCTTGAACATCTGGCAACTCTCGCTCCATGTATTGCTGGAGTCTTCCTTGCAGGATCTTGAGCATTACCTTACTGGCATGAGAAATAAGGGCCACTGTACGGAAGTTTGAGCAGTCTTTCGCATTTCCCTTTTTTGGTATGGGGATATAAGTTGATTTTTTCCAGTCCGATGGCCATTCTTGTGTTTTCCATATTTGCTGGCATATGGCATGCATCACCTTGACAGCATCATCTTTTAAGATTTTAAACAGTTCAGCTGGGATCCCGTCGTCTCCTGCTGCCTTGTTGTTAGCAATGCTTCTTAAGGCCCATTCAACCTCACTCCTCAGGATGTCTGGTTCTAATTCATTCACCACACCGTCAAAGCTATCCTCAATATTATTATCCTTCCTATACAGATCTTCTGTATAGTCTCGCCACCTTCTCTTGATCTCTTCAGCTTCTGTTAGATCCCTGCCATCTTTGTTTCTTATCACACCAATTTTTGCCTGAAATTGAGATATGCTTACATTAATAGTGTATGAATGGAAATCAAATATTGTAGAATCTGGATCCTGTCTGTGCACATCTTTTCTTGTTGGCCTTCTATGAAAGCTTTCCTTTTAGAACCAATATAAATAGTTTCTTTTTCCAATTAGTTATGGAGAAATGTACTGAACATTTCCAATTATATGCAATTTCCATCCATGCCGCTAGACCAAGACAAGCAGTCTTTATATTTTAACTGTTTACTATTGTTGACAAACAGAGAAAGTAAAACTGGTCAAGCATTTAATTTTGTTAATGTTTTTACTTATTTCACCCAAAATATTATCCTAAAACTCTGAGATATGTAGACAGTCCTACCACATGTGCAGAAGTACTCAGAGTGTCACAATTCCTCCAACACTTTAAATCCATTTAATATATCTCAAATGTTGAGATGTTAAATAACAAAGGTAAATTAATTGCCTTAAGTCATTAAAATAATTGTTACATGGTGAGCACATGCAGGATATCTCATTAATTCAGTAGCTTTACTCTAGTCAGGACTAAAAATAGGATTTAGGCCTATATCAATACTATCCCAGTATGCTGTATTAAGCTGTATGTATTGTGTGTGAGAGTGGGGGGAGGGTGTCTCAGGATCTTCTCTAATCTATTTTTTATTTTGGTGGGAATTTGTTCTTTCAATACCCCCATGTCTTTGCACAGGTTCCTGCTCTTATTTCTGTTCCTTTTCACCCACTACAACTGCAGCATCTATCTTTCTTTACTGATAACTTAATGCTACTGGAACATCTCTTTCTGATTTTCTGCTTCCTTCCTTTCAAAATTTGGACTTTGGAGTTTGCCCCCACCCCAAAAACAATGTCATTACTTGTGAATTTTGGATGTTACTGTATTTTGCTGCACTGCCAATACAACTACTCTTAATATCTCTTCTGCAGTATCCTTCAGCTGATATTACATCTCTTACTCACATGACAGTGCATTTTACAGGAGCAGCCTCAATTTTGCACACTTGAGTACTGCACTTACTCTCATTAGCTGTACCAGTTAAATATAAGAAAAGCAATTCCCCCTCACTTCAGTGATCTTCTAGGAATTATGTCCACAGTAAGGAAAAATGAAGAATATGGATTCTCCTCTGCCTAAGAAAAAGTGAAGGGAAAAACTTAAAGTCCAACTCAATCTAAGCTAGCATCATCTGGCCTCCACCTGAGGCACAAGTAATGTGGTATTGACATCAGTGACAGAATCACCTGCAGTTTGAGCCTCTTTGGTATTCCCTATGTCACTGCAGGACATGGCACTATCTCAAACCATTGCTTCAATGCATGTTGAATTTCTATCTCCAATTGTAACATTGTCTTCTTCCAACCACCTCCGTTCCATTTCTCTAATCTCTGATATTAATCATTGTGAAATTCAGCAATGCTGTAACAAAATTCATGAAGCTTTAATTGAGGTTACTAAGGATGTTCCACTTACTACTACTTTCCCAGAGGTCATGGTGGCTCCTCTCCCCTTTTGAGTCATTCTGTCAGGTCAGTGGTGACTTCAGTGACATTTCTCCAAGGTATTCTATTTGTGGCTATTTGCTACACAAACACTTGGTTGCAGCTGCTCATTTTGATAAAACTCTACTGACTTGACTACCAAAAGCATAGTCGTGACCCCGTTGGGAAGGCTATATTGTCTTCTATGCCACCCTAGTATTTGTCTAATTTATAAATCAGATGACAAAAAAGAATATTTTGCTAACTTATAGTGGTGGTTATGTCAACTGACACGCAACCCACCCTTCTCCCCTCTAGACATACTTCCATTTTTGTTGCATCATACATTGAGAATCTAAGGGAAAAGCAGGAACTGACACAGAGATACACAGATTAAAACTGGACAGGATTCTGATGTTTAGCCTTAGAAGATTCTGAAGGATCTGCACAAGCACCGATCAATCCAAACATATGGGTTCACAGATGGTTACTTAAATGCTTACTTTGTATGATCCAACTTTTTGGTTCTTGTGTTCATGTCCTCTACCTCAAAGTGTTAGATTTATCAAGTTTAAAACACATTTCCATTTTCTTTATTTCTTCTGTCTCTTGTAGAGCCTGTGGATTGAGCGCACCACTTTGACCCTAACTCACAGTTTACCTGGGATCTCTCGGTGGTTTGAAGTAGAGAGAAGAGAACTGGTAATGTATTGTTAACTTGGCAATAAATGCATGGCAAAATGAGTAGCTAAAGGAAAAGAGTGGTCAATTTTCTGCCAGTTAAAGTCCCAAAGTGTAAAATAGATTTTTTAAAAATGTGATTACCTTTCTTATAACTTAACTTTCTTATAACAAACTCTAGTTTGGATAACAAATATAATAACAGCCATACACAAAGTCATAGCCACTATGACAGCTGCTATAACTAGCAAATCAAGTCTCATGGTTGGCACATTGCTTGAATAAACATGCTACAAATCACTGATATATGTCAATGGAAGTTAGATGACAATTCAAAAACATTTAAAATTAAACAGGAATGTGATATAGTTAAAGAATCTGGATGACACTGAAGGATATTCTGTTGGTCTTGTAGGTTGAAGTAAGTCCTTTGGAAAATGCCATTCAGGTTGTGGAGAACAAGAACCAGGAACTAAGGACACTGATAAGCCAGTACCAACACAAACAAATGCATGGAAATATCAATCTACTGAGTATGTGCCTGAATGGAGTCATCGATGCAGCTGTGAATGGTGGTATTGCACGCTATCAGGAGGTAAATTGAGGCTTAGCATCGTCATTGTCATTATCATAATCATCAGTATCTCTTTATATTTTTCTACTCTGTTGAATATTTACATGTAACAACACAGGAAATTATGTTAGAGTTTTATAATGAAGTTGAATTAATTAAAATCATTACAATAAAATAATTAAAATTAGAAATTATCTCAATTTTGTTTTGATTCACTCAAAACTCATTACATTCACTTTCAGATAGTAAAGATTAGCTCAAGCCACTCACATGAAAAAAGACTTTAATGAATGTAATAATGATGAATTGACAAAGAAGATGGATTGCAGAGAGGAAAGTTTATAGTTCTATCTTCTCTGGAAGGTCCATGTTCAGGGTGAATTACCACAGAAGCCTCAGAAATTCCCAATGCTGAAGTAAAGTTTGGTGTGGGTGGAACAGCCATAGCTGTAAACATGCCTTTAATCCTTCTAAAAGTTCCCAGAACAGTTAAATAAACTCCTTGCTTACCCTGGCTTGGAAACAAAAGGGGAAAAGAGGGGGAACTGACAGTCCAATTATTTTTACAAATTAAGTTTTTATTACCGTAAGTTTTAGCTGGGATCTCAACTTATCTCTCAAATGCTTAACGTATCAGTAGCCTGGTTGCTCTTCTGCATTTATTCTGTACACAGTAATGTAACCTTTTACAAGCCATTCTTGCTCTCATAGCATCTACGAATACTTCATACACTTGTGCCAGTTTCTTCCACTGGTGCAATTCCCATAAAGATACACCTACATTTTGAACAGCTATAAATTTTTGGGGGATTTCTCCACCGTTAAACAAGTAGTCATAGGTATATGAAAATAATTTGAGGTATGTAAAAGTAATATTTTTATTTTTAAAGTTTCACTTGTGGTTAAACTTGTGAAACACTAAAATAATATAGTGCTGCAATAGAAATGTCTTTATCTAATCACAAATTGAAACTGATTCCCTTGCTAATGCTATGCATATCTTCAAAAATATGCCCTGGAGTAGATTGTGATAACCACTAAAGAAGTATCTAATTTCTCACTAAATTTTAACATATTCATAGGCTTAAAGGGATATCTATTCCAGTTTTGTTGGCCAGGTACTAGTTAAAGATCTACACTGGGAAAAACACATTAAAATTTGACCTACATTTCAAGGTCATGTGTAACCTAGAAAGAAGCCCATGCATCCTCAGATACAGTTTCTATATTCTAATTTATGAATTTTCCTCATTTTTCACAAATGATCTGGGCTCCAGGGCAGGGGGGGGGGGCACAGGAACTATAACAAATTCAGGAAAAGGTCTGAAAGAGTAGTGTGATAATGATGCTTAAGACCTCACCTCTGAGGATGCTTGCCATAGATGCAGGCGAAACGTCAGGAGAAATGCCTCTAGAACATGGCCATATAGCCCGAAAAAACCCACAAGAACTGAATGATGCTTAACGTTTTCATGGGAATTCAGATCAAATGTATGCTCTCTTTGCTCTTGGAAAAAAGAGCACCAAGCTCTGTGCCTGTGTGCATGTGACTTGGTGGCCCCATTAATTCCATAAGGTTTTAGGCAAGGAGTCCTCAGAGGTGGTTTGGCCAGTTCCATCCTCCGAAATATAGTCTACGGCATGTGATATTCCTTAGGGGTCTGCCGTCCAAGTATTAACTGGGGCTGATCCTGTTGCGCTTTCAAGATCAGAGTAGATCTGGTATCTTTAGGTTATTTACACCACTAAATATGTCTAAGAAGGAAATGCCTTTGATTTATAAGTAGGATTTTGGGGCCACAGTCAAATCACATAGCTAAGGAGGATTGTGCTACCACCATCACCTCCTGTTATAGTATTTTGTTAAATAAAAGAATTAGGAAGTAGAAGTTGAAGAGTTGAAGTAGTGAAAAATAATAACTGTTGATAAAAAGCTCTAAGTATGCCCTATGTTGTGGCTACAGTGGTTCCCAAGTTTCAAAATCAATTGCCTAGGCAATTAAAGCTGGGATCTACATATATTCCAGAATATTAGAAGATAATAAGTAAATTGTGTTTCTGTGTCTCTCAATTTATTAACAACACTATTAGATCCTTCTCTTTTTTCACATGATGATAATTAACACTTTACTGACTTCCTAAATGAAAGAAACTTCTTTCTTCCCCAGGCCTTTTTTGACAGAGAATATATCACCACTCACCCTGGAGATGCAGAAAAAATCACACAGCTGAAAGAGCTGATGCATGAGCAGGTATCCCTGTATTTTTATTTTAAAAAATAAAAGAATAAAGGATATTTCTTCAATCATATGTGCTATTGAGCAAAGTAAAGTAGTTTTAGTCAAATCAGCACAGTTGTGAAATTTCATTATATGGGATTGTGGGAATTCCCGTGCCCTTCAATATGCTAGAGACCAGTACCATATTTATTCCATATTATCACCTGGCATTTCTTTCTTTCTTGAAAGATTGCCACAGGCTGGCAGCTGATGCCATACAGACTGTGTGTCATGTTGTTGTTAGCCGCCTTGAGTCCCTATTGGGAGAAAGGCAGGATAGAAATGAAGTAAGTAAGTATGTAAATAGCACTGTTTTAAAGCACTCAGTGAGATTTTTCAGCAAGCTGTAATTTTTACCTGCCTTTCCTTCCTTTCAGTCTCAAATTCAATATACACATGACATGGGTAATCACTTTTTCTTTTGTAATTTCATTTTTCCTTAGAAAATATCCTAGTATTTAAAGCACTTGTAAAACCTCATTTTGAACCATTTGTAAATATTTTATTGTCTTGTTGTATGTATAAGTTGTCTTTCTAATAGCAGTGACATCAGAGAGAAGGGTTTCTGGAATCTGCTTTGAGTCCCCACAGGGGTGGGAAAGGCGGTATATAAATACTGTAAATAACAATAAATAATAAATCTGCTCTGGCTTTTCAAAATCGCCTTTATTCCTTCCAGAAAGACTTTGTATAATGATTATCTTGGACCTATACATTGTACATAAGGCAATTCCTCTTTGCACACTAAATAAAAACTTTGCATCCATCTGGAAAACTCTAGCACAGGGGTCCTCAAACTATGGCCCGGGGGCCGGATGCGGCCCTCCAAGGTCATTTACCCGGCCCTCACTCAGGGTCAACCTAAGTCTGAAACTACTTGAAAGCACACAACAACAATCCTATCTCATCAGCCAAAAGTAGGCCCACACTTCCCATTGAAATACTAATAATTTTATTTTTGTTGAAATTGTTCTTCATTTTAATTATTGCATTGTTTTTACGTGTTTTTTTGCACTACAAAAAAGATATGTGCAGTGTGCATAGGAATTCATTCATGTTGTTTTGAAATTATAATCCGGCCCTCCAACAATTTGAGGGACTGTGACCTGGCCCTCTGTTTAAAAAGTTTGAGGACCCCTGCTCTAGCATAACCAAGACATCAATAAGACATTAAATATTTGCACATTGGAGACAAGGTTCATCGAGAACCTATTTTCTTTCTTTTTTTTCCTGCTTTTTTGGGTTGGACAATTTATCAGTGCACCACAGGCAGAAAGATGAAGGCATGTGTTTTCCTAGAACAGGGTCTTGCCATGGTGCCGAAGCCAGTTAAAGCCATTCAGACAAAGCAGTTGCCAAATTTCCTTCCTTAACTCCTTTCCCTCCAGGAGATCTGTCAGGTAGCAATTTCAGGAACACTACCTTTTTCATACAATGCTATAAAACTGACAAATCTGAATCTGTTGCGGCTGCTTTTGGCAAATGCGTGATGCTGGCAGCCCCTAACTGTACAGAAGCTAGAGGATGTTCACTTTGCATAGAAGCTATATAGAAGCTAGAGGATGTTCGCTTCTTTCACGAACCCAAAGAATGATACATTGAGCACTTACCATGAAAATGTTGACAAAGAGGAGACATTAGGCTTCCTCTTGAGAGAATGCTTCTTATTAGAGAAATACAGTTTAGCATCTCTCATCTTATACAATCCCTTTCTAACCGAGAAAGCCATATTGTATCTTGTCTATTGCAGACTTTTGTTTTTAGACAGGCATTTCTTGACTGAAAATCAAATTCCAAATACTTTTTCTAATGTATGTTGTTTATTTGTGTTCTGACTTCTTGTACACTACTCTTGATCTTTTTGATATGAACAGTTTAGGTATCATATCATAAGTAAATATTGGCAACTGAATTACACATACTGAAAAACCATGAGTGGAAAGTGTTATTTATATCTTTTTAAAGTTGAATATATAAACCTGGTTTTATTTTTAAAAAACAGGTACATATCCTAGGAGTTGGTCTGGCAGTGCATGAGAAGTTTGTCCATCCAGAGATGCGGCCCCTGCATAAGAAGTTGATTGACCAATTCCAGATGATGCGATCCAGTTTATACCATGTAAGTTGATTACCAAGCTTTGGGTTGTTTTTTAATCGATCACAACATTTAATAGATTACAACAGTTTTTCTTTTTCTGCCTCAGCAGCTGTATTCTCTTAGGAGTATTTTAATACCTCGGAGGAATCACAGAGCAGTTCATAATACATAGTTCTGCCTTCAGCTACTATGTTGTATAAAAAGAGTAATAAATAAAATGTGTTTTTAAACTTATAATAGAAGAGCAGAGATAATACAGTAACAGAAATCCATATTGTATGAAGGTCTGCATCCAGACCAGCCATGTGAACTTAGCAACTTCCTTCATTTGAGAATATTCACAGCTAATTATTCTATTCATTTTTGTTTGTGTATGTATGGTTCATTATTTATTAGGAATCACCCCAGGAAATAACAATGCATGTAAGGAAATGTCACTACATGATTTAGGGAATACCTTCTAAAGGCCAGCTTTCAGTCAACATATAAAACAGAAAATAGTGGGCTGATGACTCTTCTGCATTGTCATTAGTCCTATATTCATAACCTGGTCTTTTGAAAATCCTCACTGAAAAGAATAAGAACCATTAAAATGAAAGTATCAGAGTTATCTCTATTATTTTTCAATGCATTTCAAAATAAGTATCTTTTAACCTGTATCTCACATGCTTGTTCTTAGACTTTGAAAAATCACCAAACATACAGTCAGTTTTCAAAGAGAAGACAGATCCATTTTTAAATCGTGTGCAATGTTATTTCATAAACAATGTTTATATTCCTTTCTATATACAAATTAACACATAGTATTTAATATCTATTACAGGAATTGCCTGCTTTGGATAAACTGAGTCCAGCATGCTCTGGTCCCAGCACACCACGCAGCAGTATGCTGGTATCACACAGCCCAATGAGCCCAGAGAGCATCAAATTGGTGCATCGACACAGGTATGTGTTCTTGTTTTTTTAACATCTCTACCGAGTGAACAGTTTGCTGACCACATTTTCTGGTGAGGTTTAGGTAAAATAACTGATTTTTCCACTGGATACAAATGATGATTAATATCACAGGAAAATGAAGCCAATATAAAAAATATTTGATATAAATATTTGGTGATATTTGATATAAATATTTAATATTTAAATATAGGTTAGATGCAAGAATCATTATTTAGTTCTGCATCATTTTACAGTTCAGCTGATATGAAAAATAAGGATGGTTTTCCTGCTACATTCTATTATTTCACCTCTTCACAGCAAACTTAAAAATTGACCAAATTTTGATTAAGTGGAGTTAACTGAAAATATCTTAATACTTAAATGAAATGCAGTTTTTATACATTTCAAAATAAAAGGAAAGGAAAGTATGACTTGATATTTTTATTGTATGTTTTTTATAGCCCATTGAATATGCTGGGGACAGTAAGACATTCGTCATCTTCTCTTTCTTCTCATACATCAAGTGAAACAGGAAACCTTGTTATACTAACAGACAGTTCTGTTGGAGAAACAGGAGAAGACATGTACCATATGCAGGTAAAGCTGTAATACAACAAGAATCCATTGCAAAGAATATGTAATATCAATGCCCACCCAAATATCCCAATTTCATAGTTGCAGTCCTGATTGATCCTCTGTCCTCCCACTGTTTCAGCTGCTTCAAAAATATCCCAGTTTCCCTCTCTTCCTCCCACTTTCCCTATCGTCCCTGGTTTGCTGTAATTTCTGCAAACTGAATCCAAAGTGCCAAAATAGTTTGTATTTCAAAGGGTCAGAATCTTGCCTTTCCCATCAAGCTCAGGCAAAAGCAAAGTGCTGCAACCTCTACTACCTACTACCTTTTTTCTCACAGTCGTTAATTTATACCATTTTAGCCTCACTTTGATATTGGTTGGCCATGTGTCCTAGTTTGACTCAGTGAAATATCATAATGTTCAACATTCAGGACAACCATAGGTTGCATAAGATTTCATCTACTATCTGGCTAACAAGCTTCTGTAGAAGTAGCTATCGTAGCATAACGTTTAGAAGACTTGGGTTGCACATTGGAAAATCTCAGTTTGAGGCCATAGGCAAGCCACTGTTTTGCATCCTCTCTGTTCTAATTCTATCTGGGGTCTTTTGACCCTCATGGTCCTCCAACACTCCCCCCGCCCCCCAAATGTCTGGAAAATGCCCACAACACATGTGTAGAAATTGCCCTATGCTTCTGTTTGGGGGACATTTATTTTGTATGTCCTTTGAGTGTTGGAAAAGCATCGTAGGAGAAAGGCCTTTCAGGATTTCCTGTGGGCTTCTGCAGTTTCACAAACACTAGCATTTCCCATACTGGTTTAGGGGCTTCCTCCTGAGAGTTCACAGACCTTATGACTGACCAGATTATCATTTGAAAAAAAATGCAAGAATGCAGCTTGGTTCTGCGTTTCTTGGGGGAGTGGGGAATGTTTTCAGTTAATAATTGTGATTTGGAATGTGGTGCAAATTACATGAACCAAGCAAATAATATGTAATAGGAATCAAGCAACAATATCACACCAAAACCCCTCAGTCTATGACCCTGACCATATCTGTCATTCATATCAAGTCCTCATTAAGGCTGAATGTATGGAGCTCTTTACACTGCATGTTTTGTCTTGTTCAAAGGCGAGTCCTTCCACCTCAAGCCTCAGCTCTACCCATTCTGCACCATCCCAGATGATCAATTCTGCGCCTCCGAGTGCACGAGGTAAGAATGAGATGCTTTGAATAGATCTGTGACAAATCGCCAAGATATTCTGATATTCTAAAACATGGTATTGAGATTATTCCCTTGCTGAAGTGAGCAATAATGTCATTATCAGAATTATGATTTTTTTTCTTAAACATGTTCTTCATTCTCCAGTTCAGGTTGGTCTGCTATAAAATTCCTTCTAAGGATATACCACTGTGTTGCCAGTGGGAGATTTCCTCCCTCCACCAAGGTTGAGCCTATCTGCTCACAAATGCAAATAGAGATATTAATTACTTTCACTTCTTTGGCAAACCATTTGAGAGATAATACTGAAACTAATGATGACTAGAGTAAATACCAGGAATGTGTACATCAAGATAAAAGTAGAAGAATTTCTAGCATTAAAAAGATAAAGCATACAAAATTATTTAACTCATCTTCATTACAAATGAGCGCCAGGAGAGAAGAAAATATCTGAATTTTCATTATCTCATCTTCCTGGTTTGTAAAAGGTAGTTATACTATACTGATGTTTTTGTCTTTTCACGTGCCCAAGGATTATTTTTTTTGCAGTAGCCCTTCTAGAGATGAATGCTACTTTTTTGTCTAGAGATCCTTAAAATGAATGTTGAAGTTTGTGTGTGCTACAAAGCAACAGCTGCACTGTCCTTGGATGTTTTCAGTCCATGCCACAATAGTTGAAATATATATAGTAGCAGTGAGACAATGAGGGTGATTATAGCTAAGGGAAACAATGCATGATTCACATGCAAATATACCAAGTTAAGTCTGTATCACCTCTATTTTTAATTGGTTTTTTTAAATTATCACATTTCAGGGAAGAAAGTACTATGTTTCAAACTCTAGGGAGCATCTGCCAGTCAGAATAGGCAATGATGGGCTAAATGGATCAGTGTTCTGCCACAGTCCAAAGCAGCTTCATATGTACTAGATCAAATATCACTCTTAGAAAGAGATAATGGCCTCCATCCAATATTCAGAATAGCATAAATATTTCTTTATGGACTTAAGGTATGCTGAGTTACATACTGTCCCTTTTCTAACTGTAAGGTCCTTGAAGTTTTCCCCATAGCCAGATGCACAATAATTACATAAGGGCTGAGACACACCCCCCCCCTCCCCAGAGGACCAGCACATATCTCACCACTGAGATCATCATTGATGGGGAGATAGCCAGATGCTTCCCTGATCCTACTTCTAAGCTGCAACACATGAAATAGTTGTGTAAGGTGGCTTCAAGCATTTTACAGCAAAGTGGAGGAAGATGCTACAGGGGCTGCAAATTGAGAAAGTGAATACCAACCCTTGTGGCATCCAAAAAAGGGCATCAAAATGCATACAGACCACTTATGTGTGTGCATGTTCCTAACAGAATTCAAGCCAATATGTGGCACAGAGACACCATGACCACCTCATTTGTTCAGTAACTTACTCATAATGCTATTGTATACTAGAAGCAAAGTCAGATGCAGACCTGCCTTTTTTTAAAAAAAACCCCTTTTAATTAGGGAGAGCCACCTCTACCCACCACTAGGCAAGGAAATTAATTGGTCAGCTAAATGCAGAACTAGTCATAGAAAGGGGGAAAAAGCTTTAAAAGATTTCATTTGTGGAAGTGGAATAATTCTATTCCTGCAATTTGTCCACTTGAAACTGTCATTCCCATTGTACTTTTCTCTCTATCTTTTTATTTATGGAGTAGAAAAGCATCCAGAGGCCCATTTTTGAACTAATAATTGACTTGGAAGGAAAGGCTTAAAGAATTCCCTCACACTGGATCTCAGTTCAATTTGAAAGTATCTATAGGTGTCCTACATACCTGATTAAACTTGTAGCAGTTAGGGGGGTGGATCATAATAAAATTGCATTTCATCTGTAGTTCTACCGCTACTTGTAACTGTTGTTCTGTCAACTTAGTGTATACATCATACCTGACTTTTAAAGTCATTGAGAGGATAGAATTTCCCGAAATTGCATGACACAAATGAAAAAGGGCCAGAAGGTTCTCTCTGGCCTGTAAAGTGTAGCAAGCAAAGGTATTTGAATTTAAACACTCAACTGCCAGGGCCTTCTTGCAGTTAGGTGACATCAGTTGGAAATGTACACAGAAAGACTGAACAACAGAGACACTGCTAGACTTCAGCTTATGGAGCATCGGCCAGGGCCCTGAGCTTCTGTTGGTGCCAATGGAAGATTTTTCTCTCTCAAAGAAATTGCCATTCAAGGATCACTTTCAAGGATTGTAAATAGTTAAGTTACCCCTACCCTCACATGTTGCAGTGCTCCTCAAATCGTCATAGTAACTAGGCAAAGAGAATGACTTCCCATGGGTGCCAATTAATATTATTTCTCATTTTAATGCCATGCTAGGAGCAGTGCTACTAACTAGAGTGAACTGTCCTTTCCCCGCATGGCAGTTCAACTGAGTGTGTCAGGAGGAGGATTTTTGCTAAGTTGAAGTCCATGGGGTATTAGCATTCTTGTTCAGGCAAGGAAATACTACAATGGAAGGAGGGCAGAGAACTGAAGGAAGAGATGGCAATGAATAGAAAGGAAGGAGGGAAGGTATGTTTATTGCATTCCAGAAAGTTTAAATCAGAGTTGGGAAATATATAGCTTTCTATATATAGATGAATATCTGATCAGCTCCACCTCCCCTAGGGAATGTCAAGGGATGATTGGAATAATTAATGTAAATTCACTATCACAAGTTTCAACCATCTAGGAAAAGAATGCCAAAATATATTATTATTACTATCATCATTATAATCACTTTTATCTTGAAACACAAAGTGAATTTCCCAACTGTATTATTATTACTATGTCTGACCTCAGAGAAATAGTATTTACAGGGTTTACCTGACCAGGTCTGTTTATATCTTCCTGTTTGCGATTTTATTTTTATGTGTTGGGGTTTCAATGGAAAATCAGAAGTCACTGCTACAGGTAATTCTGTCAAGCCTGCTTGCTGCAACAATGTTTTTCCAATCTGTTTTCATATGAATTTGTTGATTAGTTCTTTGGTGGAAGTAACATAAAAACACATAGGAACGTTTGCATTGTTGTTCTTATTTTTCCAAATGAGTTCATTTTATACACGTTTTAGAAATGTATGCATTTATTCCATGAGATGTGCTGTGTTTATTTTCCAAAATACATGCAATTTTGTAATTTAGTTGATAAACCTGAGCATAGCTTTTGGTTGCCGACAGCTTTCTGTTTCACATTTTTGTCTAAGGAGTGTTGTTTTGGCAAAATACCATCGTATTCTGAACCATCATTATATATCCTAAACAAACTCACAATCTGCAGAGCTGAGAAAAGGAGTTATCCACCACCCCTCCATAATCTTCAACCTCTTTCCTTTCTCTTTCCAGAATCCTATTGTCTCCTTCACTTCTCCTTTCCCTATTCTTCCTCTCTATGATCCTCACCGTCTTGCACTTCCTTCTAGTCTCTTCCTCGATTTCTATTATTATATTATTATAATCTTTACTTATATCCCGCCTTTCTCCTCATGGGGACTCAAGGTGCCTAATCTTCTACCATGTCCTCAAGTTTTTATGCTTTGCCTCCTTGACCATCCCCTTTGCCTTCCATCTTGTATTTTGAATTTCTATACCAACAGGACGGCACATTACTTTATTTATTTCAATCTTAAGTCAAATTATGTAGATATGATGACTGATATATGGTATAGTTTATTGAAGGAGAATTGTGTACATTTTGAAACAGGATTTTATGTGAGTGGGATGTGGAAAACAATAGACAAAAATCTCCCACCCCTCCCCTCAGTCACAGTTTATGCTTGTCTTGCTTCTGAATCAGTAGAGTCATTTTTAAATTCAATTTTTGTCCAAATACTGCCTTATTTTATGGGGTGGATGAGGTGGGGAGTTTCTGAAAACATCTACCAGCTGCTTTCGCTTTATGCATTCTTTCACATCATTGCAAATTAGTTGTAACTGAAGAACTACTGCTTTGGGATTATTTTAATCAGCATACCAATTAACTGAAGAATATATTCTATAGGCTGACTTGGCCTTTTTTGAAATGCAAATGCATTCTACTAATTACTTTGCAGTTTCCGTGTGTGTGTGTGTGTGTGTGTGTGTAAGTTATATGCAGTTTTGTATTGCCAAGATATGCTGCTGTACAATATGCAGTCAGAAAATAACAATTCCAGCCAAACTGCTTAGATATATCACTACTGGTGATATATCTAAGCAGTTTGGCTGGAATTGTGATTCACTAGTGAGCAATGTTTCCCACTCAGTTATAATAAGAATGTTTTTCTTTACAAATGAGTCTCTTTTTTCATAGTCACACAATGCTTCATTTATTTAGGTTTTTGCTAGGTAGTATAGATACAGCAATTTATTTATCAGATGGATTGAGGTGCAACTCACTGTACTATGTATAAGTAATTTTGCTTATCAAAAGTGTGAAAGCAGTTATAATCAAAGCTTAATAAATGGAATAAATAAAATGGAGTGAATTAATCTGAATAAATGATGGGGAAATGGGTGTGTGAATGTATTGTTTAAGCTCCAGTATGTCAGCTCATTGGATTAATGGGAGGAAATTGTATAGTATATGTTGGTACCTGTAGTGATTCACAGCCATCAGATGCCCATCTTTCTTAGTTATTACTTTACTTCCTAGTAGCTTTCCCTATTTGGTAATATTCACTAGTGTTTTGTAGGCATGTGAAAGAATATTCACAAAGTTTCTTTCTGCTGACTGGAAATGTTTTCTTGATGTGCAAAATAAATTGCCAGGCACTGTCAAGATTAATTCCTATTGTGTGCTAAAAAAAGTATATTCTGCCAAGATTTTTGGGAGGACAAGAAAATACTTAGCATTTTTTTCGAAGTCCTGAAATGCAAAACAAAATTGCAAACATTCTCATAATCTTATTCAGTGGGAAGAAAACATTTGAAATGTTTTCTTCTCATATGCAAGAATGAAAAAATCTAAGTTTTAAATACCCAATGCATAGAAATTAATGGGGTGGTCTATATTAAGGAGAAGTCGGTTGATATGTCATACAGAATTTCTCACTGATAACAATGTCTTAACCAACAAAATATGAAATGACCAAAAACAATTTTAACATTGCGCTTTTGTATTTTCTTATGATTTTTATTCCTGCTGTTTCTGATAAGTTTCAAAATATTGTCATTTATTCTCAGACTGTTTTCTCAAAACAAATGAGAAACAACATGAAATTCCATTAATGTTAAGGTAAAAACAAATTGTGAAGCCTCAGTGTGGAATGAAATTTGTTAAGTGAAGCCAAGCTTCTCGGTGCTAAAAAGTGTGGTTTTGTTTATTTGTGTAGATTTAATTTTAATGGTTGTTATTGTGCAAAAATGAAAGATTGGTGAGCATGGGTGCTAAAGCAAGGTGCAGTGGACAAGTCACATTCCAAGCTCTGCCAATATGCTTCAATCCTTTTGTATTTATTCATATTCTTTTTAATTTAGTGCTGATGAAAGGTGCTGGATTGACAACACTGGAGGCTGAAGCCCTCTATTTACCCACAGAGCAGATACATCATGGGCGGCAGCAGTGCAAGCTTCCCCACACTGCCCCCACCAATGTGCCTCATCTCTGTCCTGGAGGGACCACCTCTAGAGGTGAGAGGATAGATTGGTCTCCATGACCCACTCCGTCCTTGGCCTTTCTGTTGAGATTGCCAGCAGAGGTACCCGTCGGTCATGATGTCTGCCATCTTTACTAGTGTGTTTCACTGACCTTATTTAGCACTGAAAGGTTCTATAGTGATTTGGGGAGTTATAATAGAACCTTGATTTAATGAATGGTGATGAACACGTTTTTTTCAAGGTTCACAGGTAGATTAGAAGTGAAAAATTATCTGGCTGTTGCCAGGCATTGGCTTGGTTTCAGTCAGCGCCTTAATTTCTAGATAAATCTCCAGTATTCTTAATGTTTTGATGAATAGACATCAAAAATAGTTGAGATCCAACTAGATTTTGAATACAAGAAATCTCCCACTTATGTCTCTTTCTTGTAAAGTATAAAAATTATAGTGGATAACACCCCAAAAAAATTATGTCACTTACAGTAGAAAACCATATTGTACATAAATGTAATATAATTAGCCTAATACTAAAATATTACACTAAAGAAGTTCAAAAACAACATGCCTTATCCCGTTTTCTGAAATAGTATGGATACATGTGTACAAAGACAAATCTTGGAATTCTATTCTTTATTTATCTGTAGAAAGCCACTTTAGTTAATCATATTAGCAAATACTGTAAATCCAAGAATCACTTGCATCTTCCTACTTTCTTGAGTATATTAGCCACATCTAAATTGCTGATCTCATATATGGTCAAACCCATATATTTGGGAGCTGAGTTCAGAATACCAACAGTTTTTTCTGAATCACAGGATTAGGGTAAAATATTCCTATTGTTAATAGGGCTAGGGACAATTTAGGCTTCCTTCCACTAATGTCTTTGTTGTATGAATATAATAAAGTGTGAAAAAGAGACATTCTTTCTAAATGTATTAATTTTGTAAATTGAAATCACTATTTTCTTTTCAACCTGAGCAAAAATGCAAAAACCTTAGACATATCTGAAACAAATGCACACACGCATGCATGCACATTTACTGTAAGCGTCTTGTGCCTTTGAAAGCAGCTCCCCCCTCTGTGTAACTCGCAGTGGGAGATGTCAAGTCATTCTTTCTATTCTTTGTGGAGTTTCCTTTTTTGTTGCCTTGACAGCAAGTCACAGCCGTTTAATCTGCACAATAGAAAAACATTTAAATGCCAAGATTTGTACTTAAAATTAGCTCTCAGAAGGATCCAGCAAAGCTGAATGAATCAATTCACATTTGGGCTACAGTCAAATTATTTACAAATCTGAGCACTGTGATACTTGGAGCACAATCCGCTGTGTTTACTCAGTGCATCTCACTGTGTTTAGTGGTGTGCATTGCCAAGTAAGTGTGCATTAGACTCCAGCCTTAAGACTAAAGCCTCTTGCTACTTCCATCTTAGGTAGACTCATTGAATAAATATGATAAGTTAATACTATTGATTCAGTCGATTTACACTGGTTGGGAAGGGCAGTTGGATGTACACCTAGTATCTATTGATAGCATCTGCATAAAACACAATTTATTGGTATCAAATATTATTTAGTATTCATGCCCAAGAATATTGGATGCTTTTGTTGCAACAACCTTATATATTTGAGAGCTAGCGTGTTAGTATGCTTGAATGGTCCACTTATATTGTTTCAGTAATCCATAAACATTTTGTAAAGCCAGTTAGTATCTCACCCCGCAGCATTTTATAATTAGGATTTTTCTTCGTGGTATCTGCGAATGCACACTTGTGGAGAGACTGCGCCTGCGCGGGCTCCAACGGAAACTTCTACATTTTAAAACTTTTGAAGTTTTGGCGGTAACCCCGCCCAGCCCCGGCAGGGGATAAAAGGGCGCCCCGCGCACACCGATCCAATTCCTTTTTTTCCGCCGCACGGCTCGCTTCGGTACTTCTAGGATAGCGTTATTGGATAGTGTTGGATAGTGTCGGATAGTGATTCCTTGAATTCTCTCTAGAGTTTTTCCTCGAGCTGTTGATTATATTATGTCAACAACTCGTTTCAAAAGATGCGCGAAATGTCCGAGGAAGATCCCTGACTCGGACAAGCACGCTCTTTGCCTGTTGTGTCTCGGAGAGGCACATATTACCTCCTCGTGTCGTCATTGTCAGGCATTGACGGCACAGTCCCATAAAAACCGGGTCCATTGGCTTTGGTACCTTCTATACCAACAGACGTTGGCTCCGGTACCTTCAACATCGACATCGGCGTCGACATCAGCCACGGTGTCTAAACCTTCGACAGCAGCTTCGACGTCGAAGGCACCGACAACATCATCTGTCGATCCCTCGACAGAGGCCGAGCCTCGCCAGTCAAAGGCGAAGAAGGCCGCGCAGAAGAGGCCGAGAGCAGCTATGTCGACTACTTCGAAGGCCTCAGTGTCGGCAGCTTCTAAGGCTCCGAAGCCTACGAAGCAGAAGGCTCCTTGCACGGTCACTACTGAGACCGTACGCATCCGGCACTCGTCGACAAGCTCGGTGGCGTCGGTGAGATCAGCCAGGTCCACGAGGTCGACTTCAGCGACTCCGCCATCTTCCACGGCGGTTCGCATTGCCTTCCGCCGGTCACAGGAGGAGTCTCGACGTGCCTCCACCTCATCCTCCGTCCCGCCCACCCCGGGCAAATCGCTGTCAAAGACTGCTCAACCACCGGCAAAGAGGAAGAAGACGATGCCGCCTCCATCCTCGTCTTCTTCCTCTTCCCGAAAACAGACCACTGCCTCCTCGGCCACCTCGTCGGCAAGGTCTTCACCGTCACAGCCTACTGAACCCCAGCCGGCCCCACAGCCTGTTCAGGAGCCGCAACCCTTGCCGGAGCAGCCTTCGGAGCAACCCGAGTCCCCGGTGATCTCGGTGGACACGGTGATCGAGGCGCCAACTAGACACATGATAGCCAGACAGGAGCTCTTCCCGTCAGTCACGACGTTGACTACTGTGACAGCCAGACAGGAGACCTCTCCAGTACTGCAGACTCCGGAAAGGGGCAGACAGACAATGAGACTGGCCAGTGCCATTCGGGCTTCGGCCTCAAAAGCTCCTCCAGTGGCTCCGCTGCAGCTTCAGAGCCGGGATGTCTCCTCATCCCCTCCTCCCCAATCCCTGCCTCCTGATGATGAAGAGGAAGATGGCGAGTTACCGGGATCGGTACACTCGGGATTGGTGTTGTCTCTCGGGATCGAATCACCTACCCACGACGCCTATGAGGTGGATCCTCCATCTCCCACAGACAATGTCCGAGCCTTTGCGGATCAAATGGCTCGCATGGCTGAGGCTCTGGGCCTGGAGGTCAAGCAGACTTCCAAGGCAGTGCTGGACCCAGTGTTCAAAAGGGTGCAGAGAGAATCTCCACCCGCTCCTCTTCTGCCTTTCCTTCCCTATCTCCTGGAAGTGATCCAGGGCTCTTGGAAGACCCCCTCCTCCATCCCTCCAACCTCCAAGAAGATTGAATCTTGGTATAGAACTGATGATGAGGGCTTGGAGTGGCTGAAACACCATCCCGACCCTAACTCGGTGGTCGTGAAGGCGGCTCAGGGGTTCGGAAGGCAGTCTTCGGCACCATCCGATCGCGAAGGGAAGAGGTTCGACGCAGTAGGCAGGAAGCTTTACTCCGGTGCCCTCTTGCTGGCCCGCATGGCCAACTATGGGGCTTGTATGGGAGCATATCAGCAGATCCTTTGGGAAAAAGCAGAACCCTTCTTCCAGAGGATGTCTGAGGAGGATCGTGCTGCCATGACCACCCTGGCTCAGGAGGCAAACTCTCTGGCGCATCATCAGATGCAGATGGCCAAGCACACGGGAGACACCGCGGGCAAGATGATTGCTCATGCCGTGGCAATCAGGAGACATGCCTGGTTGAGATCCTCTGGCCTCTCCACATCATCGAGGCAGGTGATCGAGGACCTCCCGTTCGATGCCCTGGGACTCTTCAACGCCGGGACGGATGACAAACTGAAGTCAAACCACGACTTCAAGACCTTGGCTTCAAAGTGCGGGTTTGAGAACCAGAACCAGGCTCAAAGAACCAGATGGTTCCAATACAAACGCCGGCACACGGTCCCGTACCGTACCATACAGTACCGCCATCCAGTCCGTCCTCTGCAGACCTCCCAGCAAACCCACCCTCAACAACCCCAACAGCAGCGGAGGCAGCATCAGCAGCAGCGTTCGCGCTCTCGTCAGGCTTCAGGAGGCAACCAGGCCAGGCGCCGCATTTGACGCGCTGGCGGACGATACCGTTTGCAGTTCCGTTACCAATGTTGTTCCCATGTCCCTCCCAATGGTACCCGCCCTCATCCTTCCATCCGGCTCGACACCGTTCGGAGACCGCCTGACAAACTTTCTCCCTGCATGGGAAAATATCACCTCAGATGCATGGGACTTCTTCGCGTCCGTCGACCTCCAGGACACCTATTTCCATCTTTCCATCAGAAAACATCACAGGCGCTTCCTGGCCTTCAGGGTAGCGGGGCAGACGTACGTGTTCAACGTCCTCCCTTTCGGTCTCGTGACGGCACCAAGGACCTTCACAAAATGCATGTCGGTGGTCGCAGCGGCCCTCAGAAGGGAAAAAATCCGCATTTTTCCTTACTTAGACGACTGGTTGTTGGCAGCGCACTCCCCGGACCTTCTGCGAGCGCAGGTAGCAAGGACACTTTCTCTCCTCGAGGACTTGGGCCTCCAGTTAAACGAGGAGAAATCCCACCTCAAGCCCACCACTTGCATAAAGTTCATCGGCGCCATGTTCGATTCTCTCTCCCAGACAGTCTTCCTTCCGGAGGAGAGGTTCAGGGCTCTTCGAGCCGAAACACTCAAAGTCCGCCGCTCCCGTGTGGTCCTGGCGAAGCAGATACAAGTCCTCCTCGGGCACATGGCTTCCACGGTGATGGTAACACCATTGGCAAGACTCCGCTTCCGCCCCCTCCAGAGATGGTTCTTGNTCCTTCCGGAGGAGAGATTCAGGGCTCTTCGAGCCGAAACACTCAAGGTCCGCCGCTC